TTCCGTGCCGCATAATCCGTACTCGTACCGCAGTGGTTTCCTACTGTGTACGCTTTCGGGGAGTTATGCACCGCCAGCACGTTGACCAGAGAATTCGAGTCTCGAACTGTGGGGAAGGGATCGATAAGCTTGGCCAGTCCAGGTCTGGAGACCCTGAAGCTCGAGGCAAGCGCAGGGCCCCCAATCCGGCTTTGTAGGCTACGCAATGTGGTTGGTGGAGGATCTTGCACACTAAAGGTGCCCACGACCAGGCCGTCACACCTCGGCGGCAACATAATAGAGGCGCCTATTGGCCCGATACGCCAGATCCACAGGGACAACTGGCTTTTTGCTTTGTCCGCCTTCGTCACCTGCGCATATCCATTTTCCGTTGGCTCATCATCATCCCCATGCAAGCCACAATCTGCACCACTCGCGCAAAATGTTCCTGGCCCATCACTTCACTCGTCCAATCGTGCCCCGTTGTCAAGTGTTTTCATGCTGCCCGTCCGCAAGGTTCGCTTGCTATTCGCTTCACGCTGTGCTGAACTTTACCAAGAGGGTCTCGGTCCGCTCCAGAGATCCACCGTCCTCTACCGAGTCGAGATTCATCCCACTACTGGTCTCATCGCACAACCAATGCAAGCTCTGTTCGAAGCGCTGACTCTCTTGACGCTACCACTGAGCACCAGAACTCCCAGAGACGTCCACATGATGGAGGAATCTCCGGGAGATCCCAAGCTCGATAGCTCTGCTCTTCTGTGCTGCTATTGCTGCCCTCAAGTCGATAGCCTCTTGGTTCCATACCTCATCTGTCGATATCACAGTGAGTAGATGAGGAGCGGGGTGTGCGTCGCTCACACAGGCGCTGCGACTGTTCCATCACCAACTCGACTCGATGTCTGAATAACCTCCTCTTGCGCATGTTTCAACAAACTATATCGCGCCTTTTCGCCCCTCTCCCCCTCTCTCTGTGTCCCAGAGGCATTGAGATCCTCCATCCTTTCCACTCCTTACAATCGCTACCTCGTCAGTCCCTTCGTCCTCGAGAGAGCAGGCTTTCTCTTCTCTACGAACCGTTGCGAATACAACATTTCTGACCGAGCCGGGCCTGAGAGCGGTCACGCAATCCATGACCGCCTTACTGAAGCGACCGCATATCCAATAGACACGCTGGGTCAGTTTGGGTCGACCATCTCCACGACCAATACGAAGACCACCTGAAAGGAGAAGCGCCTCACCTCCGCTTCATCGGAAGCTGAGCCCGTTGCTGGTCTCTAGATATACGGGCTGTTGTTACACTCAGCCATGATGCCCTCTGTACCGTCCGAAGCACTGGCGTTGTTGACCGGGAGAGCGACTGAGCAGGCAATGGAGGAATTGGTGAAGAGAGTCAACATCCCCATCAACAGCACGACCCCTCCTGCCCTCCTCGATGCGATACAACAGGATCCATTCAACAGTGCCGGCAAGTATGGACTAATATTTGTCTACATTGGGATCATACTGGTGGTCACAACGACGATCAAGCGGTTATACTACTACTGGGGCGACAAGATCCGGACGGCGCTGTACAAGGAGGAAGTCATAAACTCGGCGTCGACACTCAGTCCGGTAGGCTTCTCGCCTCACGCAGGATTCGGCACCTACGAGCTGCCCAGCGCATTCAGTGCGCAGACCGATGGCTCGACCAGGCATTTCTTTCCGGACAAGGGGCCGTTGGTGGCCGAGAAGCCAAAGAAGCAAGCCGCGGTTTCTGCAATTGCACCTCTCAACAATGCAATTGCCTTCTTCCGGTGGATATTCTACCGTCCAGTTCCATCGATCAGGATCGGCAAGTACAGATTTACATTCCCTTCGATGGGGGTGCTTGCAGTCACGCTCGTCTGTCTGGTTTCGTCGATACTCTATTGTTTCCTGCCGACACCGCTGTTCTACGCCTCAATGTCCTACGGATCACCTCCATTAGCGATCCGAGCAGGGATGATGTCTGTCTCCTTATTACCGTGGACCGTTGTCTTGGCCAACAAGGCAAATCCGATTGCCTTCTTGACTGGAATTGGTGCTGAACGACTTGTTGTCATGCATCGCTGGACAGCATACTTGTGTGTCATCTTCGCCATCATTCATGCCGTTCCATACTGGTATCAGTCGGTCAACGACCCGGAAGGCTATGCAACCTTCCGACTATATTTCAGTCAGCAATACTGGGTCTACACTACCGGCATTACTGCCATTGTACCTCTCCTGTTCCTTGCCCTCCACTCTGTACCTATCCTACGGCACAAGGCATACGAGCTCTTCGTCTTCCTCCACATTCCGGTCGCTTGGGCCTTCATTGGTCTCATGTTCTGGCATTGCCACAACTACTTGACATCATGGGCGTACCTTTACTCGACCGTGGCCTTGATGCTTGTATCCCTGGTCACCCGCCTCTTCTTCCTCAACTGGATGAATCCCTTCAGATCATCATGGCTCATTGGAGAAGAATCAGCTGTCACCATCCTGCCGGAAAACGCCGTCAAGGTGACCATTCCGACGCAGAAGAGATGGCGCCCCGGTCAATACGCGTACCTACGCATGCCCGGCATTTCTCCCCTTGAGAACCATCCCTTTACCATCGCTTCACTTTGTAGCGAAGATTTCCCCTCCGAATATGGCGAGCAATACAGGGACATGACCCTCGTCTTCCGCCCATTCTCAGGTTTCACCCGCAAAGTCCTCGACACGTCTGTCAAGAAGGGTCCCTATAAAACCTATCGAGCCTTCATTGAAGGCCCGTACGGCGGCATGCAGCGACAAATGGCCTCTTTCGACCAAGTCATCTTCTTCGCTGGCGGAAGCGGTATCACCGCCATTGCATCACAACTCCTCGACCTGATCAAGCGTATGCGTGATGGCAAGGCTACCACGACGAAAGTCCACGTCATCTGGGCGATGAAACGACCCGATATCATGGAGTGGTTCAAGGAGGAACTGCGGATATGCAGAGAATGTGCGCCTCCTGGCTCGGTGCAATGCCACTTCTTCATCACCGCTGCGAGGCGGTATGATCCGCCCATCGATACGAAAGAACACCGTCTCAGCGGGATTAGAGACAAAATCACCGATGTGATTGACAAAGCGACAAGCGGCTCGAAGCGGAACTCGGCGCTCGTCATGATGGAGCAAGAACCCGACCTCAAGCGCGAGTTTGAAGACAGCATCACGGCCCTGCCGCATGCATACCTCGCACCTCCACGACATCTTGCTCCTCCTAGTACAACAGCAGCCGCTCATGGGCAACTCTACTACCCCCCACCACCCACGGATAAACGCACATCTACAATCTCCCAAGCCCAGATCGACGCAACCCGCACCTTCGACTTTGGCTTCCCTCAAACGCCCACCAAATTTCAAAAGAACCTCATGCGCTTCGCCTTCCTGCCCACCAGCGTGGGCGGCTCCGCTGGTCTCGGCGGCCACAAACGGGACGGCTGGCGGACAGAGTACGGCCGCCCGGATATCCCATACATGCTGAAAGGACTGTCCAGAGAGTTCGGACGGCGGACTTGCGTCTATGTATGTGGCCCGCCAGAGATGCGGACGGAAGTGAGTAATTGTGTCGCGCGGCTACAGTGGGATGTCATGACCAGCAGGGGCATGGACGAGGTGTTTTTGCATGCAGAAAACTATGCAATCTAAGCCTCAGTCCCCCATCTTGGATACTTGCGCTTGTTTACCGGGTTGGGAAAGGCAGTGGCATATATCACGACCTACACCAGAAGGGTCAAATCACGTTTGCAGAACCCAGGATCTCACGACCACGATTCAGCCACGAAGCAAGGGAGCCCATCATTTGCTGCCCCCATGCATCTTCACCTTTCCAGTTTTCTCGGGGACTCCTTTTTTTTCTCTTTGGCTGACTCCAGAGTCATTTCCATACTACGCAAGCGCATCGTCTGTTTCCGTCAACTTCCGTGTCTCCGAGAGCCATTATGGACCCGGATGGAGAAGGAAGGAAGGACTGAATGGAGTTGAGTTGTTGAGCTCCCGATACCCTCATGTACGTTTTCATTATGCGAGTCAGACAGTCGGGCAGAGAGCCACAGACTACTTCCACTTGAAGTAGCTTCTTTGTACAGTTACAGCCAAGTTAGAGCCATCGATCGATCGATCAATCAGGTGGATGGCAAGGAATCAACAAAGATTCATGAAACTAAAAACACGTGTTTGTCCTCGCTTTTGATTATGAGAAGTCAATAGCCTCTTTGTCTGCGCCGATGGACTCGTCCGTAGCCGTCGGACTTGGGCCAGGTGTACGAGTTGACTCGATGGATACGCTGCGATTACAGTAGTCAATGCATAAGCAATGCTTGACATTTCTTCGCGTCGTCAGTACGGGACACGTGAGAATGCAGTAGTGCGTCCGGGACTGGGACTAATACGAGTACTTGTGATTGAGATGTGACATTTCGGCTTAGATGGACAATCAGCAGTCGCAGTGAGGGTTATGTACCGACGGTATGCCTGGGGTACTGTAGTATGCTGCGGGTATCATTTGTTTCGCTCAGCTCAGCTCGGCTCAGTCCAGTCCAGTCTAGTCCAGTTCAGCTATTAATTAGATCTCATCGTGCATGTAGGATCGCCTGCATAATCTGCATCCTCTGCACGGAGGCATGCGTGCCTGCCTGTACCTGTCAAACAGGATTTCAGATGCAGGCTCGCGGCTCCTTCAGAACTGGGACGAAGATGACGGGCGAGACGAGACGAGACGAGACGGCTAGGGAATCTCCACTCTTTCGTCTTCCTCGCTTCATTTCTTCTCGTCATATCGTATCCATATCGCCGGTCTCTCTTATTCTTCTCCGTCGCGTTGGACCGTTCGACAGTGGCTACTTCCCATGGTTAATTCCGCCTTGTGTTTTGTGGCATCTCGACTCACCTGTCGAGTGTCGAGAAGAAATATGGAATAAAACTACTAAGCCTTCACACTCCTACTGCGCTTGGCCTGTCTCCCTCCTCCTCCTCCTGTCGGCAAGTCAGCGGCTGTGGTCAGAAACATTGCGAAACGAACGACCGCCCAATGAACCGTTACGGAACGTCTTGGATAGCTTGGGCAGCCCGGCATTTGCCTCCCATTGGACCCTGGGAATCTCGCGACGGGGATCTGAAGACTTACGTCGCTCACTGAAGAACCACCACGTCCCAAAGCTGGCTGTCAGGGTCCATAGGACGAGGCCGGCAAGGTCGAAGCCCACGGCCGTCTTCATGCGGTGGATGCCGGATTCCATCTCGACGTTCTCCTGTGACGAAATTGTTAGCACACGACGGGGGACTGGGGGAAAGGGGGGACACTTACATGCAAATACATGGAGCCGAAAATGCCCGAAAGGACGGCGAAGAGGATGGCCATGGTCCAGTCCCAGGCGAATAGTAGTGCCACGGTTCGATATTGGATGGCGATGGACGCAAGACTGAAGATCAGGGCCGTAACCGCGGCCAGGCTGCCGGTGGTGACGGCGAAGACCTTGACCGTGGTGAGCACACGTACCATTTCAGGTGGGTAGGAAGTCAATGCGCCGGTCTGGGGATCAGTTGAAGAACTCACCCATTTCCCGTCGGCGTATTTCGATGCCTTCATCGCCGCGTTCAGGTCGACTCCGTACATTCCAATGACGACGAGGGCGTCGATCAACTGGAAGCTGCGCAGGACGAGGTGGAGCCAGCTGGATTTGCGGAAGCCGGAAAAGATTGACAAGAACGCCATGTTTGATCTACGGCGATGTGGTGTGAAATAAGTCAGGGTTGATTCTGGGATCTTGGTCGGAGAATGATCAAAATTCGCGATCGAGGTTGTTGAGATGTCTCGAGGCCTGATGTTTGCTTGGGTTGCTGCTCCTGTCGATTGCCAGAATGCGCGAGATGCGCAGGGCTTGGGTCAAGTACGAGAGATATTTGGACGAGGCAAACGCACTTGAGCGAGCTGCCAGACTGGCTAAGTAGACCGTCGACACTCAAACAAAGCACGGTGGCACGGCGTTGTCACTTCGTATGCGCTTTGTGAGCGGGCGCGCGGAAGTGACAAGGCAGTGATTGCGCCTTGAGTGCGTCAAACAAAGGCTCATTCACGGCTCAAGCCTCGCAACTGAAGTCCCTTGTTTGTGGTGAAGCAGTATACGGATCCCAGGTGTCGGTTAGAAGTTCTCACTGCGCGAATGGTCGCGACAATGGCCGTTGTTGACAGCAGGGTGGAGGAAGAGAGCAGTCGAGGAAAGGTAATACAGACATAATTGTCCGCGTCCGCACCGAGAGGAAAGCAAAGCAGTAGCACCAGTGTCTGCGCCCAAGGCCATGGTTATCTTGACAATGCATCGAGTTCTTGGAATGCTGCATATGGTGCGTCACCGTCGGCAAGAATGTCCCTGAAATTGCCGGGGCACCGGGGGCACCGGGGGCACAGGAGGGTCAGCGGGGTTCCCTTCTCGTGGCTTGGACCAAATGTGGCTGGTGGCTGAGTCTCAGCGGCTGCAGCCATCGTTGGCCTGCACCCCGGATCGTCCCTCACCATCAAGTCATGATCCCTGTCAGGCGACCTTGTTCTTTGTCGGTGCACGCGCAATGCCAATTCAAACGATCGCACGACAGGCAGACAGGAGTTTGCGTCTGAGAGTGGCCATTATGCACAGGACAGACGGACTGTTCTTCGTGGGAGAGGAGTACATATGTTCAGGCTATGCTAGGGTTGGGGTGAAAGGTTGAAACGGGGCTAAGTACAAAAAAGATCAAAATTGCAGAACAGCATGACCCCAGCCATCCAGCCAGAATGGCCCAGGGGAAACCCAACGCGACGCAGATACAGACACACAAACAAGACAGCGAAACGAAACAGACTAGGAAACCGGGGACTCGGACCGACCTGGTCAAGTCCGGCTGTCATCGAATCCCTCCGCCTCCAGCTGTTCCTCCTGCCTTGTCTGTAGACGCAGTCCGCGGTCCAGCAACAGCCTTGTTTGCGGTCGTGGCTGGCGGTGGTGCCGGCATTGGAATCGGGTCATCGTCGTATCCGTAGTCGAGATCATCGTCGGCAAGTTGATCCAACGGCTGATTGTCGTAGGCTTGCTGGTTGACGTTGCCGGCATTGTGGGTGGCGGCTTTGGCTGCATTCTTGGTCTGTTTCTTCCCCTTCCTGCCCTTGAGCTTGGCCTTCTCCAACAACCGTCTCTTCTCCGCTAAACGACGGCGTTCCTTTCGATCTTTGATTTCGTACTGTCGGATGAGAGCATGGGGTGGTTGTCCAAAGATACTCTCGTATTCGCAGAATTCGCAGATCCAGATGTCTTCAGGTGCTGGCGGGTGCTGCAGATTGTTGTACTCTTGCTGAAGCTTCCTCTGTCGGGCTGCCAACGCGTACACATCGCCTCTCCGTCTTCGAGGCTTCTTGCCTTGAGCGTTGACGTTTTGCGCGGCGGGCGCAGCAGGTGCTGTCTGCGCCGCGGGTGCCGTGGCATTTGCCGTGCTTTGACTTGCCTGTATGGTGCCTTTCTCAGTCGCGGTAGAGTGGGCGGGGTGAGTCGGGTTGTTTCGCTGCGTGTACCCTGGCGAATATAAACTCTGTTCTGGAAAGGTGACTCCCTTGGCGTCGGCTTCGCATGTGAAAGTGAACTGCGAGTTATTGTGCGCCTGTTTGGCTTCTTGGTCGAGCACCCCTACATGTTCTTGTCCCTTGCCGAGTGGTTTCCGAAGCAGCGCTGTGGCGTTTGCAATGGCTGCAGAAATGATACCTTGGTCTTTGGTCTCTTCCGCTTGCCCGAGATCAGCCTCAGTAGCACATGCTGATGGTCTTTCGATCTTACCTTTCGCGTTGGCAGTCATGTTCTGGTCATATTTGGAAGGACCATTCCGAGCATTGGAGCCATTGACTGACACGCCGAGGGGGTTCCGACCAGAAGCCTTTCTTGCACCGCGCCCTCTACCAGCACCTTGCACTCCCAAACCAGCGCTATTGCCCACGTGGGCGCCAGCGTAGAACCCATCATCTGCCGTGCCATCTTTGGTGCCACTTATGCCCATGTGTGCCAATTGGTCGGTGACGGCAGACTGGTGCAGACTCAGACTGCCGGAAGTGGGTATTTTTCTCTTTTTCTTGTTGTTGGTGTTCTCAAATGCTTCATAACCGTCCGGGCCCGACGTACTACCTCTTGTCGAGTATCTACTACGCCCCGATCGTGGCGAGCGAGGGGAGGAGACAATGAAGCGGCGGGGAGGGTAGATACGCTCGTCCTGGGAGTCAAGATCGTCCTCGTACTCGTCGTGGTGGCAATGATGGTGGTGATGATGGTGGTGGTGATGGTGGGGACAGTCGTCATCGTCATCGTGATCGTGGTCATGATCGTGGTCATGGTCATGGTAATAATTGTCACTGTGTGAGTGGTCTAACACTTTGCCGTCGTGGGTCTCCTCGCCATTCTCGCCGTAGTTCGAATAGGTTGGCAAGCTCGACGAGGGCAGCGTAGGGGGGTATTGGATAGCTTCGACAGCTTCTTGGGACAATCGGGACTTGATGGATCTCTTGGGTAGTGGTCTGATCAATCGCTCGGGAAAGACCGTCGACGGCGTATCAGGAGACGACAAGTAGGACGTGTCTAGATTGGCGAGTGTTAACCATGTCGTAAGAAAAGGCAAGTGCGATCTCGTGCACCGTCTCCAGGAACATACTGTACGCCATGGTGAAAAGTGATTCCTCCTTTTCGTCCTTTCAAGACTTCCTCTGGACCGGCCACATGTGGGTTGCGAACTCGAAGCCGGAACCTGAGTTGGCCACAAGAGTCAGTCAGACATCGAAGAGGCAATGAGATAATCTTGCTGATCTGCTTGATGCCGGTACACCCAGGCTGAGATTGGACATACCCCCCAAACTGAATTATTCAGCGTAGACTGAACGAAGCCTGGGCCACAGTCATGCAGCAGTGATTCTGTTTGTTCTCGGGCCAGAGGTTTGGTATTCAGTACGTAGAGAAGAATCCAGTGCGGAAGACAAAGTCCACGGTCATCCGTGACTGGTGGGTGATGGTGAAGCAGAAGGTTTTGCTGGATGGAAATGGAGTACATGTTCGCTGTTCACTTCGAGTTCATGTTCGTAACGGCTGCCAAGCCTGCGACTTTTGCCGAACCGGAGCCTCGCCTTGTCTCAGTTCATCCTCATCTTCATCCTCATTCCCTCCAAATTTCAGTGGACTATTGCCCCTATTACTGTCTTACAATGCTGTTGTGTAGATCACAACCGATGCGCGTCTCATGGATGACGCTTTGTAATCCTCATATTATTGCCTTGCGCCACTACAGGCCGCGTACCGCTTTGGAACATGGAGCCGAATTTGTACTATATGGTCTATGGAGTGAGCAGGTATTGAAATATCTCGAGTCACAGCCCATGATCTCTCCTGACTTCACCTCGTCTTGGTGCTTCTTTTTGCTCGTGAGCTGGTAGCCACGTTTGACACAGACGATGCAACTCTCTTCGCCCGACTACTGGCAGTTGATCGGTTGACACCATCGTCGGGCTCCTCGGCCGCCTTTCTCTTCCTGATCTGCTGAACGTCAGAGCCACCAGATATGGGCGCTTTGGCTTGGACTGTCTGATTGCTGTCGCCTGTGACAGAGTCATGCTTTGCGAGTGCTGCAGCTTTCAGTTTCGACGTGACTTGGGATTCCTCTAGGTCGAGAGTGACGGCTTCATTTGAGTCTGGCGGAGATGGGAGGTCTGGCTTGACTCGACGTCTTTTCCGGGGACCTCGCTCGTCCTCCAAATCCTCTGCCGCAGGCGAGTCGTGGGTTATCTCTCTGCCATCCTCGTCCAGAAGCATGGCAGTCTCGAGCTTCGAAGAGCTAGGCCCAGGCGAACCCTTGTCGGACACCATATCTTCCTCAACGCCAACTGGAATGTGTTCTGCTCCGTCGTCCTCCTCAAAACCTGCTTCCTCTTCTTGGTCGTCGTGCTTGAAAGACGCTTGCCTGGGTAGATTCCGTAGACCCATATCGGCGAGACTCAAGTCGTTAGCCCAAGACTCATCTTGCTGGCCCCCTCCTGATGCCCGACCCCAGCCACTGTCTTTGACTGCAAACACTTTTTTCCAGTCCTTCATCAGCGCGACTTTGTTTTCTTGGCCGCCTTCGTACTGCGGGGTCCTGAGCTCGGAAGGTTTGGCCCATATTACACCCTTGATACAGCGGGTCAACAATTGGTCGTCGTTCAGGTCAAAGGTAGGGATGTCCTGTGTTTCAACCAGCTTCCTCTTCTTGCCACGCTTCGGTTCTGTTTCGGTGTGTGCCAACCGCCGTATCGGCCCACCGTCCTGAGGGTTCTTTTTCAACAGTGTTGGGTCATCATCCACGTAGTCATCCGAGTAGTATTCCCAGTCGCTAAAGTATTCCTGCAACTCGTCCTTGACGGCATCTTCCTCGTGGTAAATGGGACTGTGTATCGCATGGCTGGCTAAGTCATCCGCCAACTCTGGGTCCGGGTCCGCGTCGTATAAAACGTCTTCAAGGTCGTCATAGGGCGAGTAGGCGTAGTCTTCAATGTCAGACATGTTGGGAAGGGGACGGAGACGAATTGAGCCCCGTCAAGTCATGATGGAGGGTTCGTGTTGAAGAGAGTTTGTACCCTGAGTAAGGTCGCAGGAAGCACCATCAACTCGACGTGAAAGTGTTTGCCTCGACGCACGCAGCCCCTCGCCCCTCTGTTCGAGCAGTCACGCAAGTCGGTGTCGGTGCGGTGTGGTGCAGGCAGGTGGGACGAATCAACAACAGTGTGACAAACAGTGCGGGCAGCATTGCTCGACAAGGGATCAAGACGATGCGCGTCTCGCTTGATCCCCGCTTCCTGCCGCTCCGATGCAAGGCGACGACAACCGCGCCTCGTGGACATCCTCTTGCTTTTCTCATGCTTCCCTATAAGAGAGCTCTTACACAAAAGGACCTTGCATGAAATGTGACAGATATCACCCAGGTGTTCTTCCTCAACCTAGCCATGTCACACCGTCAGCTCCCACGGGCTGCTGCAGCTCTGCGAACGAGAACGTCTCTCCGATCGTATTCGACAAAGACCATCGATTCGATTCTCATTGCAAACAGAGGGGAGATCGCTATAAGAGTAAACAAGACAGCTGCCCAGCACGGTATCCGCACAACCACACTATATACCAACCCAGATGCTCTCGCACAGCACGCCCATTCCTCGCCCTTCTCCTTCAATCTCGGCCCAACCACTGCATACTTAGACCAAGACAAGATCCTGCGGGTAGCAAAGCAGCAAGGTTGTCAGGCGATACATCCGGGCTATGGCTTCCTGTCGGAGAATGCCGAGTTTGCGAAGAGATGCGCAGAAGAAGGTGTCACCTTCATTGGCCCACCTGCGAGCGCCATTGAAGACATGGGTGACAAGGCCAGGAGCAAGGAGATCATGAATGCTGCCGGTGTACCCTGTGTTCCGGGCTACCACGGGTCCGACCAAGCGCCGGAGACGCTCTCCCAGGAGGCAGAGAAGATCGGCTATCCTGTCCTCATCAAGGCCGTGAGGGGCGGCGGAGGCAAGGGTATGAGAATCGCAAGGTCCGCCCAGGAGTTCCCAGATATGCTAGAAAGTGCGAAGAGCGAAGCCAGGAACTCGTTCGGCAACGATGAAGTCCTAGTCGAGAAGTACATCACGACCCCACGCCACATTGAAGTTCAGGTATTTGCAGACAAGCACGGTAATTGCCTGGCTTTGGGTGAGCGTGACTGTTCTATCCAGCGACGGCATCAGAAGATCCTTGAGGAGTCTCCTGCCCCCAACCTGGACGACTCGATACGAAAAGACCTGTGGCAGAAGGCTCGGGCGGCTGCATTGGCTGTAAAATATGAGGGCGCCGGTACGGTCGAGTTCATCTTCGACAACGATACTGGTGACTTCTATTTCATGGAGATGAACACCAGGCTGCAGGTCGAGCATCCTGTGACCGAGATGGTAACTGGTCTGGACCTCGTGCATTGGCAAATCCAAGTTGCAGAGGGCAAACCACTCCCTTTGACTCAGGACCAAGTCGAGGAACAGATTGCCCAACGTGGCCACGCCATCGAGGCGAGAATCTATGCCGAGAATCCAGACAGGGGTTTCATACCCGATTCTGGCAGACTTTCGCATGTCAAGTTACCGAAGGAGTCGCCTGATGTACGGATAGATAGCGGCTTCGTGCAAGGAGACACGGTGTCCAGCCATTACGACCCGATGATTTCGAAACTGATCGTTCGAGGCGAGACAAGAGAGCTCGCTCTGCGCAAAATGGTAGCTGCGCTGCAAGACTACGAGGTGGCAGGCCCAGTCACGAACATTGACTTCCTCAGACGAATATGCAGATCCCCTGATTTCGTCGCTGGCAACGTTGAGACAGGTTACATTGAGAAACACCGAGACGAGCTCTTTCCCGAAGTCTCCTTTACGCCTGAAGTTCTCGCCGAGGCCGCCATAGCATCCTTCCTGCGCCATTCACCGCAACCGACCTCCTCTCCTGCTCCATGGATTCTTCCTTCGGCGTCGTCTTCGTGGCTCAACAGCTCGTCCGACTTCCAACCACGCACTTTCCACTTCCACTCCGCAGGTTTTGAACCTGGCCCTGGAAAGACACCAGACATCCACACGGTCCAGCTCCAGCAGCTCAGCCCGGGTACTTTCTCTGTACAAACGCCAGCCAATGGCGAAGCAATCACAGTGACATCCTCGTTCGATTCTGCATCGAATACGTTGACCACCTATTTCCCGCACACAAGACACACTTCCCGCGTCATCTTCCAGGTGTCCTCGGCCAGTAACCAGCAGATGATCCACCTTTTCACGCCCCAGGGCTCCGTGCTGCTAACCTCGCCACCGCCTCCTTTCCTGGCCAAAGCCCTTGGCCTCCGCGAATCTCCGAACAGCTTGCTCTCCCCCATGCCAGCAAAAATCCTGCGGGTACTCGTCAAACCAGGCGATGTTGTGAAGAAAGAACAACCATTGGTCGTCATTGAGAGTATGAAGATGGAGACTGTGATCAGGAGTCCAGTTGAAGGGGCAAAGGTCAAGAGAGTGGCACATGGTGAGGGTGAGGTGGTTGGTGCTGGTGTGGACTTGGTTGAATTTGAAGAGCAGAAAGAAGGAGAGTAGTTCTATGCGTCCACGAGAGCGAGGCAAGACATCTAGGTATGTTCTCTGTGCCCTGTCGAGCGAAAAGAGCGAAGCATTTCATCTCCACGATGCGAGCTCAAGCCACGGCACGACACAAGGCACTCTTCAACAATGCTGGAATATGCGTGGCGTAGTCAGCGATGCTTCGCAGCAATGATTACTCCTTGTATTTCCTGTCGGAGAGCCTGCAAGCACCTCGAATGTTCCCATCGCCCCTCTCTGCCCATCGCTTGGCCGCAATACCGGGGTTCAGCTGCAGCGTCTGCTTGGCCTTGACCCATTGTTCCATGGTCTCTTCCTTACCGAACCGAAGCTTGACACCTACTTGCTCCAACACTGGAGAGTCGATGATGGGGACAATGACTGTCTTTTTGTGAGGACGGGCAAAGTACGGCAACCCTGTACGTTCGTACGGGGCGTTGATCTTCTGGTGGGGCGACGACCGGATGCACCGAACTCTTCAACCAGCCCCCTGTCAAGTGCGAGATGGTACCTTCTGCCAGGTTGACGGTGACTGTGCCTGGCTGAGCTGAGCCGTAGGTTCACTTGCCATCTTCCCCAAGGATTTGCGGGCCTACGACCGGTTGCCTGAACAGCAGCGTGACGGAGCCCAGATCGGTATGACCTCCTTTCTTGCCATAGTCGGCCGCTTTTTATCCCTCCTCCGTTGGGGTGTGCTACAAGAATGTACGGGAAATTGTCCTCGCTCGGCGCTTCATATGTATGCAGCCTTGACGAGGTAGTCGTCGGCAGGCAACTGCAATACAAGGGCGAAAGGCCTCAGAAGCGGCAGCACCACGTCGGAGTGCAGCGCTTTCCCTAAACAACTCGATTTCCATGGATATGCGGCTTCAGCAGATACGGGTAGTCATAACTTTGCCAGAAAGTCCGATGTGACCTTGTGGATATTGGAGATTTCGACATTATCAAAGGCCATTTCTTGCAATGTCCGTCCTGGTCGTCGCCAGCCCGTTGTAGTCCGCTTCAGCATAATTGCCGTTCTTACATTTGCCTCCTCCTCGACGGGGCTGTTCCAAGGAGGAAATGCTTTTGCGAGAGTCACCTGGCGGTCGACAGCTTTGTGGTGCAGAGCGAAGTTCTTTGACACAGAAGAAGCCCGGACGTGGTGAAGGGCGTGAGAAAGCTGGGAGGCTAGTCGTTCCCTTCCTAGACCCCCCTAGGTCTGTGATAGTCCTCCAAGTGTCCCAAGGGTCACTGACCAGTGCGGACTGTCTCGGAAGGGATGCACGTAATTTTGGGCTCCAGCTTGCCAAAATCATATCGACCGTAGTCTGGTGCTTGTGCGTGTGCTTGGGTTTGGGCTGTTGTCTCTCAGGTTGTGGTAGTTGCCATTGTGTGTGTGTGTGTGTGTGTCAATACGGTGTTCTATTCGAGCGAGCTAGCTATGTAGCTACTGTATGTGAGCGAGCACCGATGTCTTCTGTCGGTGATGTTAAAATAACAACAACGACACTGCACATCTGTTGATCTCGCAGATCACGCCAATGTCGCTCTACTTGTGAAGGCGCATGGCATTGCCAGGCCAGGGCCCTTCTTATGTATCAAAGCTCCAGGTGTGGGTGGAGGAAGTTCGCGTCATCGACAATTACATACTCTCCGTATGTCGCCGTCACATCATATCTTCTACCTGCCACCGTGCCAATCGTTGAGGCTCGGTAATGTCGAACACATCCCGCGCTGGAGCCGCGATACATCTTTTGCATCCTCTGCACTCCTCTCTCACGGGGGTTGCTGTCAAGCCTTCTCCCGTCCGGGGCTTGGGTGCGAATCAACGAGTCCTCGGTATCAGTGATAGAATGAAAGTCCTATTCGCGTCCACTGTTCACATCTTCCATAAGTACGCGACCTCCTTTCCTCTTCTTCACTCTTCCCCTGGGAAGCTATAAGACCCTTCTTTGACTACTGCGTGGTGCTTGCTCGTCTGCCTAGCAAATTCCACGTCTTAACTCTGCCGCCGAACTCTCCCTATGGTCGATGAAGCTTCTTAGTCGCTGCAAAACCCACTGCATGTCTGTCTCCCGGAGCTACATATGCATGTCTCTGAGATGGCCGTTGGAAGACTCCAGGTAGAACGCGGTGCTCGTGCATCCTGTCTCGCATGACTTCAAGTTGTCGTAGGATTGCTGGGATCGGGGTCTGGCTTCGGGATCATGAACAGGTATGGTCTTAGTAACTGAGCCTATGTCGTGGAGATTATCATTCCTGTATAACGTGATCTTGTGCATGGCGTTGTGGACCACGCCTTTCTTATTGGTTTGCTCTGCGATCTTATCAAGCCTCCCACTGCGTCGTGGCTTTTAAAGATCGCCTTTCTTACAAGCATCCTCGATGCTCACGTAGCATTGTTTCAGTTCAGCTGGATCGAGATTACGAGCGTGGAATCCAGCTTTCGAATCAGCTGGTGAAGTATAGCCGCAACCCGACGCGGCAGGTGCCGTCTCCATTTGGAGGTATGGTCATACTCGGGAATATTCTAGATCCCTGTACTCGGCAACCAAGAAATGGTCATGCATCAACATAAGAACACTCTCTGTCCCGAGAATCGTCCTGTAGATTTGCCTGCCAGCCGTGAGCAGATCATCACTATAGGCCGCCTGCCCACTGTGTCGTCGATTTGAGTCTTCCCAGGGAAATCTGTGTCCCTCGGGAAGGGCGCGGCCTCGGCGTCGTCCGACACGCTGCGGCAGATAATGTAGCGAGGGCACAAAGTCTCTTTCAGCCTGTATTGATACGTAGACTCAGACGTGAGTAGTTGGGGCTCGCACAGGGGAACAAAAGCAAGAAAGGTGAGGGTTGCGAACCATCATTCAGAAACAAGATGCAGGAGCAGGCGTGCCTGCGGCATCATTCCCACCTACCCACGCTGGAGATAAAACTCAGACTTGCCCATGCAATTCGTTAACCAGACTGCGGAAGAAACTCATGAACATATATCGATGTCACGTTGTGATAGACGCTGATAATATATTACTGTACCTAAGATCTTACCTTTACCGTTTAGATTGACTACCCCTGTTCCACTCTGACCCCTTAATTACTAGACTTACCTTGTGTTTGCCAGTGTTGAATCATTCGAACTTGTATAGACTTACCTTTGAGACCCGTTCCATTACAGCGTCGGGCGACGGAATCGCGGTGTCCGCCTCAACATTATATTGTCGGATTCTCTGGACTGGCTGGAGGCTGGGCTCCCCTGTGCGACCACTTGCGGAGCTAAAGTTTGTGAGTGGACAACACTTTCAGTATCAGGAGAGGTGCAGTACGAGGGTGCAGCGGAGCCAGCCTCTGCGGTCACGGACACCTGGCGGTCACTAGAATGGTCACCCTCGGACGCTGGGCGACGAACCACAGTCGCTGGCGTGGGTGAGTTGTTGTCTTGCACGCGGCCGGGAGTTCGGGTCACAGATCGAGGGTCCTGCTGAGCGTCAGATGCGTACTCGGGGGGTGTGGTATTCTCACCGTACAGCTCAGGGTGGTTGAGCCGATTGATCTCTCGATCCCGTTCTTGGATCACTCTGTGTGCCATAGCCAGTTCCGAGAGCTGGTCGGCGAGCCTCCGCCGGCGCTCCTCGGCGTTAAATGCATGGACCTCAATGTCGTCGAGAAGGGTGTCGATAATCGCTACGACGCCGTCAACTGCTTGCTCCAGGTCATGCACGGCTTCCCGTGCGGCAGGTGAGGTGAATCCTTCGAGATTCGACACCGCGGTGTGGAGACGGCGGATCGCGGTCAGAGGAGGACTTGATGGTAACGAGTCACTCCCTCCGCTGGGAGTATCGAATCTGTCGGCCTGATTTGCCTCATCCGAAGAAACATTCTGCACATCTCCTTGATCGGAGCGGACTCCACTTCCTGGTGAAACCTGGACATGTCGACGCCCATGCTGGATATCATGGATAGTCCCATCGTGAAGGACATAGACCCCATTGCCTTGGTATACCGGACTGGGCCTCGAATCTGAAGAGCTCGACAACTCCGACCATAACTGGTGAGCTTGACACCGTTCTGAACCTGCCATAAATGGATCAGGCAGCGTATTGCTGCCGACGGCAAAGTTCTGTACCATTGGATTCTGTGGTCGCTGAGGATTCGAATTCAAGGAAGTGTCAGAGACTGCGGCTTGAGACAGAGAAGGAGGCGAAGGCGAGTCGGAATCATCACGAATGGTGGGTCCAGGTGAACCATCAACGCCTCCAGACGCTGGCAAAGCGAATTCCTGAGCTTCAACAGCCTCCGAAACACTGTGATGCGGACGGACCTCGTGGTCGACCCAACCTTGGCGTGGCTGCTGGGAGCTGTCTGTTTGAGATGGTTCGTCCAAAGCCTCAGCAAATTCTGTTTCACCGTGACCGAGACTTGAAATTTCCGACATAGAGGCCACGTCGTGGTGGCTTGAAGGACGGTCTAACTGGAGGTTTCTTCGACCTGGTCTTCGTCGAAGCCGAGGAATTTCTGGAAGACCGTTTAGCAGTGAAGTCATGAGAGCATCCGAAGATGCCTCAGTCTCCCAGAAAGAGCTCGGAGAGGAGCTGAGCGCGGCGCGGCTGGACCCATCCGAGTATTTCGTGCCCAGGTAACGCAAGTCAGCATAGGAGAAATTGGAGCCAGAAGGTGGGTCGATCGGTTCTGGCCAAGATAGGTCCTGGATCGGATCAGTGTGCTGGACGAAGAGACCGGTGGGGGACCGCATAAGGGGGCTGTGTAGACGATAGGCCGATTCTGGGGTCGTCACAAAGCTGAAGTCAGTCGATCCACCATTGAAAGCGTCCGAGAAGCCTTCCCAATGAGGATTCTCAGGTCTCTGAGTGTCCTTCCGATGCACCCGGGCAACGATTTTACCAAGGGCTGAGGCCAGCTTGCCCTTGACACGCCGAAGAAGGCCGAACTTCGATTTTGCCATTTTGATGTCGATTTTTGGCTAGGTGCGGAAGGACTTGCTCTTTCGGAAGAATTGCTGAAACCTTGGCTGCATACCGCAAGGTACCAGCAACGTTCCTGTGGTGAGATGGTCTGGGGAAGGAAGACTGTAGGAGATCGAGGAGACCTTTATGCAAAAGAGGTTCTCATGCCCTTCCGTTGTTTCTTGCGGCAAGGCACTTAGCAACGTGCCATGTCGTAAAGCGGCTTTGTGCTGGGGCAAGGCAGTCGCGTCCACAAAGGCTCTTGATCGGCTGAAAGAGGGCTTGCTTGCTGACTGAAAGGCCCTTTGACGACTGAAGATACCGAGATGACTGAAAGGAACCTTTACACCAAAGGACGCCAACCTATCGCCAGAGCAGGATCTAGGCAAATGGTAAGATTGGAAGGAAGAAAGGGGTGTGGGAAAGGCGGGATTAGCTTACCTCGCACCGATTCCGCGGATGAAGGAAACGCCCACTTCGGTTGTATGAGAAACGGATATATTCACTATAGCGGCACCGCCGCATGAGGCTTGAGTAGTAAAGCGGTCAGTGGATTTGCAGAATTTAGATTTGGGCGTATGTACTTGGATGGAGACCATAGACTCACCTTGGGGCTTCCGCCTCCCATCATTGCGAGTCAATCCCTGTCTATTCATTTGCATGTACACTGTGCAGTCAGAGTGAGAGCCGTCGGTCGGGGCGTGGGGGAGTCCAATCCTGAGGATTCCGAAGACGATCTTGGAGCCATTGAATCTCAGCGTCTCGCTCGGCAACCAACGTCACCGCCATGGCCTCTCGCTCTTCAGCGCGTATGGCTTGTCGGCGATGCACCTCAGCATTGTGGAAGTAAACGCGAGCTTGGTCGACAAGGTCAGTGATTGCTTGTTGGGTTTCGCTGGACGCCCCTACCATGGCCAATGTGGCATTGTCAACAGCGTCCTCTGGGGAAATCTTGGGACGCAGTAGTGCCGGGAGCGGTGACGGCACGACCTCGGCCAACATGGGGGAATTGGGTCGGTAAGGTGGTGAATATGCCTCTCCCGGTCGTGCCGGCAGCTCATTGATACCGTGGTGGCTCCCATCAATAAGTTGGTAAACACCGTTTCCTTGGTAGACTGGGGCGTCCGCATCGTTGAACTCGTCGGATGAGAAGTCGTCCCAGGGTCTGTTGTCGCTAGTGTGGTCTTCATTGACAGCAAATGCGAAGGCTTGAGCCGAGCCTGGAGTTCGGCCAATCTCATTGTTCAATGTGTTCTGCTCGGTGTTGCCTGAGCTTAAGTGTAGACTTGGGATGGATGAAGTGTTGATCTCCGCAGGATCACTCAAAGAAGAAAGGTCGGCTTTATCCTCAGACACAGCAGGCGAAATGGTCGAAAGATTAGATGGAGCATCGGCAAAGCATTGCGCGTTACGACGTCGGCCAGGTCGGGAACCCGCACTAGCGCTTGGTGATCGGTATGGGCTGGCGGAGTATTCCACGTCGGCACGAGGACGTCGCACTCGGAAACGTTGAATCTGTGGAGGGGTCGGCAACTCCGACACAATAGCCTCCTGTTCGGGTGGCTCAGAATCTTCGACGGTTGTGTAAGAGCTAGTGCCGCAGGAAAAATCCTCCTCGCTAACAACCACAGTGAATCGTTGGTGCGGCCTCGATGCTCGCGATGGCAACACTGTGCGAAGAAGTGATGAAACCCGCTTCTTCACGCGGCTGAACAAACGGGATGACTTAGTTGGAGACATCTTGATTTGAAATGCCGGACTTACCGTTTCTCGTGCCAGGAGCGAGTGTTGCTACTCAAGCAGGGTGGGTTGGTGAAGACCTTGAGTTGTAGAATGTACCTGCAAATCGTCTCCGCTGGAGTGCCCTGAGTAAAGCAGAAGATGCAGGGAGCGAAGATGGTTTTATCGACGAAAGCTCCTAAGTCTTGGTCATTCCCCTGTAGGCAAAGGAAGTGGCACTGCTACACAAGACGATAAGAGTCCTGGAACCAAGGCAACTGCAACACTTCTTAGTCTCAATGCTTTGATGTTAGAAGGATAAAGCTCATTGTCACGAACAAAGGAAGGAGAGTGCAGATCAAGACCGGCTCACCTGGTGGCGGCATTGTGGCAAAGGCGATATTTTGCACGTCTCGTGCCTGTATATATATCCAGGGAGGAGATCAATGTGAGAGCTGTAGGGTAAGCCCGGCCGCGATGTTGAATGGGCGGAAGTTGTACCACAGGGCTGTAATTGGGGAGCTCGAGTCCCGGAACCGTAGAGATGTGATTAACCCATTGACGTATCAAGCGACACGGCAGCTGAACTTACTATCTGAAAGCGCAATCGATTGTGACTTTCGCTCCATTATCTCTTTCTGCATGTATCGTTGTCGCCTTGAGGCTTCATGTTTCAGCGTCTCCACAGATCCCGCAACATTTCAGTCTCAGCCTCCGCCGCCACAAGGCGGCTGCGTAGCTGCTCAACTTGCGCATCACGAATTGTAAGACTTCTTACAAAGATCCCGACGTTGTAGTGATAGGTTCTGCTGTCCAAGACAAGGTCATTCAAGGCTTCGGTCAAGTCGAGCATGGCGCGCTGCACATTTTCGACGGCGGTTCTGGGAGGAAATTCGTGTGACAACAGTGGCAACACTATTCGCGGGGCCTGGCTTTGTCGCTGGTCGATCGTTGCTTCTGGAACAGGTGGGAGGCTGACTTCATCGTCCGACCAAGTGTCCGGCGCATTTCGTGGTCGTTGACGGGTGGGGGGGGGGGGGGGGGGGGTGAAATGGGTGGGGAGCGTCCACGACTGCTTCATCGCGGTCGACGAATGGGTCATCGAGAAGTGACAGCGCGTCGATCGCGAACCCTTGAGCGCGGGCCAGGGCCTCTCTGCGACTCATGCGCTGGGCAAATGAATCGGCCACAGGAGTTTCGTCAGGTGCATGGAAGGGCGTCCCAGTCGTCTGAGCGTCCAATTCTCCGGCTACCCTGAAATTAAATTCATGTCCCGACTGATGATTTGAAGCCGAGCGCGGGGATGAGTTGTCTGTTCGAAGTCTCTCTGGCTGCCTGGCGGGATCCTGTGAGACCAATCCCTGGTAAAGTCGAAATTCGAAAGCAGAGACTGCCGGGAGTTCGTGGACGGGTGACATCGAGGTAGGTTCTCGGCTGTTCGAGTGCGCTACTGGACTAGCAGTGTCCCCGGACCTCGTTATATCATAAGTCCTCGATCGCCCTGGGTCATGATCACTCGGTGTTTGTGGAAGAGCAGAGATCTGGGACTCGTCTCCAGAACGTGGTTGTAGTAGGCAAGGCGGAAGAAGATGGGTCGCTGACCGCTCCAGGTGCCGAATGCTGATTGGGTGTTCCAGGGCTGCAAGCAAGCTTAAACCTACCAGGAGCAGTAAACATCTTCGCCTTGGGGTGAGCTTTAGCCCGTGAGACGATGGATTGGAGATCTTTCGGGCCGAAGCCCCGATTTCGATACCTGTCCGCCATGATAATGTATGTTGTACAATGATGGGAGGGGAAGCTGAATGAGTCCAGAGACTTTGTGCTGTTGTTCGAGGGCCTCGTGTTTGCGGACTGGACTGACTGCCAGTGAGACTGCTTGTGAATTGCTCTGAAGCATGAAGGAACATGGGTCGGGTGAAAAGCGCAATACGTATATCTCCAGCATCCGTGGTCCGTAGGCAATGGACAACGCAACTGCTTGCGTAGGAAACATGCTGTGGCAGTTGTGTAACTGCCCCTGGCCAAAGGTTTCATTGCCTGAGGGACAAAGGCCGTTTTACATAACGGAGGAAACGAACAAAGGATCCATGAATCGTCTTACTGATCACCGAGTCCATTTTTCTGACAGAGATCGGGTCCCACACGGGCGTGACTGATTGATCTGGACCGGTGGCTCGACGTCAATGTACGGGAAAGCGCATTCCGGCGACTATTCGCCATTTCGAATAATCTATGCCGGACCATGGCGAAAAGATAACTTACCTGGTCATAACTTACCTGGTCAGTGGTCTCGACATATTCTGGTGGTTTCTAAGTCATCATTCCATTCATCAGCAAATGCCAATTACCATGCAGCAATGCCTCGTCCGGAGCTATCTGTGTATGGTGGGGAACTTGACATGTTGTCCGAGGATCTTAGCTATTTCACAATTTCCTTCTTGTAATATTGGGTTCTCCACATTCATGAATAAATTGCTTACCACATTTCCTGTTCTTCACGACTCAGATTCATAAAGACCTGCGCTTTTGTCCCGACCTAAGCCGGCCGTTATTCGACGTACCGTGGAGGTTGGAATCTTCACGGAGATCAAGGAAGGCACTGTCCGAAGCCGTCTCCATGAGGCCAAGGCGTTATCGGCATCGACGAGTATCCGTAGCTCGGCTCAACAAAACCTCGTCTTCATTTCTGATTCATGATGTCGGGCGCTGTCAGCCCCTTAATACTACTAAAGCGACGGAATCTGGATGGTGTCGTTGCTGGCTCCGCCGTCGCTGTCTTCAATATCTGCATGATAACCACTTCCGCCATATAGATCAGATGTCTCAGACTCGTCATCGTAGTCACGGCCATAGTGTGCTGGATGCTCATCCGGTAGTTTTCGAGTCCGTAATGTTTGGGTCTCTGCGTCTCTTGTGCTAAGGAGGATTTTTAGTCGTGCAATCTCTGCATCTCTCTGCTGGACATTCTGCAGAGCTGTTGCTAGTTCCTCGTCCCGAGCCGCAACTCTCCCTGCAAACACTCAGCATTCCAGAAATGTGTCTGAGCCTGGGAGATCAGGTTGTTCAACTGCTGAGCCAAACCGTTCACGGCCGACTGCGCATTTTTTATTGCAGTAGCCAGGGGCACCATTACTGGAATGGCTTGGGGAAGGAGTTGTTCCTGCGGAAGCGGCTCTCGCTCTTGACGGAAATGCTCTGGCTGTGGCGTCATAGCTCCATCTTCGTCAGACGAATCATCTGGGACCAATGTGCGCACGCGCGGGATGCGGGTGTCGAGCATCGGTGGTGGGTTCAGGTGATATCCTCTGTCAAGCAACTCGTACTGTCCTGATGCAATTCGAATCAACCGACGATTCTGCCTGTCTGATGAGAATTGGTCGTAATCATCCGACCAACGTGCTGGGGACTTCGGGGTGTGGGTTTCGGCAACAGTCGTTGTCTCCGAAATTGGGACTATTTCGGCTTGCGTTTTTGCATCCCCGACGCTCACAGGGAATTTCATTTCCAGACATTCCTTCTCTGGCTCTGACTGTATGAACGGGTCACTGAGAGTCTCCATGCCACCGAATAGGACACTTGTCGAACCGGGATTCGGGGGTTTCGGCTTTCTCCGAAGAGCAAACGTGTCCTTGCTTGAGGCTCCAGAAGGAAGGTGTCGGGAAGACAGCGAGGGAGATAGAAGTTGGCTGGATGGGTCAGTGCCGGACAGCGAAGAGCCGAGAATCTGAGAATTCACCTTCTCGGAAAGTGAACCCTGCTTTGTACGGCAGAATCCGGCTTCAGCAATGGCCGCACGTTCTGGCTGTGCTTCTGTAGAGGGCTGTTTCTGTTGAATGTCAAGGTGATCAGCCTCATCGTTACCAAACAACGCTGTAGATGTTGCGAGCGCAGCAAGATGTTGTTCGTCTAGCAGTTGACAACCAAGCTGCGAAGGTGGTGCGAAGTATACCGAGGGCTGAGCGAGTGAGGAAGCAGAAATCTGGCTCGGTTTCTTGCACGGCCGCTGTGCTTTCAAGCCTGAACGGTCGGACGAGTCATTAGTTGAAGATGGGCGATTCTCCCGGCTGCGAATGACATACCTTATGGTCAGCCCTGTCGGTCGTGGTGGGGAAGGGGCCTGAACGACATTGGTAACATCCAAAACGGTCGATGCTCCTTGGAATAGATCATTACCAGGGACATTGGGGACACGATTCGTACTGGCGTCTTTCTGGATCACTCCGGCATGGTGGGCAAGAAAGGCTTTGTTGAAAGCAGAACGCAGATTTGCTCTGACACGCTTAAGAAGACCTTTGGCCACGGATTTGTTGAATTGAGAATGTCGCTCACGTCCTCTGGACGCAAAGTTGACAGGCATGGTGGTGGTTGCTTCGGCTGAACCAGACTTTCGGTATGGTAGAAATTGGCAGATATTAGTCTGGTCCTTGTAGTGTATGGAAGAGGACTTTGGGACCGACCGGCTGCTGCTGTATATCTTCAAGAATGGAAGTGGATGAGAGGAGAAGTGAGGGCACGATGGAGGAGGAAACCATCCTCTCTTAGTGCTCACTTCAGGCAGTAAGCAGGGCAGCTGGGTCTGAAAGGGGGCAGGGTGCAGACATAGATCGTACAGCTGCCGTTGCCTTTGCCGGACAAACAAAGTAGGATTGAGCCAAGGATCCATTGTTGAGACAAAGAAAGCTCGCGGATTAGCCTCAGATCAGGTTACCTCTTCAAGACTTTCCACTGGATGTAGCCCATCCGATGTAGGTTTAATCCGTAAGAGGCCTTGATAATATTGCGATCGATACCGGTGCGTAACGTCCATGGTACATCAACTCTGATGAGAGGAGAGCGCGCATCGGCCGGTACTGATCAGGGGTTTGTCCACCTCGTGCCCTATAGAAGTGATGTGATGGGTTGTAGACAAATGCACATTGGCTCTTGTGGATTTTAGGCCATCGGATGCTGCTGCTTGTCTGAAGGATATGCCGGTTCATGTATCATTGGGCAGAACACACTTGTCGATTGATGATATTCTGCTGGCTATAAATCCTGTGCTTGCTTTGTCTGAGATTGGCCGCCTATTCGGCTGTCCTTATTTGGCTCTTCCACGGGTGATCCCTTGTAGTCTTGTTCCTCGGTAGCTGGTTCATCCATGATGGTATCGGCCGAGCTTGTTTCGAATGACCAGACGTCTGGTCTCCGAGTGAAGGTGATTTCCCGGCTATGGGTTGTACGGCTTCATTGTCTTCTCGTCGTCTACGCCCTTCGCTAAAGAATTTTCACACAGGTGGAATCTGTTTGCGCGTGTCAACTGTTGCGATCTCTGAAAGGACAGAGACAAAGATCCTGGAGACTAGTACTTCGCCCCGCTTGTGGTATCTGTATAATTGGTCGTCACGTATCGGAACATTGACCTCGAGCTGCGCCTCGGTGGGATAGGGAATGGGGTTCTTCGGACCGGCGTTCTGGTGTCGGACTGGTTTGCGCGAGCGTCCCTGTGGCCGGATGAGTCGCTAGACCTTTCGGGCACGATCTCAGCCCCATAATGAATGAAGAACGACGACCCAACCCCGGAACTCATGACGCCGGAGTGCGGAGAAGGAGTGGAATGTAGGTTTGCTCAGAGCAACGAGAAGGCGTCCTTTTGAGACGGCTGAAGAGATGAGCTGCTCAACCATGTATCATTGATTTGCCACCTCCTGTAGGGAACGGTGCTGTAGGAAACGACCGCGTTCCTTTGAGATTAGAGGAGTCCTTGATTAACCCGAAGGATAGCAGAAGAGTTTACGGACAATAGCTCATCGTGGTGGTCGGAAAAATGGATAATGATCAATGGATGAGGGTGTCGGGGGGTTGGGCGAAGGCAGCTGTTCGGCAAACAGTCGCTGTAACAAAATTAATCCGCGGCAGAACTAATCCGCTGCCTTGGTCGTGGAGACTCACTGTTGTTTTGACAGTAGAGAACGGTGGGTGCTGTAATCATTCCAAAGGTAAGGAGATATTTGACTATAAATGAATGTTGATAGGAGCACATGTCAGGGGGAGTAGACGAGCCATATGGTAAAGACCAGAGCAGCTACAGACCGCCACCAATGTCAAAGAAAACCCGTTGGAGGGCCATCGTGACAGGTTAGTCTGGCCAATACGGATTACAACAGGGAGGAGAGCAGAGGTCTGATATTTTCTCGTGACTGGGGGTTGTACTGAAAAAGTTGCAAAAGTGTGGTCTGTGATGGACATCTGACATGGTAACAGCGAAAGAGCCAAGGAGAGAGAGTGGCGAGAAGGCATCGGCGGAGGGATGAATTACTTGTGAGACAAAGAAGCCAGAGTAAACAGAAAATAAGGAACCCATAGCAAGCTGGGCTTCCAGTAGGCGTGGTGGCTATTTGTTGCAAATGTGAGGCACCGAGCGCTGCAAGGAGAAACCCGCTGGAGGCCGACTGTAAAACCTGGGACAGGCAGATTACAGAGACAGTCGTCGCACGGCCTTGATCGAGGTATTCGTACGAAGGAGTATCAGATGAAAGAGTAAGGTGAGGCAGCAAGACTCCAAAATTAATCGTTGGCCCCACGGAGTCATTGGCCTGCACCGATGCATCGAGGCGCTGTATTAGCAACGGCGCTATTCCCAATTTGGAATGGCTTATGTCGGAGCAACAAGCAAGGGGACCTGATGAACCAACAACCACAAACAGCCATCAGGATGGTTGTGAAGAATATCTCTTCAGGCCCTCCTCACCTTTACGACCTTGACCTAATGACATTGAGATCGGGATCCTAGATATTAGAGCATTTTGCGACTGCCTGGGAGGGCAAAGTCAGCACTCTTTATTGCACTCATATTTTCATTTCATTCTCACAGCAGCAGACGTTCGGCGCCGTCCCTTTCCACCTGGTTTTGGCCTATTCTTTCCCGATCAGACTGCCTCACAGCCTCTGCGCTGGCCGCCGGCTGGTTTGACGGAAATAACGGGACTTTGTTCGCTCCCAGCATTTGCGCACTCAGCCACCGGGCGACATAGGCCACATTCCGAACACTGGCAGTCTTCGCAAGCTTCACCTCAGCAACCGCGATCTTGTCACCATGTCTGCAGGTACTGAGAACGTGTTTGGGCGATCTGTTTGTGAAATGTCTGACTCGATTACAGACACACCACGCGTTGTTCCGCTGACTTGCCATGGACATTCCCGGCCAGTGACACACTTGAATTTCTCCTCGATCGTGGACGACGACCAGTACTATCTCATCTCAGCATGCAAAGGTAAGGCTTGCACTCCCATGGAGGCGATCCTGACGAGTGGCAGATAACAATCCGATGCTGAGAGATGGCATGACTGGGGACTGGATCGGGACTTTCATTGGCCACAAGGGTGCTGTTTGGACTTCAAGACTCTCTTCCGATGCTTCAATCGCAGCAACTGGATCAGCGGACTTCACCGCGTAATACCGATCGGATCATATGGCAGATGGCGCACGCTAACAATTGACCAGGAGAATCTGGGATCCTCAGACCGGAGAATGCTTGAACATATTGACCCATAACCACATTGTTCGCGCCGTTGCCTTTCCGATCCAAGTCAACCCACAATGTGTAGCAACTGGGGCGCAGGATAAGAAGTTGAAGATCTTTGACTTGACACGGGGAAGTAGTGCGGCTACTTCTGATCAGGCCAGCAGTTCATCACCTATCACACCAATAACCGCTTCAGAAGGACATGAGATTGGGCCGGGGGAACATGGGGGCAGCATCAAATCGATCGTCTGGAACGTCGACTACAATGTTCTGACAACTGCCTGCGACGATAAGACTCTCCGTTGGTGGGATCTAAGGACCCAGCGAGTGATCGCCACTGTCAAAACGGAGCGGGACATCACTTCGTGCGAGCTGTCTACCAACAAGGCAGAAGACAGCGATCCGGGCATCCTGAGCGTGGCAGCAGGACATTCATGTTTGTTCTTTGACGCGGGCCGGCCGGGAGAGCTAATCAAGCAAGTCAAGTTCGATCATGAAGTAGCTAGTGTGGCCATCAATCCGAGCACTGGACGTTTCGTGACGGGTGGCGGCAAAGATACTTGGGTTCGAGTGTGGGACTTCGACCAAGAGAAAGAACTGGGTACGAGCCTGCACCCTAGGGATCGAAAGGTCATGCTAACCTGTAACAGAAGTCTTGAAAGGCCACCATGGTCCGATCTGGTCGGTTTCGTTCTCGCCTGACGGCAAGCTCTATGCTACCGGAAGTGAAGACGGAACCGTCAAGCTGTGGAAAGCTTGCAAAGAGCCATATGGTCTGTGGCGTTGAGCCCGAGACACAAGACTATGGCAGACCAGACAGGCTGAGCACATCATCTGCAATGGTCATCGCCAAACACGTGAACGGTATGCAACTTCCGACTGACGACTGTCGAGGCTGTTGGTCCAACGGGTCCGAGACCGCGTTGTCAAGCATCATGTAACATATATGGCCGAGATGAATTGTTCCGGGTCATATGTGCGTCGATCAGGCGTTGATGCTGGGGATGACATAAAGGGGTAGCCAGGGTGTGGATGCTGCTCAGGGCACAAAGAAGGGCTGGAACCACCTGCTATTGGGCATGTCCCTCCTTGGAGCCTGGAACGTGAAAGCGAGCAATGAGCTTTGCCAATTGGAATACTTTCATGCAGGAACGACGGGCAGCGGGAGCTTAGAGGGGCGGGAGGAGGCCACGTCTCCGAGCAGAAATCAGCTTGTGTGCTCCAAACTGGCTACATACATGAATGAGCATGATCATCAACTACCCCGGTAGGCACTGCAACTACCGGAGCTGGTAAGCAAGGAACAGGCACCACAAGTACCGCCTACCGCAGCGCGTTAAGCTCCGGCAGCTCAGCCGCCAATCACGTTTGGGCAATGGTCAAGCTACACCGACACCGCCAGTTGGTCCCCCGCCATTTACGCACTGAAAATATTCCTTCCCCCTTCCATATCAGTCCACTTGCGCCGTTCTGGATCTATCCGGATGGACTCATACCGTCGCTTTGGCATTCTGGGTTAGCGAGAAGTGCTTCCGCCGTTCGTGAGCGTGTGCTTTCGGTCAGATCTGTCATTCGCTTGCAATCCTCCCCCTCAACTGCCACCACCGTCCTCGGTACCACGACCGTTTATCACTCCCACACCCACTTCCGCTCCCGCTCCGACTCCATGCTCGCTGCGCTGGTCGCTCCTCCACTTGCACGCTGTTGTTGAACGCTACCTTCGTTATCACTGGTCTCTTCATTCACCCGGCCGAAAGACTCAGGACACTCTCGCTGCTACCTCTTTGCTCAGCGCTATCTCCGATACTCTGAAAAATGGACCAGGAGAAACTGGAACCCATATCAGCAACAACGCCGGGACTGCGACAGCATAATGAATCGCCCTCTCAAAAAACAGCTTGGCCGAGATGGGAGAGGAAAGGCAAGGAAAGGAGCACCATAGCCCGCATGTGCACATGGGTTGTAGAGCATCAGATTAGTGAGTGCGGCCGGGACGAACAGCAATGAAGGCTCTGTGCTGACATCAGTCTAGGCATATCGCTGAGCCTCATATCGACGCTATTCTTCCTCCACATATTGTTCCCTTCGGCCAGACACCATACTCAGAAGTTCTTCCGAATCTCCTACTACAACCCTGCCACGGGGAACTTCGCCCTCGGCTGGGACGACATATTCTTTGTCTTCTACTGGACGATAGCCTTCACCGGACTCCGATGCGCCACGATGGATTATGTTCTTGCCCCTCTCGCTGGGATCCTAGGCGTCAAGAAAAAGAAGCCAAAGGTCCGATTTGCCGAACAGGCCTGGATCCTCTGTTACTACACCGTTTCCTGGTGCATTGGCATGTACATCATTTACAACTCGGACTATTGGCTCAACTTGCGAGCCTTGTGGCGGACATGGCCCGACCGTGAGATGGAGGGCATTGCAAAATGGTACTACCTCGTTCAATTTGGTTTCTGGCTCCAACAGATCGTGGTGGTCAACATCGAAGAACGTCGCAAGGACCACTGGCAGATGTTTACTCACCATATTTTCACGTGCGCGCTCATCTTTACCTCCTATGGCTATCATCAATACCGTGTCGGCACCTTGATTCTTTGCCTCATGGACTTTGCCGATATTATTCTCCCGCTTGCCAAAATTCTCAAGTACCTCCATTTCGAACTCGCTTGCGACATAGCTTTTGGCGTTTTCATGGTCTCCTGGTTTGCTCTGAGACACGTCCTGTACAACATGGTCTGGTATAGCATCTATGCACACATTCCGCAGGAAATCCGGTACGGCTGTTATCGAGGGAGCGTAAAGGACCTCGAGGGACCCATCCCCACGCCCAACGACTGGGATCATCTCATCCAGCCGTTCAAGAACCCCGTGGGACTAGTGTGCTGGAACAACAGCATCAAATGGGGATTTCTGAGCATGCTTGCAGCCCTCCAGGTTATCTTGATTATATGGTTCGGCATGATTGTCAGAGTGGCTTACAAGGTCATCACCGGAAAAGGAGCAGAAGATGTTCGTTCTGACGATGAAGATGATGACGAGGAGGAGGAGGAGGAGCACGACAAGATGGAGGATGAGAAGTCCCCGAGGGATTACGTCGACAAGGTCAAACTCTGCGTCGATCCGCAGGTCGAGTACCTTGAGACCGAGGTTCTCAGCACGGATACGAATTTCTCAGTCTCGAAGTCGTCAAAGGCGAGGACGAAATCCCGATCCAAGTCGAAATCAGCGTCGCCTTCGTCGTCGAAAGGCAGACGATCGAGTTCAGAGTCCGTGGCCGCATCGTCGACGAGCGGTCTGAGGAGAAAACAAAAACATGACTCGGCGCACTCATCTGGCGTCAACCTCCTAGGACCAAGTAGCGACCGGAAAGAGCTTCTTGGTCGGATCGGCTGCGACAAGGGCTCGAATTCCGACTAGACCTTTTTGTATTTTCGCGTACTCGGAATGACTGACGACAAGGTGAGCGACTGCTGGCGACTGGCCCCAAGTTCAATGGCCAGGTAGAATAGATTGTTTAGACGAGCATCTGGCGAAAGACCGAACGGCGCGGCAACATCTCATGTTCGTCTCTCTTCATTCCCTTGGTCTGTGCACTTACTCCGCGACCATGACTTAGTCTTACAAGGCCCTACTGCGCGGAGCTGCATCTGTGTGTCGCCGGTCGTAATACATGAGTAGCAGGGCCTTTTCATCGTACGGCAGCTGTTCGGCATCATAACCCCTCGCCGCTCGCCATCCCGCCGTCCCTGCCAGGAATATCTTTCAAGGCAGGGCCAAACACATCGCCCTCTCTCTCGGCCCTCTCGCGCTCCAACCTCCGCTTCTTTGCCACCTTTTCCGCGTCGCTGCCACTGCCCGTCGCGCTGCCCTCCCTCTTCTCCGCGGCCTTGGCACGCGCCACGGCCACGATGTCCGTCTTCTCGGGATTCTGACACACATTCAGCTTCTTCCCGATGCGGCGCATCTCCTTGCGCTGCGTCGCGGACTCCTCCTCCGGCGGCGTGTATGACTGTAAGAGCTCGGCGCACGAATTGACCGTCGCGAGCAGTTTCGTCTGCAACGCCGCGATGTCGACGTCCGACGTCTGGCTGCCGGCCTGCCGCTCCACGGCATCTACGATCGCCTCGAATTTGTAGTTCAAGTACGCCTCGCACAGGTCGCGGTCCGCGACCATGAGCGCGCCGAGCCAGATCTGCGACGGCGTGAACAGGAAGTACGCGTCCGTGAGCTGCGCGGCGGTCGCGAGCAGCTTCTTCGCCTGGTCGGCCGCCACGCCGATGCGTTTCTCGCTGCCGCGGCCGGGCTCGATCGCGCCCAGTTTTCCTTCCTCGGCGAGGACGTTCATCTCGACATGCCCTCCTTGCAGCCCTTTCATGGGGTGGCGGACGTCGAGCGTGAACCGCAGACCCTGCAGGAGGAGGAACTCCGGGGCCTTGACGTCGTCTTCGGAGATGTTGTGTAGTTCGGCCACGAACCGCGAGAGCGGCAGGTAAAAGTGGTCGGCCTTGGTCGCGAGGTACAATGCGCTGGGGAGGACGGCTTTCGGGTGGTACGTCATGGGCGATTGTGTGAGGTAGAACCGCCGGAGGTATTGCGTGGCCGTGGCCTGTGGAAAGGGGGGACACGATAGTTAGATATTTAGACAATTCAGATGTTGTGATCAGTGGAAGAACGCCGTGGTCATGTCCGGTCGTATCGGACTGGCCGATACCAGCGAGTGGTAGGGACCATAATGGGATGAGAGCAGGTGGGACGGCTTGAGATGAGATATAGCACAGTGTAGCTACAGGAGTCCCTCATCCTGACGGTCCCCTCCCATATGGGAGAAGGAAAGAAGCCTCGCTTGAAGATAGATCGGTTGGATCACACACCACATAAATCGTCCACAAAAGAGAGGAACAACACAAAGAGAACAAATAGAGAACAAACAGAGATGGCAAACTCACCACGACATGGCTTGGAATCCGCGGGTTCATCGCCTCGCCCATATCCACAATCTTGCTACACCCCCATTCCACAATCTTCAACTCCTCTTCCACGGTCAATGTGTCGATCACGGTGTCTCCTGTCGTCGCCGCCGCCGCAGCATCGCCCTCGTCACCGCCGTGTGGACCGCCGTTCTGAGCAGATCGGGCGCGCCGGAACGCAGCACGCACTCTCTGTGCAGCGAGCTCGTTGGTCTCCTGCCGGATCCGGGCCAAAGATTCGCGCGTGTAGGACCACAGCCGATATTGGCTGGAGGAGCGGTAGATGTCGTCTTCGATCATGGTGGCGGGCCGGATATTTTGATCGTGGTCTCGCTTACCTTGGTGTGAGCCGCTGGACCATATCTTCGTGGGTTGGAGCTAGTGGAGTTGAGTACTTGAATTTGCTCTGTAGGCGGAAGTGACTTCGGACTGAGGGGGTTTGGCCCAAAATGATGTGGTGAACGTGTCTGTTATGTGTCTTTGAGCGGATGTCAATGAAATTTGTCTCGGATACCCTTTGTTGGGTATCAAAAGTGATCTGTCCCAAGATGATGTTGCTTGGACGGGGTCATGAGGGTAGTGGTCAGTGGAGAGGTTACTGCTGTTCTGCCTAAGAAAATGGACAGCGGCAAGTGACAACGGAGTGATTGTATGCATTCGACAATAGCTCGCGGCCGAGCACTGGTGATAGCCTTCACACCGAATTTGCAGTTCTTGCGTCCTTGCAGTGAATTAAATGCAGAGCTATTCTCGAAGACATAGCAAATGAGGTACATCTCAACGCGGCATGTTCAATTCTACCGTATGGTCATAATAATCGTGATATACACAATTCACCACCAGCCTATGCGAGTTTCCTGGAACCAGATCCATATCGACACCGGCGCTTTTTATGCAATTCACTCAATCAAGAAGCTCGGTCAAGACCTCTGCATTCTCAAGGCTCGCCCAGCAGCCTGGCTGTGATGTCGCCCATGTACGCCTCTTCTAGCTCATAGTCTTGTCCTCCGTTCCGGTCAATTCCGACGTAATTGAACGCCTCGACCACTCGTTCCACATCAAAGCCCATCAGGACGAACCGGTCGATCAGCTCTTTGTTGTACCCATCGTAAATTGCGATATTGGCCTGCGCCTCTCGTTCTTGGCTCTCTTTCTCGGCGGCTTCTATGTCCTTATCCGTAGCGCCGCCACTGCTTTCGCCGATGAACGACTTGGGTGCACCGGCGTACTTAACCGCCCACTCCCGCGCTTGCCTCTCGAATTCCTTTGGGCTCTTGATCAGTTGGTTGGCCACGACGGCGTCCTGAGGGTCTTTGGGTTCGGGCGAGCTAAGCAAGGACTGCAACGAGATCATGGCTGATTTTATGGTTAGGACCGGTGACCAGCCTGTGCTGAGTGTGTCGAGGCAAATGGCGCCCTGCAAGACAGTCAGCCCCCCAGGCCCCAGAGCTTGTGCGTTGTCCGGCTTACCGTCTGACTGGAGATGTTTGGATGCCAGATCTTCGTCGTGAATTTCATAATGGGTGGTTTGAAGGGATACTCGTTAGGTATCTTGATAGATACCTCGTACGTTCCCCCCTCATATGGTGTTCCCGAAGGACCTTTGAATGACCCTCTCAAGTCCGTAATGCTGTCTCCGACGGTGTCTGCGAAGATCTGAGAGGTTGTGTCGGCACGGATGTCCGCCAGGTCTTTGGCTATCCGTCTTGCCTTGTGGCCTGCCATCTCTTAATATTCTTTTCCGCAAAAAGTGGCTACTCGTCGTGCGGCTGAAGGCTGTGGAGCTGGGGTGATGTGGTAGGATAGATGGAGACACTCAGTGAGGTCCCGTACTACAACTAGGCGAAGGGCAGGCAGTTAAGTGTCAGAAGGGAGAGTTTGAGCGAACGAGGCTGTAAGTTGCTAGAATCACATCGAAGATGATGGCCAGGAGATGCACGGAGGATGCTGGGAAGAATAAGCTATCCTGAATATCCGGACAAAACTGACTGACGGCACTGTATCTCGTAGTTGAAAGGAAATAACTGATTCGATCGAGCGGTCACACAGCCACTGCGGACGTGTTGCCTGATGGTTTGCGGATTGCGAAGAAATACAGCCTCACTGCGGGTTTCCAGTTACAGCCCGAAGCCCGGAGAAATGTATTTCCGATGTCCGACAGGCGCGATCGAGCCTCGTCACGCATCTTTGGCCTTGCTGTACGGAGTAATCAATCACCTTGCCATCTGCTTCCCTCTCTCTTCATCGATCTTTCATCCCCCATTTAATCTTGTAATTGGGTGCGATACGGCTCTTTATTATACAACTTCAGAATGGTGAGGATTGCGCTCCAGATGTACCACCAGCATAACTAACACCTTCTGCAGGGTAACCAGCAATCATCACAACAACCCCCAGGAGGCCGTGGAGGCAAGGATGAACAAGAGAAGAAGGTAGTTCGGAATTGACCGCTTGTACAACTCCTTACTAAGTCCTTCTTTAGAAAGAGAAACCCAAGTACGAACCACCTCCGCAACCGACGACTAGAATCGGCCGCAGAAAGCGCAAGCAAGCCGGACCCAATGCCGCCGCCAAACTTCCTACCATCTACCCGACCGCGCGGTGCAAGCTACGATATCTTCGCATGCAGAGAGTCCACGACCATCTGCTATTAGAAGAGGAATACGTCGAGAACCAAGAGCGCCTGCGGAAAACCAAAGCTGCCCAGACACAAGCTCCCGCCGCAGCCACCGAAGGAGCAGAACCCCTCGACCGTAACTCCGACGAGCGTAGCAAAGTCGATGACATGCGTGGCAGTCCTATGGGTGTCGGTAATTTGGAAGAACTGATCGATGATGACCACGCAATTGTTTCCTCCGCCACCGGTCCCGAATACTACGTCTCAATCATGTCCTTCGTCGACAAAGACCTCCTTGAGCCCGGCGCTTCGATTCTCTTGCACCACAAATCTGTCTCTGTTGTTGGCGTCCTGACAGATGACGCCGACCCGCTCGTTTCGGTTATGAAACTCGATAAAGCTCCCACAGAGTCCTATGCCGACATAGGTGGCCTGGAGCAGCAGATTCAAGAAGTCCGCGAAGCTGTTGAATTGCCCCTACTGCACCCAGAACTTTACGAAGAAATGGGCATCAAACCACCAAAAGGTGTAATCCTCTACGGCGCTCCGGGCACAGGAAAGACATTACTCGCAAAAGCCGTAGCAAACCAGACGTCCGCGACGTTCCTGCGGATCGTCGGCTCTGAGCTGATCCAGAAATACCTCGGCGATGGGCCCCGTCTTGTGAGACAGCTCTTCCAAGTTGCAGCTGAAAACGCCCCAGCAATTGTTTTCATCGATGAAATCGACGCGATCGGCACAAAACGTTACGAATCTACCTCTGGTGGTGAACGTGAAATTCAACGTACCATGTTGGAACTGCTCAACCAACTCGACGGGTTCGATGACCGCGGTGATGTCAAGGTCATCATGGCGACCAACAAGATCGAGACATTGGACCCAGCGCTGATCCGCCCTGGCCGAATCGACCGCAAGATTCTCTTCGAGAACCCTGACACGGCGACCAAGAAGAAGATCTTCACATTGCACACCAGCAAAATGAGTCTGGCCGAGGATGTCGATCTCGACGAGTTCATCTCCCAGAAAGATGACTTGAGTGGTGCGGATATCAAGGCAATCTGTAGCGAGGCCGGCTTAAGGGCGCTCCGAGAACGGAGAATGCGGGTGAACATGGCGGACTTCAGGAGCGCCAGAGATAGTGTGATGAAGACGAAGAACGAGGGTGAGCCGGAAGGCTTGTACTTGTAGAATTGGTCGACATTGAGATGAGCTGCAGTTGATGATGGCGGAAGATCAAGTCCTTGGTTTAGGAAGAAGCAGGGGAGGACAGTGGAGAGATTTTGTACCACTACTGCGTTCTTCCGGACGGGTTGATAGAGCATGGTACGGAGTACTTAGAGCACCCGTGCCGGCTCAGGGGACTGTGTACTCGTAGGTCAGTGGCAGGACAGCAGCACAAACCAGGCTGGAACCAAAACGTCGCGTGGCCGACATTGGAACATCACCGCCATTCACAGTAATTATCCGAGCCCCCAATATCCTGCTTTTTTACAGCAGGGGGAGTATTTCCTTCGATCTGTGGACCGAAGGAGTAATTCCCCCGCTGCGCCTCGTCGATCGGAATTTGCCAGTGGCTTCGCATTACTGTACGTGACGTGAGCTCGTGGGGTAAATACGACGTCGATGATACATCGCAGAAATTTCTCAGCGGGCAGCAACATTCTTGTCGGGTAGCTTTCCGATTCGGATCCGTTGGATGAGCGCCTCCTCTCGCTTGAAAGAATAGGAATCTATAGAAACCAGTGAGTGGGTGGAAGAAAAATACCCTCCTGCACAGTATAATACTTCTGCAAGATACCCGAGTACCTGCGAGTCGAAGCCACCGGGTCATCTGTACCACCAGAGTTAAAAGCACGAAACATGGCAGGCGGCAAATACAACGTCGGCATCATCGGATATGGCTTGAGCGCAAAGACTTTTCACATCCCCTTTGTCAACGCCGTGTCAGACTTCAACCTCTATGCGATCGTGCAGAGAAGTCCCAAGCCGGACGATGATGCGAGAAAAGACTGGCCGAGCATCAAGCTCTATCATTCTGCCGAGGACTTGGTCCAGGACGAGCAGGTACACGTCGTCGTTGTGACCACGGCCCCGGAATCACATTTGCAGTTGGCAAAGTTGGCCCTGTCGGCCAAGAAGCACGGTACGTCTACTTATACCTTCCATTTTGGCAGCTTGTTCGACGTGGCGAGCGAGCCCGCACACTCTTGAGATCACGACCACTGACTGTGGTGCGAAGTCGTGGTCGAGAAACCCTTCACACCCACATCCGCCGAGGCCCGGGAACTGGTCGACCTGGCCAAGGCCCAGGGCCGAGTCCTCACCGTGTACCAGAACCGACGGTGGGACTCGGACTTTTTGACCCTGAAGAAGTACATCGACGACGGAACGCTGGGCCGTGTAGTCGAGTTCGAGACGCATTTTGATCGACATCGGCCTGAGGCGCCGACCGGCACGTGGAAGGCATACCACGCTCCTGGCACAGGCGCCGTCTACGATCTGGGGACTCACCTGATGGATCAGGTCGTCCACCTGTTCGGCATGCCCGAGCGGGTCACCGGGTTCGTCGGCTCGCAGCGAGAGGTCAACCCCACTGGGCTGGAGGACTCTTGTACGGTGTTCCTACACTACGACGCCCGCAAACTCCTTGTCACGGTCAAGGCTGGCGTCGTCAGTCCCGAGGTGAACCAGTTGCGGTTCTGGGTCCGGGGCGAGAAAGGCTCCTTTAAGAAGTTCCATCTCGACCCGCAGGAGGATCAGTTGAGGAAGGAGGGGCTCCGGCCCGGCGATCAAGGTTACGGCGTCGAAAGCGAGGATCATCACGGCGTGTTGAACCTGGACAAGGGCAATGGAAAGATCGTCACCGAGGTCGCGCCGACTGTCGAGCCGCTTACGTATGTGGAGTATTATCGACGGCTTGCGGCAGCACTGGATGGCGACGTGTCCAAGGTCCCTGTCCCTCCAGAAGAAGCCGTCGGTGTCATTCGACTGGTTGAGCTCGCGCGGGAGAGTTCGAGATTAGGGCAGACCCTGAAGGTATAGCTTGTTTCCTGCAGCGGGGGACGACCATGGTCAGGCTACCGGTTTAGTCTTGACATGATATACCTTCTCGCCTCGCTTGATGTCGCCCCAGTCAGAGGATGTTTGGTGCTCGACGTCCTCGAAGTTGTGGGTGCTTGGCGCTGAGTAGGAATCCACACGACTGCCCCCTGCCGCTGATCATGGCGTTTGACAAGCGATGTGTGAAGCGCCACACAAAGAAGATAACTGCACTTCAGCCTTGGCGGGCTTCCAAAGACACGAATTTGTTTGCAGTGGGAAAATGAGGAGTTGTCTACAGCATCGACCCATGCTCCAGGTTGCCCGCCACTCGAGCGGCCAGCCCATCCTTTTCAGAGAGAGTCAATGTAAGATCCACCATTTCCTACCGGCTAGACTGGAAAGTGAACTTCGTCTGAGGATTTGGGAGATGAAGTAAGACGTGTTCATTTGGCCACTTGTAGAACCAATGCCTATCGTACAGCACGCTATCGGGGGCCTTGGTAACTAAGATGTTCCGACCGGCAGTGGTAAGCACGTGGGCTCTACGAAGCATGGCCGGCGACTATAGATGTCGGTGCTTGGCAAGATGTGGGGTCTGCCTGAGATCCGACTCCGCTGGCATCATTTACCAAGTACGGAGTACTGGGTATTGAAGCCCTGGACGGAGTATGCACGCTTGGGACTACCTCGTACTGGGCGACTACTGTGTTACTGGTCCCTAAGTGGAAACAGAGTCGCGGCATCGAAGAGCGGACTGTAACCACCATAGTGGCTGTCCACGTGCTCCACCGTACTCGAATAACACCGCGCACACCAATCCCATTACTCTTTGGTAAACTTTCACTGTCACCTCACTGTCCGGTGAACGCGCTGCGTCTCGCCTCTCGTGCTGTGGTCATGTCACACTCTTTTCTCTATCCAAAATGACACTGGTCACCTAAGCGAGTAGCATCGACGGATCTTATGGCGACGGGGGCTACCGCCAAAGCGACTTAAGAATAGAATAAGCTTATGGCGGTGCATCGACCAAACGACTCGGTCCTTGTTTTGGTAACTTCGGACGCCGCGCCTCGCACCACGCTCATATTTCCCAGGAGGACCACACCAGCATTCTAAAAAGTCTCTGAACTCCAAGTATCACAGTTTCCTTCCCTGCCATGAATCAGGCCCAAGTCTCGTAGTCTACCAATTTCGCAATGTCCGCTGCTCCCAGACCCAACATGCCTCCCGGCGGTGGAGGCCCGCCGGGTCCCGCTCCCACTCCCACTCCCAGCGCCAGCAGAGTCCTGGGCCCAATACAAGGCGGCGTCAGTTCCCTCACGACGAGCTCCAGCAGGTATCTCGACTACGTCCTCCCACCCCAGAAGCGCCAGCAGTGGCAGCAAGCAGCCGCGGCCTTCGCAGCCCAGCGCCCGTTCATCGCCAGTTTCCTGCTGTCGCAACTGGCCATCAGCGGCCTTCCGCTCGTCCTGCTGACTGTCATTGCGTTCATCTTCGCATTACTGGCGGGCGTCATGATGAGCGGGCTGGGAGTTGTCCTCTTCGTTTCCTGCGCCATGGTCTTGTCATTACTGGTTCTCGTTCCAATCATGATTTTCACTACCGGGGCCGCTGTCGTTGTCTGGCTCTGGGTTGTGGGCGCGTACTTGATCTTCCAGCGCTTCCGACAGAAAGATGGCGCCGATGGACCACCTACAACTCTGCCGGCCGCGCTGGTCAAAGCTGTAGGCGGCACGACCGCGCATCCCCCGGGCGGAGGCAACCCAGGTGCTACACAGAACCCGCCGCCGAAACCCGTTAGCGGGAACGGTCCTCCTGCGGCGAACAGACCACTGTCAGCACAACGTCCACCCCCACCGGGATCGGGACTCAACACAGCAGCTGCAGGACCGGGTCCAGGTCCGGCGTCAGCCTCGGCCGGACCTCCAAGCCCACAACCCATGCCGCCCAGTCCAGTCCCCACGAGAAAGCCCGTGTCCAGATCCCCATCCCCTAATCCTGCACCAAATGGCACATCTGGCCCGGAAAGCCAATCTCCGCCAATGAATGGCCAAGTGCAGCAAAGGAAACCTGTCCCTAGCAGGTCTCCTTCGTCCGACCAATTTCCCGATCAAAACGGCGGAGCCGAACAGCAGATGAACGGAAGCCCCAAGCACCTCCAGCCCGGACAGCCCACGTCAACTCCTCGACCCATGTCTCCGAGAGGCCCAGGCTCGGGCCCAGGCAACCCCGACCCACAAGCAAATGGTGACAACGACGGCCAAATGCAAGGGCCAAGACCCGTGTCACGACCCCCACTGCCTAACGGGTCAATGCAGAGTGGACCGGGAAACCCCAACGGTAACGGCGGGCCTGGAAACGGAGCCCCAGGCCAACAACAACAACCCAGACCAATGAGCAGACCGCCTCCTCCCACCAACGGCGCACCAGGAGGAGGGCCTGGACCTGGACAGGGACCTGGACAGGGACCCGGTCCCAACGGGATAAATGGAATGAACGGAACGAACGGATCCTCCGATGGTTCCCCGCAACCACGACCTATGTCTCGACCTCCCCCACCAGGCGCGGCACCCACGGCCATGCGCGCCGTGTCCAGTCCGCCTGGCATGTCCCCGAACTCGCAGTCAATGGGGGGAGGGGACACCCGGGGCGGCGGCGGTGGTGGCGGTGGTGGCGGTGGTCCCGGTGGCCCGCCCGAAGGCGATCCCAACCTCCAGCAGAGACGACCGCTGAATAGACCGCCGTCAAACGGTCCAGGAATGGGGCCCGGGCCTAGTACAGGCGGCAATATGATGGGTCCCGCCGAGGGGATGGGAGGAGGGGGCCAGGGCCCGGCTCAGATGCAGCGACCCATGGGACCTAGACCGGCCATGTCGAGTCAGGGGCAGAGCCAGGGACAGGGACAGGGCCAGTGGCAGGGACAAGGCCAAGGCCAAGGCCAAGGCCAAGGTCAGGCCCAAAGCCAAGGCCAGGGATCGCTGGCGACGATAGTGGCCGAGGGGCTGGGACAGCCTGAAGATGAAGAAGGTGCCAGAGTGGGGGGTCAGATGGGTTGATTAGTGCCGGCATGCTGGGGGAGGAGCGCGGTATGATGTGATGTGACGTGCGGTGAGGTGAGGTGTGGTGAGGAGAGAAGCGTCGAGATGATGCGACCGTGCGGTAGTTTGAGTTTTGGTTCATGATGGGATTGGGTAGCGTTAATGCTGAGTGTTTATCGACTTGTCTGCCTGCCAGTTGCCTAACCACTTGGGGTCTCTCCTGTTCCTGTCAAAGTATGAGCGTGGGCATGAGCATGAGTTGAGCGTGGCGCATTGACGGGATGTCGGTTCATGCGTGCAGCACCATGGAAGGTTTAATGTACTAGCTTGGGGCACATTGGACAATACGGGAATATCTATCGTGCCGTTTACTCGGAAAGAGTTTGAATCACGGATCACATCATTAGTGATTCCTTCAAAATCAATGTTTGTGCATGGCTGTCAAGGTAAGCATGAGAACATCCCCAGTCTCGCGTGCAAATACCTATAACCGAAGCACTCGTGGCGTCGTGCCGTATTGATATCAGTGCTTAGTAGTCAATTGCTGGATCGCCTTAAACGCCCATAGTGAAATCATGCTCAATCCCGGGTGTCACGCTCGCCATGAACTTCAAAAACACAACCAGGTACTGATCAACCCGGATGGCCACCTTCTCACTCTCGTCCTCGGCGCTCTCCTGCTCGTCCAGGACCTCCCACTCGTCGCCTGCACCGCCACTAGCAGCTTTGACGCCAGCCTCATGTCCTCGTTTCTGCTCCGAGAGTTTCAGATTGGAGGTGTCGTCGATCAAGCCCTCCATGCCTGAGATCTCTTTCTTCGAGCCGGCGCCGTCCGCCTTTTGCTTGTCGAGCCTCAACTTCAGCGCGGCGTCTGCTCGATCAAGCAGGATCTTCATCACGCTGGCGTGTTTGCAAGGGTGGATGCTCGCCATCTTGACGCTGTTGTCGAAGAATGGAAAATCTTCTAACGTGACAGTCTTGTCTTTGTAGTCGCCCACAATGTCTTCCATCATGAGGTGTGGCGGGAGGGGTGCGCTGGGGGATAGGTAGCCGGAGAGGTACATTCTGGGGGTCCGATAGTAAGGCGTGTAGGTTATGTATAGGGTGTATGTGCGTAGGGGTCTGCATAACGGGTCAGTCACCGGCGATTTTGGGCGACAGCGCCAGGAGGGGAGATGTAGCGTACGCAGCAGCACCTTCGCTTTTGTCTCTAATGATGGCTTCATTATCATCATCCTCGTCCTCCATGTCCGGGATCTCTTCGTCTTCGTCCTCGACGGCCTTCTTGCCCAGCTGTCCACTCTCACTCATCGTCCGAACTTCCCCTCTAAGGCCTTCCTGCTCCTTCTCCGTCGTGCCGCCCGTTCTTAGCCAGCCTTCATCCTCGCCTCCTGCCTTGCTATCCGTCTCATCGTCCGGTCCGCCCAAGAAACCGTCTCTCACCAAGTCGTCAGCCGCGCCGTGACCGCCTGCAAAGTTCTCGTCTAATCGTCTGTGACATGGAACCCCCCGGGTTACAAGAAACTGCTTGTTCGGAGGCAGGTAAGACACCCGTCGCGCGGGACTCGATGCGTCGGACCACGACCAGCTGGGGAATTTGTAGACTAGATAATCGCCTGCGAGGAGGAACTCTTCCGGCGTGATTTGGCCGGTGCTGCGAAAGGTGGACTTATGACTAACGGGAGCGTAACGATCGCGGAGTTGGTCTAGGCCCGAGCGGAGGTATTGCATCGTTGTATCGAGCCGTATGGCGGGGTGATATTGGATTTGAAGAGACCGGGAGAGTGGTCAGAGCACCTTGCTAGGGTGTAGAACAAGTGTTGGTAGGCCTTAATCTCAGAGACAAGGTTTTGGGTACCAAGGGAGGAAGGATGTAGTAACTGACAAATGATCACAGTGCAGCCTGCAACTTGACGGTGTTCGTGACCTGGCCGCCTGTTATGAGGAGTGTGAGGGGAGGAGGGACACAACAGCATGACACCGTTTGCATGGTTTGCAGTATTCTCGGTGTTTGTCGTGTTTGCATGGTTTGTCCCGTCCTTCCCGGCATTGAGGTTCGTTGGAGCTGCGACAAGGCCTTGCAGAAAGGGTCACTGCTTCCTAATCGGAGGCCATCTTCACTACGTTGCTTGTCTTTCTATTAAAGAGGCCCGCTACCGTCTTCTATCGGCCAGCATTTCGAAAGTTTGGCTCTTTAACGGCCTATCTCAAGATGCTGTGCGCATGATTGTGCTCGACCACTGCTGTGTCTGCCCTCCACGTGTTTCTAATCCAAACACCCCCCATTCGCCAGCCGAGTAAGCCGGACGGTGTTCTTCTCACGGAGCAATATAAACTCATACACCGTCGACATCAGGATCCTGAGTACAGCGGCTGATAAAGTTCTACCAAGTGAAGATTTACGGCCATGACATCGTTCTTCACGAATCTTCCAACTTACCTCCTCGCGTCAGTCGTGCTGCTGGGTGCTTTCTCTCGCTTCACGCATGGCGAACATACGCCTCAATTCTACGCATTCCAGGAATACCATGCACCCGATGACGGCTCCACGGGCGCCAAAATCACTCCCATCATCGACCTACTTGTGGGATTAAGCCTCTTATTCGGGAGCAAGGCGGTGAGGCTGAGTGCCGCCAGTATCAGCTTGGGCCTGTGCGCTGTAGGTCTCGTGGTTCAAATGAAGGCTGGCAAGGAGTACAATGCGGATATTGCCCTGGTTGCTTTGGCTGCGATTTCGGTACTCAGTCAATTGCGAAGGCGATAGGTTGGTGGAAACGTGTCATGACGCATTCGTCTAAAGGAAAGAGCGCCCGCTATATGAAAGGGCAGCATAGAACTTAACTTCGCGGAATCCCGATGAGCGATGGGACTGAGTGCCACACCCATTCTGCTTGGCCAGAATGATGGTCCAGAACATGGAGTCTGATGGATTTGGGACCAGAAAGTCTTTTCGGCCGCTTGCTGCATTTGCACTTGACACTCCCAAAGATGCGTGCTTTCCGCGTCATGTTTGATCGCACTACCAGGACCTCTTTCCAAAAGCAGAGGAACTCTGCTTGTTGTGCATGAAGGTGATCTACGTATGATACCGCAGGGATTCCTTGGACCATCTGCGATCCGGTTAGTCCTCAATCTTTTGTACGCAGCCGATTGCTCATTGTCCATCGAGGCGGCACTATCTGTCACACCCCATCATCGACGATGAACATTCTATCGATATGGCTGTCTGCAACGAAACAGGAAGCAATTCTGTAGATTTCCAATTTCAGGGTGACAAGAGTATAATATCAAGTTGAGCTTGAAGCACAGGCGACATGAGATTTCGGTGATATGAAGATGAGATTCCAGAGTAATGAGGAGCTCGAGGACAACCGGGGACGACCTCCTGATCTGCACTTGATGCTCAGCCGTACACAGATCTACGTCTGCGCAGCAAGGCGCAAACGTCAGTATGCATCACAGCCGCGAAATTTGGCATCGGCTTTCACTTTGCCCTCAATTGACCTCGCAGACTTGATACCTGTCTCAGCTTCTGCTCGACCTTCGCTTTACTTGTAAAACCATGACAGAGCCACCTTTTAAACGCGCAAAGCACGCAGCAGGCGCCGCCGGTCTCGAGACCGAAGAGAGATTAGAATCATGGCCAAGTTCAAGTGGAAGAGACTTCAAGGCTCGACCCCGCGAGGCCAGAGAGGATGATCGTCGAGGCTCAAGACGAGAAGAGGAGAGAAGACGCAGGTCAAGGTCTCGAGACACGCCTGACAGGAGACGGGAGCGTAGCAGATCCAGAGAACGGCAACACCGTGACCGTGACCGCGATCGAGACAGGCCGCGAGAGAGGGATAGGGATAGGGATAGGGACAGAGACAGGGATAGGGATCGAGGCGGAAGACACAGAGATGCGAACGGGCAGAGCCGGCGCGAGAGGAGTAGGAGCCGCGACAAGCACCGAGATTCCAAGGGTATGGACTACTTATTCTCAAGGCGTCGACGCTCTTGCTCACACGCCACAGATCACCGAGGCGAACGCTCCAATCGGCATTCACGCTCAAGGTCTCCCACGCGAAACGGTGGCGGCCCATCAGTCCGGACACGGTCCCCTCTCCGCCGAAGCGATCATGACCGGGACCGAGCACGAGACCGGCCACCGAGAAAGGACGAAGAAGAGTCGCGAACCACAAAACCAAAGGACGAAGAAAAAAGTACCCCAGTTGCAAGCAGACAACCGAGCGCAACGGTCAACGGCGATTCAATGGCCCTTGAAGACGACGACGACGATAGTGCTCTCCTGCGGAAGATGATGGGCTTCACGACGTTCAAGACCACGCAGAACACAAAGGTGCCCGGAAACCAGATTTACGGCGTCAGGAAGGAGAAGAAGACAGAATACAGGCAGTACATGAATCGGGTAGGCGGTTTCAACCGGCCACTCAGTCCGTCCAGATAATCCTGTGTGCGACGCCTCATTCATAGGAGACAAATCTGGGTCAGAGAGGCAAGCCTGTGGCCTCTAAAACAAGGACGGAAGATCTGGGTGTTCTGGGCAGGTGTCTTCAGGTTGCTGCAGAGAGCTCTGGGGCAATTCAGTGCAAGGTCACAAGATCACAGAACGACTTGCAACGACGGCCAAATGCGGAGATATCCAAGACGGTCTGGAAACCAATCGGGATATCTACTACAGTCCGGCGCAGCCCAGCACCCAGCTGAAGAACCTGCGACACCTTGCCCCGTTTGAGCCGTGGCACCGGTCGATTGAGAAGCGGAAGATGGAGTTACAGCAACCAGAGCAGAAGCAGGAATCGATATCCGGACCGCCTAGAGCACTTCTGCCGCCCGTTGAGAACACCACCTTGTATCTGCGGCACGCCCAACAGCGTGAAATCGCGTCGACAATACCATTACAGAGACAGTCGAAGGGTCGAATGATTCGGAAGATCCAGACGTGGAAGCTCGCCAATCCTCCGATTGCATATCGTCAAAGGCTGGACAGGACTCCCGTGGGGATATGTGTGAACTTATGAAACAGTTGCTGGCCGTCTGCCAGGTAGGCTGACGCCATGCTTTCTCCAGCAGAGTTCTCACATTTGCTCCTACCAAACCAGGGGGGCAATTGCGTTCTACTCGTCGAAAGCCTGCACCCGGATTTAGCGATGTTGGTCGTCGAACGATCGGAGCGCCGAGTATTGAACGTGGTGCGGCCCAAAATACGGAGCCCAACGTCAGAGATGGAGTCAGGGACGGGATATCATGGAGGAGAGGTTACCAGAAATGATTATCAGCGTGGTAATTTCTGGTGAGGGATGGAGATATCCAGTCAGTCCACTGTACATTGACATATTGGGAGAAGCGAGGTCGAAAGTGGCTTCATTCAAGGTCTGGCTGGACCAATCGTCTGACGATCTCAGTATACGTCCACACTCTCGCAGTTATGAACATGTCTCTGGCTTTTAAGGGTGAAGGCGACGACCTACAGCGAAGCACCAGCCCTTGAAACGACACCCAAGGGTACAGTATCGTCATCTTCGCTCTGAGACCCGCCTCACACTGTACAGTAGCTCCAGACTGCGCGCGCAAGACTCTGGATAATACAGGTGTCACACGTATGAGTGATATTGCAAAGACAGTCATTACGGAGTGATAATTCACGGCGTGGGGTCTGTGTTCGTATTTGCGTGCATGTCAAAGTGATGCATTCGAGAAGCTCCCAAAACCCAGTGGGCCATGGTGGCCGGAACAGAAAGTACAGGCATCTCTGGAGGGAAAGAGCCTGAATTTGTGGGAATGCGATACTTCGTACTTTTCGTAAAGCAGATCGAGACGGAAAAAGGACTCGTAACATCATTGTTGCGCCCATGGCTTTGCGGAAGGTCGGTCGCGCAGCACTTGACTCGTCCCTCGTACTGTATCCAGCACACTTGAGGAAGCCTGAGGAAGCCCAAGCATGATCCATCTATACCATCTGTAATTAGCCATCTCCATGATGCGTCTTCCCCTACATCTAGCTCAGGAATTGTCCTTGAGGGGTGTATTTCCATTCCGAGATATATGCCGGCGCACCAGGGGATGAAGCATTGACACTCCTTCCATTGGTCGTGGCATAAACACCGAGCAGCGTCCCTGATGTGCGTGGGGTCAGTGCTCTTGCCAATATGACAAAAAGCTCCAGCTATGTATTCCGTACCTGTAAATCCAAAGCTGACGTCTGCAGCGGGCGCATACCCAACGGTGATTGTATCCGACATGGTGTCGGTAGGGCCAGCAGAGAAAGCGTAGTGCGTCAGGTTAATGGCCTTGATCTCTAGATATAAGTTCAATGAAGTCGCGTTTGGATTCGAAAGCGTCGTATAGTTCGGGTACGAGGAGTGGACAGGGACAAGCAGCGGTGGCGGCACCGCAAGATACGATGTCGCAGAGAAGCGGAAGTACGGCGCAAGTTGCTGTGGTGACGCAGACGAGCTCGTATTGGGCAAGAGGACGACACCAAGGTCAATATGGTGGTTCTGCGCCGCATCAGCATATCTTCGACAAATACTGGCGCGAAAGGTGCTTGCCTGAGTGAGGAAAACACTAATACCGGCTTCGTCACCTTGCTGCTGTGGTGAGAACTCCAGATTGACACTGAAGGTGAACAATGTATCTGTTTGACGGCGGCCGACAAAAGTTTGGCCCTCGGGTCCGGCATAGTTCCCATCAAAGGCTGTAAGGTTGAGTCTGGATGGGCTGAGCCGGAGAGTGTTCGGGTGCCCGGGAGGAGAGATGGTGTAAGACCCATCGACGGGAATCCGCCAGTGGACGAAGTGAATTGGTAGGCTAGAGTTCGGTGGAAAGGTGATGTAGTCTGCAGCATCTGCAAACGGTCTAGGTCATCCTCTTCAGTTTGCAAACTCGACGTTGGACGCTCGCAACTTACCCTTCTCCAGCGATGCTGAGATTCGTTGCAGGCTTCTGCCATCCGCTCATCCGGCCGCGTACAGGTTGTAATATAGGCCAGTCGCCGGCATTCCATGTCACGGGATACAGGACAGTCTCGCGGCCCATGGGATAGGTCGTATAGTTTGGACCAGAGCGGGTTGAAAGAGCTGCGCCCCACCAGTTGCCAGAAGCATCTTGCCACAGATCAGCGTGTCCGACTGTCTGAAAGTACTGACTTGTATTAGCGTTGGTAAGTATCGGGTTGTTGGGATTCGGTGTGTAAGGGCCATCAATGGTCTTAGAACGTGCGATGGTCTCCATATGGTTCACTCCTGTACCACCCTCAGCTATCATGAGATAGTACCAGTCGTCCTTGAAGTAGATATGTGGTCCCTCTGGAGCCAGGCCACCCGTACCATTCCAGACATAGCGGAAATTGGACCCGACCTCTCCGGTGGTAAGGTCAATCGTCGTCTGCGTTATGCCCGGTTGGACCTGCCACGGATGAGAGCCCGTAACAAGCACGGTGCCGTTGCTGAGCCAGTGCGGAGATGTATCATAGCCTGTGAGATTGAAATGAACCGGATCCGACCATGATGACGAGTTGAATGGGTTTGTAGAACGAAACACAATGTTGTCCCATCGAGAAAAGTTGGTCTGGGGCTGGTCATCGAACACCAGGGTCGTCATGACAAAGAAGGTTCCTTCGTGATATCGGACCGTGGAAGCCCATATTCCGCTCGTGGATTTATTGGTAATTGCTAGGGTGGGTAGTTGTTCTGCTCTGTTGAGGACATTGCTGACGTGTTTCCAGTTGGTCAAATCCTTCGAGGCATGAATGGGGATGCCAGGGAAAGCGTTGAAGCTGCTGGACGCGCAAAAGAATGTATCATCCCACTCAGGAACGAAAGTGCAGCTAGGATCAGGGAAGAACCCTGGCAGTACAGGATTGGTGTAGGTTGAATTTGGTGCTGTGAGAGCGAGGGGGAGGAAGAGGCTCAACGCCAGGCACACGAGCGACCGTCCTGCTAGCATCATACCTACCTCTGTCTGCCCTGAATTTTCTGCGACTCATAATGAGGCTACATCTCGCCCATATTATAGAAGCGAGTCATTGTGGGATCAAGCATTAAGATGGTGATATGCCGAAAACTGGGGAACTTCTTTCTCCGCAAATGGACCGGTTAAATGAATGATGGATGAGATCGCCAGGCACTCGAAAAATCACCGTTGTGAGTGAGAGGAAACAGTGGGACGTCATTGTTCGCTGGTCAGCCGGCTAAAATCGTAACTATCGGTGTATTTGCTTCCGAGTGCATAGCCCCAATTGGTTCGAGAAGATGCAGAATCGGTACTGGCGAGAAAACAGCTGTTTGAGCTGGAAAGAGAGGCGTGGGAGACCACAGCTTCGAGTATGAACTCAAGTTGCTGGCAAAACTCCTCTGCATTAACGGCAATAATACTCCGCCGCAGGGAGTATGACCAGTCGGGCCGTTAGGCTCACCGTAGATCATCGTACTCATGCCACACTCATTTCTCACCTCTCACTCACCTCCCTCTCACCTGTTTCTCACCTCGTTCTCACCTCCCCTCAAAGGATGCCACTTCTATCTCTCCTATGATTCTTTCGCAATCATCCCGCTCATACAGAAGGTCACCCTCGTTGTAGCCTCCACTAACTGGTGGACTCTTTCGACAACCAGTATCCTGGCTGCCCTCATCCTTATGCCCACGTTCAATAACCATACAGAGGAAGAGCAAACCACTTCTAGTGCTTTGGTGTTTGCGGTCCAGATTGCCTTCATCATTCTCTCCAGCTCCTACACAGCTTTGCAGACGGTAGGGGTGACCAGGAGGACTGGGCAGGCGTTGACGCACGCTGACCTCTGGTGTTGCGACTCTGGCAGCCGTATGCATTGGTCTAAACTGCAAATAGGTTCCAATCTTCTAGATTTCTCCTCCGTTACGTCGTTGTTGATCGATATGTACAGACCTGCCCCACTCTTACCTCAGCCTCGCTCAACACAAGGTATTCCAGTGTCAGCAGGCCTCCAATCTTACACTTCGATGAGAGTCCCTAGTCTACAAGACTCCTCGCCCATCGTCAGGCTGGGCACATGATGATCAAATTCTAAAATGTATAGAGACTCGCTAAGGTCTAGTATTCCGCTTTGGCTCATTAAGATGCTTACGCCTTGGAAAACGATCCTCTACAAGTCGGAAGTATACCTAAGTCGGCTTGATGATGTCTGCCTTCCAACACTTGCGGTTTTGAAAGAGCGTTCTGGCTGGGCTAGCCGCGCCTAAACTGCGCACAATGAGTAAACTACGAGGCGAGCTGAGATTTTCAGTCAGCCAACAGAACGTGGCGCTTGGCAACGCAGTCAGCCATGGAGTGTTTTCCGACGGCCATCCACAATGGGTTGGTTGTGCAGAATTTAGATATATAGACCTTCTTTGACCAAGTCCCCTCTTGCGGTATGTCGAAAAAGCTCTTATATCGTCTGTAACACAGCTCCTGACTTGCAAATCCGAAGTCTTGCAAGTTCGTTCTGGTTTGGCCCACCGCCTGCGCCTCAGTAATAGGCAGCCTTGTCCTGCGAGGACAGCATGAAGATCACGGCCATAGCCTCTCTCCTTGGGACTGGTGCACAGCTGGCGTCCGGTTCTCTTTTTGCAATTCGTGCTCTCGGTGGAACGGTAGTCATCCGCCAATCCGCTCAGAGCAGCGATGCCTTTATTGATACGACCGTCACAATCGACCTGGAAGGCAACAGGAACCCGCAGGCGCTCAAAGGTCTGTCTTCGGTGGCCGGTCTTGCACAATGCTCACCTGTCTTCGTTCACAGTTCTCTCCCAAAGACCCAAGTCTGTACAAGCAATATCGACGACATCCGATGCTCCGTTCGTCACTTGTGACTATACCTGCCGAAGTCGTGGCGGGACTAATGGTGATTCCGTGACCTGCGGGTCGACCACCATGAAATCAGGGACAAAGTCGGCCACCCTCGATGTTTCGTGGGTGGACTCGGTCGACAGTGTGATTTGCTTCGTCAGTGCCACTGATCCAACAGCGTAAGGAGTGAGAATCCATGCGTGCAACTGGAGATCACTAACATCGACAGGGTTCCCGTTGATGATGGCGAGTGACAAGACACCAAGAGCTTGAGACCATATCACAGACAGGTCACACAGGTATTAAAAGGGAGAGGGGTTATGGAGTGGAGGAACGAATGTTACGAGAATCCGGGGCTCCGCAGGCGGGGGAGACGAGCACTGCAGAGTTCGGCGTTCGGACGAACTTGGGACTCCGTGGCTTGTTCATCTCTCTCTAATTACCTCTGCCACTTTAGACTTGCTAGAATGTTGGATTGAGGTCTACTCGTTTGATTAACACTACATCATATGACGCATACGCCCTTCAGAGGCCAACATAACAGATACTCAGGACGCACACACACGCTCGGCGCTTCAGCACCGTTCTACGAGTGCTCTTCCACAGCTCCCTCGACGCTGAATCATGACGCTCCACCAATACGAGATGTCAAGCAGGTCGCGCTAGTGCAAAGTAGACTGTCTGCCCCGGCTGGGGCCTTATTTTCATCTCATGATGGACGGAGTGCTCCGATCATCCGTGTCGCTATACGCGCCAGCTAACTTCTTTTGAGCCCGTGTCGATGAAAACGCATGCGCCGATTGGCCACACCGATGTATATACGACACCAAGCTGTCGGTAAATACGACATACGAATGCGAACGCTAGGCTTGGTCGTCCAGATCTCAGGCGTCCATCAAAGCGTCAGGACGTACATAACGGGCTTTCGGCTCGCCACTTCCAGGATGTTCCAAGCTGTCATCTTTGTCGTCTTCGGAGCCTTTCGTTCACGATGCCTACAAACAGCACGCTTCTATCGTGTCTCCTTATCCCTGTCCTCGCTCTCGGTATAGCCCGCACATATGCGCTCGTGTCGAATTACCTGCGAGCGAGGAAGCTAGGAATACCCATTATCGTGACACCGGTCTCATCGCAAGATGCTTTCTGGATAATTATACAGCCACATCTTACCAGGTTCCGGAATGTGCCTGGGCTGCGCACCGCTGTCACGTTCGGCTATCATTCCTGGGCACAGAATGAGCGCTATCGACCGCATCAGAAATATGGGGATGTTTTTGCCATCGTGTCACCCAAAAGAACGGAGATCGTCGTCAATGATCCAGTGGCCGCTGTCGAGGTGCAGTCGCACTACAAAACGTGGCTTAAGCCTGGACCTCTGTACGAGATTTTTGACACTTTTGGGCCGAACGTGCTGAGTCTCAATGGCGAGGATTGGCAACGTCATCGGCGAATCGTCAATCCTGCCTTTCGGGAGCAGAATAACAAGCTCGTCTGGAATGAGTCGTTGAGACAAGCGAGGCAGATGATTCGAGTGGCCACGGAGCGACCAGGTGCCCAGCAGACCATGCTTGACGTGCGCAACGACTGTGTCTTAATCGCAATGCATGTCCTTTCCGCCGCCGGTTTCGGGCACGTCCACGACTTTGACGGAGGCTTCCGCGAAATCCCTGACGGACACAACACCAGCCTGGCGGAGGCATTGAAGTTCCTCCTTCAGAATATCATCTTCGGTGTCTTGTTCAAGGATGTGGTTGTGCTCCGTTGGATTTTTCCGGCACTGTATCGCCAAATGAGAGACATGGCGAAAGAGTTCAGACAATACATGGAGGAGCTGATAGCGTACAACCGAGCCATCACACAGGGCGGGGGTAGCAGCTACAGTGCCGATATTGTGAGTGCGCTGGTTGAAGCCGATGAAGCGGCAAAGAGAGACCAGAAGAGTGCGGCAAATGGCATCATGGCCAAACCAATGCACCTGACTGATGCCGAGTTGCTGGGTGACCTATACATCTTCAATCTGGCTGGTTTCGAAACGACTGCGAATGCGCTGACCTACACGATACCATTCCTTGCCATCAACCGCGGTGTTCAGGATTGGGTAGGTGAAGAGGTAGACGCGGTGTTGAAGGGGCGTGATATGGAAAAGTTGAGTTACGAAGACATATTCCCCTCTCTTGTGAGGTGTTTAGCTCTTATGGTAAGTACGCCAACGTGAGCATTTCCACAACTCATGGATTATTGCAGTATGAAACTCTTCGCTTGTGGGGTCCCGTCCCGAATACAGAGCGGTGGTGTGTCGGCGAGCCGACTGCCCTGCGAGTGGGTGATAAGGAGATGCTGGTTTCTCCTGAAACATTCGTCTCACTCAACCTCTACGCCGTGCATTGTGACCCGCGGTGGTGGGGGCAAGATACACTGGAATGGAAGCCACAACGATGGATCAAGGTAGACCCAAAGACAGGCAAGGAGACGATCGCTCTCCCACACACGGGAGCAACGTTTGTGCCCTGGAGCGTCGGACCCAGGTGAGTCGTCTGCTACCCCTGTGCTGTTTTACTCAACACCCGGTTGTGTCTTCCATTTACGACATAAGACCTCACATGCTGACAAGAATACAGGGTTTGCCCGGGCAAGAAGTTCAGTCAAGTGGAGTTCGTGGCGGTCATTGCGACTTTACTCAAGGACTACCGTATCAAGCCACTGGCGCTTGGCGGCAAGACGGAAGAGCAAGCGAGCTCAGCGCTGCTCGAGGTTGTGGAGGACTCCATGAACGTGATCACGCCGAAGATGCGCCGCCCGGAGGACGCTGGTGTGGTTCTTGTGCAGCGATGAAATCAGAGATCAGCGCGAGCCCGGAGGTAAGGGTACGTCGGATACACAACAGGCTACTCTCTCCTCCTTCCAACTGTAACATAGAGTGCATGTCCATCCCACAGCTTCCCCTCCTCGTTGAGATTCTCCTTCCATATCTGAGCCCACAGTTCCTTGATCTTGTCAACGCCTGCAGGACCGTCTTCGCTCTTCCAGTCTTCGATGACGCCTTTCCACAAGCCGCTTTCCCTCGTCTTCTGTTCAAAAACCTCTGCAGCCTGGCCAGCGTCGTACCATCTCTCCGGCGTATAACTTCTCGTGCGAAAAGATTTCACAACCTCCAGGTTGGCTTCTTCAAACATTTTCTCCACAGTATGAATGTCTTTAATCCAGTCGAAATCATATGTCATGGCCTTCCCCAGCGCACGCCGAAGCGGGTAGTTGAGAAGGTATTGCAACGTACGGTCCTCGGTAGGGACATCAAGGATCAATCTCCCTGTCCCGGGCTTCAGCAACGCCACCCAGTCGTCCAGGGCCTTTGCGGGATTCTCGAGCAGCACAAATGCCGAACAACACGAGATGATGTCGAATCCGACCCTTAATCTGACCACGTCTTGCACGGCATCGAGGGAAGAAACGTCCATGATGTCCCCGAGAACCCAATGTACCTCTCCGCTGCCCTTGGCAAGAGGTTTCCGTTTCGCCTCGTTGAGCATCGCCTCAGTAACATCGACGCCGACGACAATCCCGTCCGGACCCACAGCCTCAGCATACGGCAGGGAGACAAGGCCTGTTCCGCACGCCAGGTCGAGAATCGCCCCTCCTTTCGGCGGTGGAAGCCAGGCAACGTAGTCGCGACCTATTTCGACGTGCCACCCGCCGTTGGAGACATCGTACGTCGCCGCGCGGGGAGTATATTGGGCGAGAGTTTCAGTGATGAATGCGCTGGATGGTTGAACAACCGGCATTTTGCCTCCGATGTAGGTGCTGTAGGTATAATACATATGGAGTGAGGTACCTTTGGAGAGATCACCTTGCTCGCACGTGAGCAAAACGCTCTTATTCTATACATTCCTACGTTGCTGTCCGGGCAATCAACGGCGTTGCATCACCTTAGTCAGATTGTCCGCGGTAAGCGATTCGCAACACGTATGGCGCATTCGTGTTGCGATCAACCAACGCCTGACAACGTTTGTCCAACGTTTGTCCACTGTGCTATGGTAGTCCACGCGTATAGGAACAAACCTTGCAGTGCGATCCAGGGCGAGCGCGACCGTCCGCCTACATACCCGAGTAATGTGCTCTTGCTGTGTGTAGGTTAGGTCTCTTCCACCCAACCATGACTATGTTCCTATTGTTGCCCCGCCACAAAAGTCCAGCACAAAATCCAGCATAAAGTCGCCTGTCACGTTTCTCGCTGACTCAATTCGGATGTACTTATTGTACCGGAGCGTTTCCGTGGAATCGTGGCCTCAAATCACACAGTCGACTTCGCTTCGGCTAGCGTGACGGTGACTCTGTGCACACTTCTTGAACCTTACCTACTATTTCACTTTCGTACGATATGCTTGCTGGCGGACAGGGTATCTGGTCCCACTTCCTTTATAAGCTTCCGAAGTCACGAAGGAGACTACACAGTCCGACGGGGCCGTCAAGATGTGGAATAGTGCCATACGCAGCACTGATGCAAGCGACTGACCGTTGCCCTATTACTAGCTTGTAGCAATACATAAGACAGGGACCTTCGGGTGCCTCCTTTTCGAATACTTCGCAATATGTACAAACTTCCAAGCCGGTCACATCTTCGTACTCCACGGAGCGGTGCCTTTTATTCTTTACTTTCCTTCCCAGGCATTTGCAATGTCAGTCGGGGTAAAAGAGCAGAGGTATCGGATGCGGGCGATTTGGTGGATGAGCTCGGTCTGTCTGCATCGAGACCGGGCGAGAGAGGTCCAGCACGGGTGCAGACCTCGAGGAAGACTGAGACAATCGGGCATAGGCATGAGCACTCGCAGGAACATTGGACTCCTGGGTCTTGTAGGTGTGAAGGCGGAGGAGGCTCGTTCTGCGCAAGGCGATGAGATTTGGACCTTGCGAGTTCGATGTTGATCGTAACTGCTTCCTCGAAACTCGTGGTCCTGGAAGTCCATGTCGGCTATCATCGAAAGAAGGAGTGGCTGGATGATTGGATCACACCAGATAGAGAGCACCCGACTGGAGGTACGGTCCCGGACACTCATGCTATTAAGCTTCATTGAAAAATGCAACGTTCCTCTCTCGGCTGTACTCCATCAACACAAGCACGGTAAAGTAAATTTCAGCTCGGTGGTACCCAACTCCTTGCGGCGCCATGTCTCGCCGGGTTGGCTTCTCCCTTTCCCTGCGGACAGCACACTCCTCGCCCAGTACATACCGTCATACTCCCCTCTACCACTTTTCCAATTTCCGTTACTGTTAATTAGTTATCCAATTTCGTGGCCAATATCGAGGCCCTTCCAGTCGGCTCTCAACGCTCATCGTATGGATCATAACAGTCCTTGTATTTCTCTGAGTCGAAAAGACCCTTTGCAATAGCTTCGACCACCTCGTGCACCATCGCTTGTCTCGCGTTCTGTTTTGGTAGGGCCTTGCACTTTGGTGACCAGTACGGCAAAGCGTTTTCGAACTTCTTCAGTTCCGCCTGTAGACCGGTTCGTATCCAAGGGGATGTGGCATGATCATCGGCCACGCTTTCGAACTCTCGATGTAAGAGTGTAATACTCGTATGTGTTTTCCCAACGTTAAGTTTTGCGCATCCTGGACGAGATTGACGTCAGCCCTTGTTCGATGGTCTGAATGTGCTTGAGGAAAAGGTCTGTGTAGCTAGAGATGAGGTTACTTTGCTCGGTTCCAGTCAGACGACCATTCCCGCGCGAGTCTGCCTTCTTGACCCCTTTCGCTCGCGACCGCCGCGTGGATAATCTATTCCGGGTGCGTTCAAGTTTGATCTTGCTCCTTCTCGGTTCCTTACCCGATCCGCAGGATGTAAGGGGTTCTTCATCACTCCCGCAGTTGATCTTTCTCCTTCTCGGCATCTTTGCCGGTACGTCGGATATAGGGCTATCATCATCACGATCGATACAACCTCGCTTAACTCCAGTCTGTGGCTCGGGCATTGTATGGCTGGGCTTGGCCATGAACATTGCCAGGAGGCCCTGGTCATCTGTCGGGGTGTCCGCAAGCTGGGATGTGGGTGTACGAGCAGAGATAGGGGTGGGAGCAGGAGCTGGAGCTGGTGATCGACATCGCTGCTGCTCATGCTCTGCTTCCTGTTGGGGACGAGCTTCTGCAGTGAGTGATGGCTCTGCGACGGCGTTAGCTGCAATCACTTAGACTTGACAGCTCAGTTGAACAAGCTCGACTCACCCGTTGTGGTACCTGCGGGAGTACTGTTAGAAGAAACTGATTTCTCTGGCTTCTCTTCCACCGTGGCCTCGTCTTCATGTCCCGGCGCGCTGTTCGTAGTCGAGTCAGCTCGAGGCTCACCTGCTGATGGTAGCTCCGCAGACAACATGCTGCTGCTGGTGACTTGAGGATCATCTCTGCTGCCATCGCGTGACTCGGTCTTCACCTGGGCGCTATCTTCGGTCAGATCGATAGTCATCAACTGCATAAGCCGATGCTTGACCGTGAGTTCTTTGCGCTCAAGTTCCAACTGCCGTTCCTCCAAGTTCAATTGACGTTTTTCAAGCTCAATCTGAGCCAATTCATACTGAAGTTGAATCCTGCTCGCCATGGTGTTCCGTCGATGGATGCCAGATGAGAGATTGGCTGGGATCTAATTGCGAGGAACAGGGAGAATTCTGTACTCGACATAAGGCCAGACCGAGGTGCTAGTGGAAAGAGCCCACAGCAAGCTCAGCGCAAGATAAATGTCGTTTAGCAGGCGAGCAGCGACAGAGGCGATCATTGAAGAGCTTTAGAGCGCACTCCGCCTGATTTTGACCTTGTCAGAAGGTCGCCTCCAGACACAAACTGGCAAGAGCATTCGAGGTTGGGTCACAGCCGGTACCTCCAAACACGCACGCGTGAGAGAAAGGCCAAGAGGCAGGGAAACGACACACGCTGATACTTCATGGTTCTGCCGCACCCAGTTGTTCAGAATGACACGTTGGCGAGACTTCGAATAGAGGTTCTTCGAAAAGGTAGAGCCAAAGGGAAGAGCTATTGAAAATACCTCGTCTGCCGCCTGTGGGAATTCTAATCTACGCCATCGAGAGTGAGTGAGTAGTGCTGCTCTTGGTGGGCAGCGCATGTGGTCAGCTCCATGAAAATTAGGATATGCCTGTGGAAAGTACGATGACAATGCATACCGGCAGGAACATTGGACAGGAACAAAGAACAGCTCGAGAGCTGTCAGTACTCCAACAGGGTCGGGAAAGCTCGAGGTCCGTTACGCGGTAAGCTAATGCGTACCTTACTAGTGAAATTGAAGCCCGCACGATCGGTAAGTCAACGAATCAACCGTTGCAGCCGTTTTGTATGTTTCATATATTTTTTATTCGAAAATCTGACTTAAATGTTGTCCCAAAAGCCAGACAATTTACCCAGTCTGGATGGTCTAGTCGGTTATGACGTCGGTCTCATAGTCTTAACTGTGATCTTGTGCCCTCAAACACAAGAGCTATCCGAAGGTCGCGAGTTCGATTCTCGCTCTGGACATTTTTGTAGAGTGTTGTGTTTTTGTGCGGACATGCGATCAACCTCTGTTCTAGATAGGTAGTCCACACTCAACTCAGATGGAGCTCATTACTCTACTCGAACCAAGCCGATGTTCAACATAAACCCGTAAAACTGTCTCCAATAGGCTAGGATACTGCGAGCTGTAATCTGTTTGGGTGCAAAAGACTTCTGTATCTAATTATTGCCATTCAATCCGCTGACACCAACTCAGAAGTAACCATTGCAGGGAATGATGACCTTCACTATATGTCCGACCTCCCTCCTGTAAGCGTGGCGCCGTAGTTTACTTGACTGTACATTACCACTCATGGCTGGGATGTGGGCGTAGTTGATTCTTTCTGCATCTTCATTGTTCTATTCGGACGGCACAGGACTACCTGAAGGTGCACACAGGGACTGAGGACCCTACAGAGCGCTAGCTACTCATCATCAATATTGAACGCTACTCCAAACGCGACATCACCTCAGATTGATTGCCTAATAATCCGCCCTCCTTGGTAGATATGGAGAGCACCGCTTCCAGAAGCACAGGCATTCATTCGGCGATTCATTCACCCAGGACCAGAAATGCCTGATCACGCCCCTATGGCCGCTGGTTGAAAGTTTGCCCGCAAGCTGCAGTCCCCTCTCTGGCAGTACCAACGCGTCGAGAATATCTATCGTGGTTACTCGCTTCGACGCGAGAGCTGGACGGCCATGCTCTCTTCAATCAGGTTGGCATGTGAGCTTGATGGATTCGACAAAGCGAGCGATAGCGAGATGGGCCAAAAGCATCTGTGACGGACGACTGAGAAGCCAGTCCTGCGTCTTGGTATTAGATCTGCTGCTGCAACAAGGGTGATATCCATAGCATGCCTCGGTGAGCTGCTGTGAGGCTCGAATAGAGGTAGCGAGTCTTTCAATTGTCCAGGATTGCTTACTCGCAATTTGAACGACAGAGCGGCGCAAGATGAAACGTCGTATCTCCTTTTGCTTGTCAGTGATTGTGCATTTGCGGATGGCGGACACGTCGCAGAATTGTTGGCCTCATTCGCCTCTCACCACCCAACAGGAGTAAAGTAAATAACTGAAGCTCGATTCAGTCATCTTCACTTCACCCCCAGCCCGAGTTGTCAATCCACCCTTCTTTCCTCTATCTGAGCGTCCTCTATCTTCATCTGCAGGTTGTTGTTGATCCACCCCGACCTGATCCATCACTCACTCACTCATTCCGAACTTCAATATCAGACGCACGGGCACGTGATGTCTGAGGCCAGAGACGACGAGCCAGTCAGCGATGACGAACTCGTGGAGATCGAGCTCGAGCAGCGCCAGCTTGACCTTGATCGTGAACTCGAGCGGCGACGGCTGGACTTGCACCGGCAGAGGATTAAGATCCGCAAGCGTCGTGCGAAACGCGATGCGCCGGTCGACTTGACCTCAGATGACGGGGCTGCCCAAGTCAAGACAGAGCCAAGAGAGAGCGATCGAGCCAAAAGTCAACCAAACTCAACAAGTTGTCTGTTGCCGTGTCCAGTACCCAATGAGGCGACAGGTATATTGCCAGTAAATAACGTTGCACACGAAAATGAACAGCTTTCCACCCCGGGACAGAGCCGACAATGTTCTGAGCCAGCTCCTAACAGAAATCAGTGTACGCGCGAGTCGATCCCAAGATCAGGGGAACATGTTCCAAGCTTTACTGACTTCAAACAAGCGACGACGCCGCTTCCTTCAGGTACCCAAACAGCGAGCTATCCAAAACCGTCAAGTCAGTCCTTTGACACCTCGGATTGGCTCCTTCGCACAGTTATGTCGGATAATGACACTGTCTCGCAATTCACTCCACCAGCCACCTACGGTCCCCAATCGATCTGGCGGGAGAGCATCTTTCGCGGCCTGCCTGCAAATCCTTCGGTGAAGAGAAGCCATAGCCCTGACAGCAACGCAGCCGTCCTGGCACATGACACGAATGACACTATCGAAGTCAAACATTCAAAAATATGCATGGCCACAGACCATAAATCCAAGAACGCAAAGAACAAAAAGCGAACCAAGACTGCGCCACTTACTGAGCGTCAGCAATCCGAGATCATCAGGATATATGGCGCGCGTCTTGTCCAGTATCATATGCACAAATTCGACGACCAACTCCCTGCCAGGCTGATAACAGAGGCTGGATCTAAGATTGTTGTTGGACTGGTCGCCAAGAAGTTCAAGACTTTGCAGGAGCTGCATGACGAGTACGAGAGCATTCTCACATCCTCCTGCCAGAGAAACCTGGGAGAGGTTGTGAGGACCGAGCTACAGAAGTTCCGCCGCGCAGCACCAGTCTGGTGGGCGGAATGCTTAGCGAAGCCCGAGGCGCAGCGGCTGGCATTCGTCTCAACAGTGTTCAGCGATGTCAACCAGGGTAAATATGATGCCAGGTACGTACCGAGGCCAGCAAGTCCTGCTCTAGGCACCTCGTCCTACCGACCTCGGTAGTGCGGCCGGAGAGCCAGAATTTGACATCAGTCGGAGAAAGTGAAAGCTGTGGTGATAGCTTCTGCTATCTTCATTGCAGGTACTGCATCCTGGTGACCTCAGGCCCAAAGTTGGATAGGGCGATCGCTCGTGGTTTGATAGAGCGATCAAATTCCTGGAATGGACATGAACGACGTCCCAAACAACAAAGATGAACAGGCCGGTCAAGCGGAGCGTGCTGTCTTTATGTAGCCCGACATTCAACGTGCTACCGGTTCTTTTGAGCTCAGTCCAGAATCAAAGACTTTTGTTTCCACTTCGACGCTTCTGCTTCGGCGAAATTGGCCACGCTTCCGTATGATAGAACGAGAAATCCTAGGTCCTCTCTATCAACGTCGAACACTTCCCACCAGTTCTGTTCAACCAGCTTGGCACCAGTCTCTCTTGCCGCCAGGTAGATTGCTCCCACGGCAAGCGCGTTCGGTTGATGGGTGAGGTACAAGAACTGGGGAGAGAGAAGCCCGGCATTCAAGTGCTCGAAGACTCTTTGTGCAAGCTTCGTCGACGAAACTCCCAAGGCTTGCATATATGTCAAGGCCAACGTGTATGGCAGGGCGACTCGGGTGTCGAAGCCAATGGCCGCCAATATCATGCTTTCGCAGACAAACAGCCTTTGTCTTTCTCTTTCGTATGTCCCTTCTGATACATAATAGTCCCGAGGTCGGCTCTCCAAGGGAGCACCAGCTGGGTTGACAAATCTCAGAGGTGAACTTTCTGACATCAGGTAGGCATAGACATTGACCACGGACCGAGGTGACACTGGTGTTGCGGAGATCTTTGCAGCGAGGTAGATCGAGGCCGCTGTATAGGTTTTGTGGCTAAATCCGTCTCGATCTTCTGGTCGGCTGGACACAAGGAAGCGCTGCAGCAGGACTATGGCGTGGGCAATGACCTCCTGGCTGAGGTGTAGGAGGATCCCTGCCGCCGAAGTGAGCTGGAATTGAGCAAATCTTATTGACGGGCCATCTTCGTCGTCGAGGCTTTTCAGCTTCATGAGCTGGTCGGCAGTGACTAGTGGGTTAGTGAGGTATTCGATTGCAGATAAGGCCGCCATCGCAGGTCCGCAATCTGAGATGTTAACCAATTGCACCTGGATTCAAAGAGACGAGATGTTGAAGCCGTGTGGAGGTCTGCAGAGGTACGGTGGATCATCCAGCATCTGCGCGACATATGAATGTTTACTCACTTTGATTAAGCTTGATTCACCGGGCTTATCTGAATTGATCTCGTCTCTCATCCTCCTAGGAAGTCGTGTCAAATGCACCAGCCTTACGCGCATCTTATGGTGTGCATTGAGGTGGTGCTATGCTTGTGCTGACATGGGACGAGAAATCTCAGAACGGAATCGGTATCAAGTCTCGACTTATCGAGCCATCTGAGGCTCATCTGTCCCTTCCAGAGGCTCCAGCCTGGCCCAAGTCTTAAACGGAGAACCGCTGGTGTCACAGCGCGAGCGTTGGCCGGTCTCGCCTCTGTTGGAAGATCTCCCTCCCCCTGCAAAGCAGATATGCGAGTCCTTGAAGGGGCGGTTGCTGCTGCTGCTGCTACATCGTCAGTTCTACGAGTATTCCAAGTTTCACCACCTCTCCTGGCGCCACCAGGCGTGCCACAGAACAGTCTGCTCAGCAATGAACAGGGACAATCAGTGGCAGCTGACTTCTGCAAACATGGCTGTTTTGTCACTCAAACTCTAATGGTCCATTCCTTCGCCAACAGCTATGGTGACCCGTTTATTGGTTCTTATACGCCGCCGGAATGTTCTTTCAACCATATCACGTTGAATCTCACTGTTGAAGCCGCCGGAAGACAATTCGATCGTCTGGCGGTGGCTTATCTAGGAGATGTCGAAATCTGGCGGACGAGCACAGCTGAACCTACTCGTGCCGGCATTATGTATGGCAGACAGATTCCATTCTCCCTGAACAGTGCTAACTTGCCCCTAGATGGACACACGTGAAAGACGTGTCTTATCTCCTGTCTCTCTTTCTCGAGCCTCAACAGCTGGTCTTTGACCTTGGCAACCTGATAAACGAAAATTATACTTCTCCCTTCAATGTGACCTTGGAGGCGACGTTCTTTCAATCATCAACCACAACCGATCCCGCGGATATCATTGTTTCAGTTCCAGCCAGGCGGAGCGCTATTATCTCCGAGAATCCTTCACACTATCCCCATGTTACAGTCGGAGACAGCATCGTGCTGCCGCGAAATGTGGAACGTGCGGTCTTCACAATTGCCGCCACGGGTCAGATGGACGAAGGTGCGTCAGTGTCTCATGTCGATATACCGCCGGTTTGACCCTCTGCGCGTAGAGTTCTGGTATTCCAACGTATTCTCCTCGTACACCCATACTTTCGGGCGAGATCCCCTTCCCGGTCACTCACCATTCCGGGAAATCCAGCTCCTGATTGATGGGCAACTGGCAGGTGTTGTCTGGCCCTTTCCTATAGTCTTCACTGGTGGCATTGTGCCCGGTTTATGGAGACCCGTTGTCGGAATTGACGCATTCGACATCCGCGAAGATGAAATCGATATAACACCTTGGCTGCCCCTGCTGTGCGACGGGGAAAGCCACGTATTTGAAATCAGAGTGGTCGGCATCGATGACGACGGCAAAGGCAAGAGTCGGCTCTCTGAGACTGTGGGCAGTTATTGGGTAAGCTGACCGACAGAAGTTGTGTGTCGTACTTACAGCCTCTAGGTCATTACAGGGAAGATATTCATCTGGCTCGACCAGGCCGGATCAGTTACAGCTGGAACAATTCCTACCCTTCTTGCTCCTGTACCGTCCCTGGCGCTCTTCTCTGAGCTCGGTCTAGATTCCAATGGCACCAACCAGACGCTGACGAATGTCATCGACGTAACTCGCAACCTGAGCATTTCCTCGCAAGTGGAGACCTCCAAAGGTATCAAAACAGTTTCGTGGCGGCAATCACTTACGTATTCAAATTGGGACTATATATCCGACTTTGGTGTCAGACAAACGACAACACAGCATATCAATGGCAGCGCAGTTTCGTCAGAAGGTTACTCCCGAGTCTTCAGCTACCCTCTTTGCGTGAACAGCACCGTTATCGAGGATAAAGCGGCTCATACGCTCTTCATTTCCGCCACTATCAATCGAGGACAAGAGGTCGAAGTCTACGGTCAATTGGTGTTTCCTACCGGCCTAGAGCCGTTCAACCGCTCACTTGGGTTTCTCTTGGGGGATTTCCAACGCCATGAAGCGTTCGTGGGCAGTCGCTTGAGCACGACTCAGAATGGAAGCGCCATTTACTCCAGACACGAGAATGTCTCCACTAGCCCTGCGACAACACAGCAGGATCTTACATTCTCCGGCATTCCAGCTAGCGATCCAGAAGCAGGATCACAAAGACACGTAGAACTTTACCGCCGGCATGTAATTGCCGTCAACGACACGCTTGTTGAAGACCGGGCAACGCTCCATGGCAGCAAGGCAAATTTGCATCTTTCAGCTAAGTCAAATAGACAAGACATGCGACCGGTCTGGCTGCAGTAATCCTGGGAGATGCTCTTGCAAGTCTCAAATACAGGGTGATGTGCCCGCTCGCCAAAAAAAAAAAGAAAAAAGAAAAAAAAAACTGTCGCTGAATCCGGCATCGGGGCAATGCACAAATTTGAGCATTGATCATGAAAGGAATGTCCAGATTCCTTGGGCCACATCTTCTGTCACCACATATTTTGGCCGGGACGATCAGGCTGAGACTTGGCCAGAAAGGGTCTCGGCTGGGTGATTCCTTGGATCACAAGCATGGGCTCGAAGTTCACTCGGAAGATCGAGATTGCGAGCAGCTGAAATGCAGCAGGCCAAAAGCAGAAAGTCGGGTATGTGAACAAGCAGTCGTCTTGCAGCTTGCATGGAGCCAGTTCCCCTTTTGGGGCCGGTAGCGAAGCTCACCCAAGCTTCTCGTCAAATCCACGTCCGAGGCTTGTCTGGGCTTCGCGAAATGTGCACAAACAGCTTCAGTCGCAGCTTTGGAAGGAGATCGAAAGGCTACAACGCCAACTTGAGCATCACCAGTGAGGCATCCACGGCTGTGAGATTGTCAAAAGACTCTTCGAAACTACCCAACCCGTACTGTTGGACTCAATGAAGCTATTGACCGCAAAAGTAGAAAGAAATCAGCTAACCGCCACCATGACCGCCAACACACACATATAATCCACGAGTCGCGAGCCTATGTATATTTGTCTGTCTTAGCCGCAAGCCTCCTTCCACGTCTATGCATACCAGGATCGAACCTCTGGTGGGGCTGGCGGAGTCGTCGCCCTTGCTTCCACTCGAGCAGCAGTCGGGCATGCGATCAACTATGAACAGGACATTAGCGACGCTGAGAATGGCTCAAATTGTCTTACAGGGCATTCCCTCCATAAGTCGAGATCGGCTACTGACAAGGTCTTGGTGTGGCAGATGCTATTGCCATCAACAAGGCATCGCGACTCCATGGACAGTATGCTTGGCTTACAGAGGCAGCTCCGCAGCTTAGGGTGTGCAGCAAGGTTTGTGCAAGACCCATATTGTTGCTTGCAAGACTGAGTCAAATCACCTCCAATCTTGCACACTGTCGCGACGGCATTACATTCTGCATGAGGAGCGAGGGTAATTGACGGCATCGGCAATATTGGCGTGGTGACTTTGAAGTCGATCCACGTGTTGCATTCCTTGTGTCAATTCGACACGGCTTGCTGTGCCGCGCCGTCTTCTTCGAGCGATTCCAAGCACAGGCGTGTTTCGCCCCGGCAACTGCAGCACGGTCAGAACTGGATTGCCCAGCGTACATGCCATGCGAACGTGATACGTGTTACATACTCGATGATCAGGTCGAAGAACTTCAGATCACAAATGCAGTTCTTGAAGGCGGGCGTGTCGACCGACGTCGGACCAGGCAGCGCAAAACACTTCGAGTGCGAGCTTGCATATCTGTCACATGCAGGCAGATCTGTGGCGTATGTTGTGGTGCCAGACCAGCAGCCGGTTATCTGAGTTACCTGCCCGAAGGCTGGGATGGCGCAGCACAAGATCCAGAATGCCGTGATGATCGTGTCAGGTCGAAGAAATCTCAACAGACGGGAACGAGGTGCGAATGGAGGCACGAGAACCGATGTCTAAGGGCAGAGGCTTTGGGTTAATATCTCAGTGAGTACTGAGCGGCGTTCGTGTGTGCCCTCGTGGTCAGGCTTCCGCCTTGCCAATTCCCTGAACTCGTGCCAGCTGGAAACATGGCTCTCAAGAGTATGATGGGATCCTCGGACGCCAGGGATTGGCACGACCGAGGCGAATTCATCCACCCTGTGCTGCGCGAAGAAGCTGCAGCCTGAAGCTGTCTCGATAGACGTCCAATCACGGCAGATACGGTCAGCCATGGCTTTTACGCCACTAGGGGACCCCCCTTCAGCCGAGAAGGAGATTGGCCAGAGAAAGACGGCTCCATTGCGCCTTGCCATCGGAAGGAGGGTCAAAGCCCAATCCAGGCTGGCGGGACGTGGCTTTTTTGCACTTCCACTCATCGAGGCAGACAGCCCACCTTCATGGTAACCGGTGTCCCTAGTGTCCTCCCAACTGACACGGAGAGGTAGCCTCGAATACAAAGTCTGGGCTACGGAAGCTGTAAATGAAGTGCTATTTGGTATCTATTCACGCCTCTTTTGCATGGGCAATTGGAAACGCAAGACTTGATTACTATTGACTTGTTTTGCTCCCATCAGACTTCATAGAAGGCGATCTGGTCATGTCATTGGCACAGACTCCTCCCGTTAACCAAGCTACTGCAAACCCGTTCAGCGCGAGCATCTGATCAACATCAACATTCTCGACGACCACACCTCCCTCATCACAAGCAACAGGATCAACTACGTCACCCCACGCGCCATGTTAAATGCGACCTCCGTGCTGTTCACGGCCGCACACGCTGCCATGGTAAGGAGTTTTCTGTGGAGAGCGGGTGCGGCCGACACGGCCGGAAGCACAGTCCAGGGCTCATTGATCATCCCGACGGTGCGCCTCGTGGTGGTCGACTCGATCGCCAACGTCCTGCTGGGCGCTCTAGCCGTCCTGGCGGTGTTGACGGTGTGGATCCGCATCGACGTCATCAACAACGAGACTTCGCTGTTCGAAGAGCCGAAGGCTCTGCTCGGGTCAGCCATTCTGCTGCATGGGAGCGATGTCAATGCATTCGCGTCCCACCTGCGCCGCGATCCCGAAGCCGCGCAGGATGGTAGGGTTCTGGCACATGCACGTCGGCCGCGCCGTCTCTGGGGACGTAATCTTCTATGGAGCGTCTATCGTGACGACGTGCTCAAGAAGAAATGGAAAGTGGAAAACTGGGATGCCCCCTCTGATACGAAGATTGTGGCGGGATAGATAGGGACTGGAGGTGTGTTTTGAAGTGTGAGTTCTGGAATCCTGGAGTTACGGCCCGAGGATCCGATATAATTACTCTTAACTGGGGTCGCACCGTAAACAAACCATTAATTAGCGCGATTTCATTATACCCCATGGCAGCGTGGCTGTTAATTCGATTGAGTAAGGCCAGATGCGCGGAGGTCTCTCTGCCTTGTGAGAACAAGGATCGTCATTGTTATAGTGTCTTTTGTCCATTCACGTGGTTGATATTGTAGCCAGGTTCCTCAAGTGTCGAGCCAGCAAATAAGAATACTCAGACAAATAGTTACATAAACGCCTCGTCAGACATTGCTCGATTAGGAATTCAAGCCGAGTCCAGTCTACGGCACGGTTTAGAGACCAAAGCGCACACAAGCACGACAAGGCAGGACTTGCAAGACTTGCAAGCACCACAAGGCTGCCCTCCTATGTAATATGATCTTTTCACCCACCTTCCCAAGGCCATTGATAGAGGCACTGCAAACCATCAAGATTCATATTTTATCGACGATACGACTAGGGACGACTAGGTACTTCCCCCTTCATACATTGCACATCGGATTGGCATTGGCATTGATATCGTCACATTTCAACGACGATAATGGCACACACGAACCTCCAGCACCGAAGAACACACAACCTACTCTTGATCTCCAAACTTCTCTCGCAACAGTCTCAGACTTCACCCTTTACGCTTGTGCTCGACACGTTGGAGCAGCCGGCCTGGCCGTTACTACGGGAATACCTGCGTCGGGCCCAGCTCTCGAAACTGGTGACGACGGTGTTCCTGGCATTTGAGACGGTGGTGAAGCCCGAGAATGTCGATTATTTCCTGCCTAGGCACGATGTGGCCGAGAGGACATCCGCATGGCAGAAGGACATCACGCGAGAATTTGCCGATATCTTGAAACGAAGTTCTGGGAAGAGTACGCGTGCCCATGCTACTGTTTGTGTTTGTGTTCCTGCTTACGTTTCTGTTTCTTCATGTTCTATGCTGATAATATCATCACCAGGAGTTCTTGTGATCGTGGATTCGATGACAACCTTGGCCTCGCTTTCAACAGACCCGGCATGTCATCTCAATTTGACGGCATTTCTCTCGTCGCTTCTTCAGCCACCGGCCATACAGTCAAGCAGCGCTGAACAGGAGCAAGCGCCTCAGGTCTCGTTGGTCACGGTCTATCATACCGATGTCCCTCTGCCTTCTCCGCATTCGTATTCAAGTGCTGGACCCCAGCACGGGTACAGTCCGTCACCGCTCTCGCTTCTGTCTTACCTCGCGACAACCGTCATAACTGTCCACTCACTGGCCATCCTACTGGCTGAGAGGGCCGCGCTGGCAAAATCGCTTGCCGCACCGTCGTTTGGTCTGTCTGGGGAGATTGAGGGTGTGATAATTGGGCTGAAGCCAAAACCATTGGCAGATATGATGCCCGGTGAGAAAGGAATCGTGTTGGAACTGGAGCATCGGAGGAAGAGTGGACGGGGCGTAAATGAGTGGTTCTTTTTGCCAACAACGGCAGCGACAGCCGCAAGGGCAGGCGGAGCCCCGGCATTTCGGGAAACCGTCATTTTGTTGGATGATCATCCCCAGTTCCGCAGGCCGAAGGAAGAGGCGGCAGACGGTGATCAAGAGTTGTCAGGTATGACCTTTGAGCTAGGGTTGACGGAGAGGCAGCGCTTGGAGCGCGAGGGCGTGGTATTGCCATACTTCGATGCTCAAAAGGCGGGTGGCGGAGGTGAGGGTGGGAGGATTTTGTATGACATGGGTGTCGAAGACGACTTCGATGAGGAAGAGGATGAGATCTGAGCGTGAGGCAACCGTCCATTGGACCATTTGTCGATTTTGTTCTCCACGAAGCCGGATCTCGACTTGTCGTCCAAGTAGTGGCCCGCCAAAAGATGTCATACGCTCGCCGGTTGTTTCTTTGCTACTTCGCCCACGGTACAAATCGTTCGAATGTCCATCGCTGGTCTACCAGAATCGCCAGATGAGGAAAAACAACACGATCAGGCCGACCCCAACAAATGGCCCGTACTGTTTCAGCATCAGCTCCCAGTTGATCCTAACTGCGGCTTTCCTGTATTTCTTGCTGTCTTCCCGTAATCGTCCACTCATTTCGCCCATTCGTTCGAGACTGTCACCGCGGTACAGTAGATCCTCGATATTCTTGGTCATGACTTTGGTGACATCCTTTAGCTCGTCGTTCAGCTTGTCCAGGTTTGCGCTCGCACGGCTGTCTTGGTATGTCTTCTTCGTCCGCTGGATGAATGTGTCAAACTCGACAAACGCGTAGGGCCGTAGTGTCGCTGAGAGATATTGCTGTGAGGGATAGACGGTGGTGAATTCTTGAGCAAGGTCGGAGAGGTAGGTGAACGCGAGTTTCCGAGGATAGGATCGGTCGCATATGCAAAGGAAGCACACTGAGTCCTGGATGATATAGCTGTCGGCGAGTCCGTTAGTTTCGTGGCTCCAGACACATACTAGCTAGCTTGTTGTCTCACTGTGATGTGTATTGTCCTGACTCGATGCTGGCTTGCTGCTCCGAGTTGCGGTTCAGCCGCCTGAAGATCATCTTCGCTTGCGACTTGACCTCAGCCAGCTCCGTCTCGACCTGCCAGTCCTTGGGTCAGCGTCCTGTCCATAAGCCAAGACTGGAAACATGCGTACCTGCTCGTCATCAACTGAGGCTGCGAGCATGAGGCCTGTAGAGGAGTGCGCGGTCAGTTATCTTTCCCCAGCGACTTGCTGAAAATCGTAGTCAGAGACTCACCATCTAGCCGTGCTATCTGCGTTGATTTGATCATCTTGTCGATAATACGTTCTTCCCTTCTACCAGTTTTTCTGCGACAACTGCAGGGCAACAAGTTATTCTGTCTGTTATGGACACGCTTTCATCACTGCGGGGACGCTAGCGCCGGCAATAGCCGCCGACTCACTCGCTTGAGTTTCCTCCTTTATCCAAGTACACGATACATCGCCCACGTGATCGCCTCTATACATTTCCGCCGCTTCGCTTCGTGAGGATATCATCACACAAACAGCTCGTGGTGCCAACGCTGTCTCGTACTCCGGGACGGTCCAGGAGTCGCTTACTATGGCGGCAGCTTGGTAGTGCTATCTCGATGCCCATGTAGCCAATGCTGAAGATGAATATGTGGAGCTTAATGGACAAGTTGAAAGTGGCTATTACCGGGACTTCGACACTCCAATCCTACTAGATCAAAACACCACTCGTCCAGCACTTATGCTCGAGTAGATATCACTGAGGACTGTGGACCTAGAGCCATGCTCTCCTACAGGGGCAGTGGGCAACGGATCAGGCTAGATTTGGCAGTATTTTGCAACATCGCAAAACTGGGCACAAGCTCATGGGTGATTGCTGGGTCTGATCCGAACGCTTTCTTTGCAAATGATCAGTCAAAGCCACTTTGTCTGCTTCTCCCCGTCGCTGGCATGTGTACCGTCTCTCTCTGTAGCAATACCTGAAACACCTTTGAGCTGTGATACCGTCCTCTATCCAGCCCAGCCACTCGTCTGCTTCTTCCTGATATATACACATCAGACAGATCTCTTTTCCCTTTTATTTGCTCGTCTTCCTGTTCCTGCCACATTCCCCCAGAACTATGGCATCTGGCCCGTGACAGCAGCTTTCGCGCGGACGCTGGTCGACCAGGTTCCCTACTACAATCGGTTGCAAATCCCAGCCATCCGCATTTCCATGTGAAGCTCCTTACAGCCTTCCTGGCAGCATTTCTGTAGGTCAAATCATGTAGTAGCACCTTTTCTGGTCTGTTCCGCCACAAGACACCAGTTCAGTCATTATGGGTACACTAGACCATGTCCTGCTTCTAGGGACCAGGTTTAGGATGATGTCGCTGTGCCGTGTCAAGCAGTTCGCGCATCCGTGGCACAAGGGCTCGCTCTCCGCACGTAGGACCTTCAGTTACAAGATCCTGTACAACCAAACGAAGGTTCGTTAATAACCCTACTGTAGTCAGCACTGTCAAGTGTCGACACTGCTGACTGAGTCGATACGAGGGTATAGGCCACGTATCGACTCTCGCGATTAGCCGACTCGTAAGTCGACTCGCTTGAGTCAGTATACTGGTTAACTCGAGTGTTGAATCTAGTATAATATAGGCTTATTATAGTGTTGATGTTAGTACTAATATTAGTATCACTATCAGTATTAATAATTCAACACTAGCAGTACTCATTGTGCGAGCTAAGCCTGTATAGATCCAAGAGTCGATAGAGTCGACACAGTCGACAGTGTGACACTAGGGGAGTCGATACTTGACAGCACTAACCGTCGTTCGGACCCTCAGACCAAGAAGACACTGGGAATGATGCTACCGAGATACTTGCTTCTGGTAACACCAGAATCCAGACATTCTACCAGAGTATCCTCGAAATATGTGTTCTCCTAAGGTCGTTTGATTAATTTGGGGCGGTAATAAAAGCCCACAGCCACTGTACGCTGTCCACGACTGCTTGCCCCCGGTCTTCCATCCACGACAAGTCTTTTCTATCGTCTCTCACTCACCCAAAAACAGTTCTGAACCGGCTGCCGTATGTTGCAGCTGCTCCCACGACCTCCACGAGCGCCAATACCATTCTCCCCGCAAAAGACGGTGGTGTAATTGCTTCTTCCTCCAATGAGAATCATGAGACGGCAAGTCCTGCACGCGCGTGGCTTGAGGGTCTGCCACTCGGAAACAACAGCTACTGCCACAACATCCGCTCGAAGCCTTTTGGCGTGTTCTCGGTGACGCCGGTGTCGTTCCACCCTTGTATCGTTACAACGTGAACCGAGACACCAACAGCGTTGCGACTGTGTGATATACCAGTCTTCCAGCCAACTTCCGCCGCAGTCTCCCGAATGGGTCTCTGAAAGCATTCCAGGTTGTGGTCTTGCGGCCGTCTTCCAATCAACGTCCTCTTGAACATCCCGCCACAGGTGTTGATGCCAACGCCCGCAATGCATCTGGATCCCAACCACGAGGAGCTACTGGCCGAGCCGTTCAAGGACAGCCACAGTGCCAATCGGTGAGAACTCAAGCTGGCGCTCCTCTTTGTGGCCTCTCCTGTTCAGCTCCGCGAATACCCCCAGGGCCAGAACATGGTATCTACAACAACAGCGAGAACCACCTGCTCGACGTGACCAACCCCTTTTGGGAGTCATCCAAACGTCGTTTGAACCACTCCAGGATTAAGAGTGAGAACGCTGGCCGGTGGAGGAACCTGGCTCAAAAGCTCTGTATCTAAGAGATCTAGGTTCAGGGTTAGCGCAAGATATTAGTCGTTAATCGTTTCGTTCATCTTTGTCTCTCTCGTGCAAAGGACCTACCAGATACTTTTGGTAGATGGCGGAGATTCCTGTCGCTTTTGGGACCTAGTCATTCCCAAAGATTCTGCTCCCATCGCTTGTGCGCGGTGCATTCAGGCGCGCGGTTTGCCGCACCGGCAATCACTTGAATTAATCAAGCAGCATACAGCTAGGATCTACATGATGCGCTTGACAAACGACAACAACCCCAACGCTTGCTCCTTGTCCCCCATCGCGCAATCCCAGTAAGCCCGCGCTACAAAACTTGGCTTGCTGTGCCATTAGTTCTTCGTTTCGCCCATCCATTGTCTTCTCCTTTCATTTTACTCGATTCACCGCGCCCCTACTGCTGTCGACGCTTGCAAACTGTCGATCATAGCACCTCCTTCTGTTCTCTTGGTGTCGACATTTTCACAGCCCGCAACTCACTCAAATGGCCCAAGAAATGAATCCTGGGGTTCAGCCCACTGACAACCAGACAGGTAGACGAGAGTCAGGGTAAGGGTCTTCGTGTAGCTGCTGGGGCTGTCTCAAAACCAGGGCAACCTAGCTCGTATTTATTGGCCGCTGCCGCCATATGCAGTACTTGAGAAGCAACCCGCTGACTCGAAGCACTACAGGATCTTCAAACAGGATGCTGCCAGCGACGTCAAGTTCTACAAAATGGCATATCAAGACCCCGAATTCTCTGCCTTCCAAGAAAACGATGTGTTCGAGCACGAAAACGGACAGCGTATCAAGCTCGTGTATCATAACGTCAAAATCCAGGGCCGGCAAGAAAGAAGCATTCGACCATACAATCCACCCCGAGAGAGTCTTCGGTTCCAACTTGCCGACGAAGAAGTAGACAGTAGCAATTCCCTATCTAATCTCAGCCTCGCCACTGGCCCCAAAGAGATGGAACTGCTGGTGGGAGGCAAGAGAGAAGGAGACTCAGCAGACCCCTGGAGAAACTGGAAGCTCCTTCGCCCCAAGCCCAGCTCTGACCCAAACGAGCCGACTGAGTTTGAGACTTTAGGCACTCTCAATGACGTCCGCGCCTATTGGAACAATAGGTGGCCAGTACGACCAGTACCCGACGAAGGAGATGCAGCAGGTCCAGACGACCAGAGTGATGAAGATCAGGCTCGAGGCAAGAATACCAAGGGTCGTAAGCGCAGATCTACACAAGGTCAAACCCGAAGAACTTCAGCTAGAGCTGGTTCGCTGTCTGGGACTGTTGGATCTCGTCACAGTCAGTCTCTCCGACGCACGTCGACTCAAGCGCAGGCTTCGGCATTTCATGGCCCTCTTCTCGGTGGCGACACTCCTGGCCCCTTGCTTGCCCAGGAGCAGCAGTACGGAAGTCAACTCACATACAATACTCCGCAGACCTATCCGCCTGTCATTCCTCAATTCGATCCGCAGAATTCTCAAGAGTATACTCAGCAGTATGGCGGCGAAGCAGCCTTCCAGCAGAGTACATACGCCAGCGTACGCGGTCCCATGGCGCCTCCTCCGCTCCACAGCTATCAATCGCAACTACAAAGACTCCCACATGATATGCAGCAGACACCTTCTACTCAGCATGCCGCGAGCTCGAGCTACGCCTTCGGAGGTGATGCCTTAGTTGGATCACAAATGCCTCAGCAACCTCACTCCACCGTTGCACAGCAGCCTCCCGCACAGCAGCCACTCTACCAGCAACAGCTGCAGTCCTGGGACACTGACGAGCAGACTTACCAGCAGCAGCAACCTGGCAGCGGCAATGATATTGGCGAAGAGGCAAATGACGAGCATACTTTTTGGTGATTGTGTGTATGTGCCTGAATGGCAGTACATACCCCTACCAGCATGGAACTGGTGCTATGGAGATGCTGCTCCGGGCTGAGAGTGGTGATGGGTATGTTGGCATGCCAGGGATCGAGGATTTCTCTCAGTGGCAGATATGTTTCAGTCTGCGGTTTTCTTTCTTCTTTCTCTGCCTGTATTGGGGGAAGGATTGGTTAATCCCTGCTAGGAACCCTCATTGTGGACCAGCGGATGATGGTCTTGTTTTCCTATTTTCATAGTGTGCTTCATGGCAGGCCCGGTTGCGGTCTTGCTTATCGGGCTGGGCTGGTGGTCAATAGTTTGCGCGGCAGATTCAGTTCTTCATCAAAAATCGGGTTGAATACAAGTCCCCTTAGATTAAGCATTCCCGTAATCTTTCTTTCCCTTGCTGGGCGAATTTTATCCGTAGCGTTCTTATAAGAAGGCCTGGCAGGAGTATTGTTCTCCTATTATAGACGGGGAGAGTATGTTGCCCTGCTAGTGCTGGCAAACCTGCCAACCACTCTCGTCTTTTAGCATTTAGCCGGGCAAATAAGGAAGCTCTCTCTCATTGTGTCGCCTCGTACTTGAATTGTCCGCCTATTTAGAAGCTTAACAGAGCTCGCAACACCTTAAAAGCAGGCCACGATCTACACATACATCCAACTCGGTAGACGGTCGGTGGTTGCTTCGTGAGGACATCCCTGCGAAGGGCAAGTCGTCCCGGTGATAGAGCCCGTAATTTGTAACAACAAACCCTGACTGACTAGTCCACATCTGTCGGCAAGCCATCTTTGCAGCTGCAAACACTGTTCTTTGGTATTCGTCAAGTTCAGGCATGTTCTCAGCAAGAGCGAGTAATTAGTCGACTGAGAACAAATCTGTCGTGCCTAGCAAACATAGCAAAACTCACGACCTGTCAAACGCAACACCTGCTGCTAGATCCAAGTTTTTGAGACGTCTTCCTCGTTTGCCTGGGCAAGCAAGACTTTCAACAAGGGGTACATAAGTCAGTCCGTCTTTCTTTGTTCGCCATCCATCCATCATACTACCTACTCGTTCAGCCAATCATATACACGCATTTGCGGCGCCATTTGCGACGTTCATTGGTCTATCACAATCACGCTAGCCCATTACGACTAGCGCAGGGGCTTCAGCCTTTTGTCAAGATGGTTTATACAGGGTGAGTTCAGTCCTTGTATTGTCTCAATCTTTTATTCTGCCTGTCCTGTGTCGGTTGACAGACCTGCACACATCTTGTCAGAACACTCTGCACTCTAAGCGCCTCAGTGCAGCAATGACTGATGGCCATTGACAAAGGTGGACGCCTTGTCGCCAGTCTTGCTCTACAAGTTGCACACTTGGTTGGACGACGCAGTCATTGTTAGACCGAGCAAGATGTCTAGTCGAAGCTACCAAACATATGGTCTGCTTTGGCTCAGCCAGGCTGCTGCCGTTGTCGTATCTGCTGCCTATCCTCCATGTACTGACTCGACGCAGACCTGTAAAGCAAGCAAACTCCCGATCCACTAAATTCTACAAGATGGCCTACGTGGACCTGGGCTACTCAGCTTTCGAGCGAAGCGACGAGTTCTTCCACCCCGAAACCGGATGCGTACTTACACTTCACTACGGACCTGCCAATGTTCGACATTACATGGGTGGGAATTACCAGGATACGCGTCCCGTCTTGAGAAGACCCGAAGACCTTCTTTTCCGCATCACTCATCCAGCAGGCTACTCTTGGGACGACTACGCATCGGGACCAGAGCAAATGGAGATGATCATCGGACTGGCGAAGAGAGACAACCCCTGGGACCGCTGGATCGTCAGAGGAGACGTTCCCGGCCACGGCAGGATCGCGGTCGGCACACTGGACCAGCTACGGTATCACTGGAATGAGCTTCTCCCCGGTGTCGCGCCGGGAACTCTTACGGCCCACCAGCCTCCCCAGGCAGGTACTCGAGCTCAAGCAGCCAAAGCCCGTGTCGTCCAAGATCGCATCAGTCGTGGCGGAGCTGCACAGGCGCAAATTCCTCCAATTGACCCGGCTGTCGTGGCGAGACAGCGACTTGGAGGTCCAGGCACGGCCTTTGACCAAGCATATCCTGGTGTTCAGCTTCCGCCACCTGCGCCGCAACAAGGACTTGGAACGAACGTGGGGGCACCTCAAATGCATCAACCCCAGCAGCACGTTCAGCCTGCTCTGCCTCCGACTCATCATCCTCTTCCACCCCAACAGCAACAGGCCCATGTGCAAGGTGGCCAGGCGTATCATACTACGCAGCAGGGCCATGTCTTTCCACCGGTCGCCAACCAGTTTCTTCAGCCGAGCTTTCCTCCCGTCGCGACTTCTCACCAACAGCCGGCGCAGCTTCAACACCAGCAGCAAGCTCACGACGGTCATCAGGGTCAAGACCAAGATGACGATTTGATCGACCCCTTCTTGTGGGCTGTCCAAGCGGGACAACTGGCCGGGCAACAGCCAGACAACAACCCTGACACTGGGGCGGACCATGGATACAGTCAACAGTAGAGGGGGTTTGTCAATGCTGACTTCCTTGATGCCAGCGTTCTCCTTCCCTGTCTCTTAAGCTTGTACTTGAGGCCGAGAGGCATTCGTTATGACAGCTGTAGTGGTGGTTGAGGTGGTGCTGGCCTTCATTTTCATTTCTTTCTTACTGTTCTGTCCAATTGTGGTTGGTTGGTGGATTTGCGGCTGGCGGCATCCCCGTCTACAACTTCTTCATGTATGATGAGACGAGCCTGTCATGTTTGCTAGACGGCTAGGTAGGCAATACGCACTTCATCCAAGTCCGTGCTTTGCAGATTTTGCAGAGGACGTGCCGCGCTTTCTCAACTGCCCGGATTGTTGAAATGGCGTGCACGTCAGTACTGATGGAGACCAAGACTGCTTGGAACCCTGGATGGGTGAGCATGTCCTCATAGCTGTCGTACCCCGTGATGCCAATGTCGATGTAGTCTACGTTCGAGCGACCCCGTTGTAGCTCGTGAGACGCTGCGCTGCAGACGGCGACGAGAGGGCGCGAGGGACTCGGTTCACAAGAGTCGAGATGTAGCGTTTGCCTGGCGCAGAAGCAATGACATTCAGGGCAATGATATTGACTACAGTTGAGAGAGTGGTGGGTTAATGATTCGTGCGAAGAATCGGCTTCAAACTCACCATTCGCCTCAGGCCGACAACAGCAATATTGAGCATCCATCTTTAGGGCTCTACGTATGATTCTATGGATGTTTATGACGTTGCATGAGGCGAGGCAGTAATTGGAGAGATTGATGGGACATGGCCACAATCCACGAGAAGTGTGGTAGCGCATCAGTGTATGTCATCAAGCTCTTGTTGAGTCTATCTCTCGAGAGCTCAGCTCTCAGCTATGAACTATCTCGTAGCCCTGCTGGTCCTGCCGTGTGAGGGCAAGGACAGAACAAGGAAGGAACAGGGCAGGAACGGGACTGCCCGCCACAAGAAGAGCCGTTAGTTGAAGTACTCCCCGGTCCAGGTTTTCTTGCCACTTATGACAGACGTGGAAAGCACGGGATTCATCTAATCAAGCAGCTACTCGAATAGGATTGAAAGAAGCTGTGCATAGCATGAACAGACACGAGCAGAAAGGCTCTCTCTTCATGATTGGTTCGTGGAAACAATCGCTCTATTTCTGCGATCATGCCTGGACTCCAGTCTCACGTTGGTTGGTCCTCCAGTTTAATCTGTCACGCCGGTGTCGATTAGCCGGTGCGTGCTGGCTGTCGACGTCGTGGACTCCTCAGAGTGCAGAAGCGCGAGAACAGGAAGCGAGTTGAAGCAATCGAGTCTCCTTTAACCCTGTCTCCATATCTTGTGTATTCTACAGAATGTTTCGCTCTTCTAGCCAAGCTTGCAAGCATGATCTATATACCTCTATCATTGTAATAGCCGTATGCATCGTTCTATCTCGAACCTATTGCTAACAACCCCGACCAGCTCGCTCATTGTGTTCTGCTGATCCGTCGAGAAGGATAACTTAGGACTTATCTGGGAAACCAAAATCAACGCCGAATCCCGGAGAGACGAATCGAGTGACGCCTTTCTTGGAGATTTCTGCCAGAGACGCAAGATCGCTGTCCGAGAGGTCAACGATCTTCTTGTTCTCATCGATGCGAGATGGCGTGACCGACTTGGCGAGGACAGAACTGCCTCGCGCAATGTGGTAACTCAGCAGGATCGAGCCTGGGGTGACGCCTTTGTGCTCCGCCAGTTTTACCACGTGGGGATCTTTCATGAGAGGGCTTCCAGTACTGCCAAGAGGACTGTAGGCCGTGACGTGGATGCCCTTTTCTTTGCAAAGGTCCACAATCTCTTGCTGGGGCAGAAGTGGGTGGTTCTCAATTTGGTTGGCCGCAGGAACAACATCCACCTTGGGCAAGAGCTCTTCGAGATACCGCTTCGAGTAGTTTGCCACCCCGATGGCTTTTGTCTTTCCTGTTTTGAGCAGTTTCTCCATATCCTTGTACGTGTCGACATGAGATCTGTCTCGGAGGAGGTCTCTTGACCCATCAGGCAGTTTGGGAAATTTCTCGTCATTGCCGTTTGGATTCATGGCGACGGGCCAATGCATGAGATAGAGGTCCACATAGTCAAGGCCCAGAAGCTTCAGGCTCATGTCGAGATTCTGCTCCACTCTTGTATGATATGTGCACCAGAGTTTCGTGACAATGAACAGGTCACTTCGTGGTATCCCTGTGGCGGCCAGACCCTCTTTGATCCCCTCACCGACTTCTTCTTCATTCCCGTACACATACGCAGCGTCGATGTGTCGGTAGCCGGACTTGATAGCGTGAGCCACCGCCGCACGCACTTCGCCCTTGGGACTCTGCCATGTGCCTGGAATTGTGTGTTAGGCTTTGTCCAGGCGACTCTCGGAGCGGCACAACGTTACCTAGACCTAGGGCGGGAATAGTTGCACCAGTATTCAGTGGCAGTCGTACGTCAACCATGGCGTCAGTCGGTCGAGCTATTGTTCTTTGATCTCATGCACAGCAAAGTTGCGCAGGCGAATTTAACGAAGCGTTGAGGCCCAGTTGACGGCGCTGGCCATGCGGGGAATGGTGTTCATCGGCGAAATATTTCTCGAGCATGGGATCGGCTACCCCGCCATCTCGGTGTATTGTCCGCCCGAGCTCGCGTCAGTTCAATAGCCGACAGCACCACCGTGTCACCAGTGTCAATTGACCAGGGTTACAAGGGTACGAGGTACCAACATTGGTTTGCAGGACAGAGTGGCGCAGCACACCTAGAGACGAGCGACAGTTGCTTTTGGCGTTCAAGCAGTGATTTCGCTTCTTTCGATTCAAGCCACTGTCAAGCCTCGAATGCTTGGTGAGTACGGAGGACCTGCAATTGTCAACCTAGCTTTCAAACGCCGGCCATCGGCAACGGTTGATGGGAGTGCATTCTCGGTCGGCGTTGCACGGGTTACACCGGGGTCTCTCCACCTCCACCGCCTCCTTCCTTCTCAGCCTTGTCGCGCCTTCCAAGCTGGCTGAATGTGGTAATTCCTCCCGTGCCCCACCTGCCTTGTGTTTCGGTTCTAAATTTTCATTCTGGAGCTGCTTCTTCATTCTCACTCTTCTCTGTGAGACATGAAGCACGAAGTCTGATCAAATGCAACACACATTCAGATGGCCGTCTTATCGGCGCTCTCGAGAAGACCCTTGTTTTCAGGCATGCAATCTAATGCTATCGCTGTTACACAACATGAGAGCTACTGACGCCCGTCCATCCCCGGGGGTTGTCAATCCCATCGACCGGCCATCAGATCCTGGCAAACACTGTGTAACCTTGACGCTCGGCAACGAGTCTTCGTCACGATAGTGTTATATCATTTCCCTGCTGTTTCACCGACTTTATCAAGTTCGTGCCTCCTCCAGCTCTAGTATTGTTATCTTGCAAAACTTCCAGACGCCGAACTGCTCTTCACAACAGCCACAAACGATGGCAACTACTCAAAGCACTAGGAATTCTGTGGCAGGGATGATTATCCACTCAGAAGCCTAAATTAGAGGCGCTTCGACCACCCCGATGGTAAAGGAAGAAACTACAACGGCCCGCCATCGGTGATCAGCTTAGCGTTGCATCCGAGCTCCATCTGGGCTTCGTCTTCGAACCTCATCTTCCAGATCTGGCAACTTTCACCTGTCAATCCTCTAGAAAGTCGCCTCGCTTGTTCCCACAGCGAACAAGTCCGCAAGTCACTCAGGTTCGAATTGGTTGAACGCATGAGAATTTTCCGGTAGGTAATTGGACAGATGTCACTGTTTTTATCAGTCCGACCTTTTTGTTGGTGAGAAGTATGTGCACTGTCACTGGCTAAGTAGGATGATATCTATATCAAGCCGGGTCTCGCTGCTCGACATCATCAGCTTCAGCATCAAACTTGTCAGTCATCGTGGCAAGATCGGATTTCGAGCTTTCCATCAATCAAGTCGCCAATAATCCGAGACAGCTAACAAGCTCCCTCCGCAGCTTCAGCATCTTGCGCTGAGCACGATTCCACACACAAAAGCCAACCAAATCATCATCGTACGGTACACTTGCTGCTTCGTCTCTATCCCGAAATGTCTGTCATTCTCCAGCAGCCTTCCCACCCACCCTCCTTTCGCACCGACCGGGATGGCCAAGCTTTTGAAGCTCTCTGCGATGAGATCGAGCATGCGGATATTGCAGCAGATCAGGCCTTCAAGATCAAACAACAAACAGACGAAGACGAAGCTTCCAAGTTTGATGCTGGAAAAGACAAGACTCGGTTCCGCCAATACGAAACCGCCTGTGACCGAGTCAAGAACTTCTACCTCGAGCAACACACGAAGCAGACTGTCGCTTACAACCTGAAGGCTCGACATGCCTTCCGCTCAAAGACTCGGGCCGAGATGTCCATCTGGGAAGCAATGGAACGCCTCAACACTCTCATTGATGAGTCTGACCCCGACACCGAGCTTGGTCAGATCGAGCACCTGCTTCAATCCGCAGAGGCTATGCGCCGCGACGGCCGACCACGTTGGATGCAGTTGACTGGTCTCATCCACGATCTAGGGAAGCTGCTGTTCTTTTTCGATGCTGAGGGTCAATGGGATGTCGTGGGGGATACATTCGTCGTCGGCTGCGCGTTTGACGACCGGATCATCTATGGCAACAAGTCATTTTGTGCCAATCCGGACTTTGACGACCCGATCTACAGCACCAAGAGTGGCATCTACACGCCCGGCTGTGGTCTTGACAATATTATGCTCTCATGGGGTCATGATGAGTATCTCTACCATGTGGTCAAGACTCAGTCGACACTTCCAGATGAGGCTCTTGCGATGATACGATACCACAGCTTCTACCCTTGGCACCAACAGGGCGCCTACAGGGAGTTCATGAACGAGAAGGATCATGAGATGCTCAAGGCCGTCAAGAAATTCAATCCCTATGATCTTTACAGCAAGAGTGACGAAAGGCCGGATATTGAGAGGCTCAAGGTACGTACGGTCCGCATTTGGTCTCCGACGCCAAGCTAATCTGGCAATATAGCCCTACTATTTGGAGCTGATTGATGAATTCTTTCCAACGAAGGTCCTCAAATGGTAGCTTCGGATATCAGGATGGCTTCTTGTTGGTGGTGTCGACCTCAATTTCTGCTGCGCTCTGTCGGAATCAGACATACACAAGGGCAACTAGGCATGTTGGGAGGCTGAGATTGTAACACATGATCATAAGCGTAATGTTACGGAAGCAACGGGCATTGACCAAGTGCTGGAAGCCCGAAGTGAGCGTTCCGCTGTCATTCAGCATTATACATAACAAGAATGGCGCATTGTGCTATTTTGTCTTCTCCAACCATCATCCTCAGCTAGGGTCACCTCTGTCAGTGGCACAGATAGCATGGGGCAAAACCTACGAGCCGCATATCCAAAAGGTAAGGCTCACCGACTCTTTAGACACAAAGCGGTTCCGATCTAACGGTATTGTAGAAGGAGCCCAGGACCATACACCTTCGAGAGAAATCCAGGCTTGAGTAACAGTCAATGAAATCAAAAAGCTAGAAAATGAGTAACTCAGCAAATCAGCTCTCGAATCCGTTGCGGCGGAAAGAACCTTGCAGACGCTGCACCCTGCATCGCGCATTCTCCTCGTATCGTACGTGTGGAGACGTTGAAACACATCCCGCGTGCAAACCTCAAGCCACGAGCGACGAGCCACGATGAATGAGGCACAATCCACAGATCCAGAACAGTCCCTCAGAAAAGCCAAAGACCATACCCTTGCGCTTGACCTTGGAGATCGCCGGCGGGTTTGTGTCCTGTCTGTGATATCATAGCGAAACCTATCGACGTCCCCGCGTGCATATCCCATCCCCAACCGGAGTCCCCCTCCCCGCTTCAGCGCGTCTGGGATCAAGAAAGGCGTTACACAGCATAATTCCTTCGTCTGTGTGCCGTGTGCGGGCGGTGCGGGCATATGGACGAATTACTTTGAGGATGTGAGTGTATCATCAAGCGACGTCGCACAGCGTTGGCTGTATCATCCACCCAACAACCTACCGAGCTGGCTGGTTAGCTGGCCGGCTCATCGGCAGATCCCCCCTACCTCTTGCGTCCTTAGCCTCTACTATCTCCCCTTCTCACACTCTGTGTACTCCGTACTGTCCCCTGTTTGTCTGCTCGGCTGTGCCTCGTCATGTAGCAATCTGCCTCACAGTGCAGTGCAGTGCAGTCGGCGCAGTCAGTGCATTGCCTTCAGGGTTCCACGGCATGAGCCAGCGCGCGAGTGAGCGAGCGAGCGAACGACCCAACGGACCCAACGAATAAGAAAGAGACAATCAGACGGTCCACCGTCTGCTGGACCAGTCGCGCGTGCTGTGATACCAGCTTCCCCGGATTGACCGACAGATGCGTACATGGGCATATGCTATGACAGCACTCGCTCGATGCTACATTGACGAAGGCAGGATGCATGATTGGATATGCTAGCGCAATGATTGAGGTTAGCGAGAGCGAGCGGCACGAGGGTGAGAACGGATGTTCCTTTCGATGGTAATTCTTCAACTTGCGGTCTGGAACTGGCGCTGGAGATGCATATGGGGGACTGTCGCAATATCGATGGTGATGGACTCGTCTTGGTAGGCGTAGGGTACTCGTCGGTGGTATCGGTTCGGTCCCACATTGGCACGCACCGGCGTCGCTGTCAGCATGTATATGTGTTGATATGTGTTAACCAGGGCAGACCGCCGTCGAGGTACTATTAGCTCTGGGTTAGCAATGGCGAGATGGTCGAAACAACGTGTATCACAATCATAGAGAAAAGCAACGAATGATGTTCATGAGTCATGTTTCATTGCACTACGCACGAACTGCTCTCTGCTCATGACTCGTCTGCGTTGCGCCTTGGCGCCAATGCTCAACCCTCGGATTTGCACCTCGTCTCACTTTCCACCTCGTCTCACTTTCCACCTCGTCTCACTTTCCACCTCGTCTCACTTTCCACCTCGTCTCACTTTCCACCTGCACTCAACTTCACTTCACCTTCCACTCACTTCATCTTCACTTCGTTTCCTTCACTTCAAACGTCTGGCTCTGTCATTGTCGACCCGTACACCGTGCTCGCGTATGCCGGATCGGTCGTTCTGAGGCCAGCAGCCATACGCCTTCGCACGGCAATCTGCTTGGGCTCGGTCCCCTGGTACGTGATGTCGACGCCCCTGGCCTGATACCAGGAGGCGCGTCGCGCGGGGACAAAGATGTCTTTGATATGCTGGTTGTTTGGCCTGTCCATCTGCTTCCGTGTGTAGTTGTGCTTGCGGAAAATGTGGTCCCAGTAACCACTCTCGCGCAGGACCGCGTGGTAACAGTCCTGGTTGAGGCCCGGGCAGATGAATGGGTCAGCTTCGTCGCCAACGTTCCTGTACTTTCGTGTACGCTGTTGAGATGCAGGCTGGGCGGGGGTGTTGCCACCGACTGTGCCAAGAGGTGCGGCGACGGTGTTGGCAGGGTTGTTGACGATTGCTGGCGTGGATGGGATGAGGGGCGGGGCGCCGAGGTGAGCTGGCACGTCGGCAACTGGCGCAGCAGGCACAGCGACGGCAACTGGCGGCACAACGACAGTGTCATTGGCAGCCATGTTGCGGGCCTCAGAGGCAGTGGCTGGTGCGGCCACATTGGCGGCACCGTGGAACTCCGGTGGAGGAGACGGCCTACCCTGTGAAAGGTCAGTCAGTGCTTCTCATGGACTTGTCGAAGTTCAACTTACGACTTCAGCTGCAAGCGCCGCGTAGAGAAACTGATCGGCTTCGGAAAGGTCCGACATTTCGAATGAGTTTGATGAAGTCAAGGTTTCGCGAAATGTCGTGGTTGTTGAGAGTGTGGTTGTGCGTGGTAGTGGTAGTCGAAGATCGACTGTGCTTGGGAGTGGGAGACGAAGTTGTACTTGTGCGGCGAGTCGCAACAAGCTGCCTCTGTCACTGCCTCGTGCACTTCACATAGTATCTGTCGGTGAATTTGCACGACGCTGTGTGCGGTCTGGCAGTGAGGGCGGTGGCGGGTGACCGACATTGTGAAGATCTTGCTGTGTCGACTTTTTCGCGGCACAACACACAGGACTGGAAAAGCTGCGTGTCTCCTTTCCAACCCCTCCTTTGAAGAAGCTGGTCGAAAGGCCCAACAGCGAGGAGTATGGCTGCGGAAGGAAAGAAGTCTTGCGTGCTTGGAACATTCAGCCATGTCTACTGTCGCCTCTGTGGTCGGGACCACAGGCGTGTAGGAGACAAGTGTTGCTGGGGGGGAAGGAGGAAGAAAGACAAAGAGTCAGAGTTCGAAAGCGACTTTATAACTCTACGGGATGCGGAGCTCAGAATGTGAATGGCGACGACATCATCGTGGAGTTTGGTGACCGCGGCGACATTATGAGCCCTAGCAGGCACACTGCATCCTCGCGATGGACAGGCGCGAGAGGGACGTGGGTGCCCTCCGCCCGGTGGGAGTACTGGGCACTCGCGGACGGAGACCAGATGCCCGAATTGCACTACAGAGAGGTCAGCAGCCGAAGATGAAGATATGGACACCAATTGCCTTGTACCTCGAAGCGGTGTCCTGCGTTGGAAGCCGAAGATGTCAACGTTGTGCCGACGGCGGAGGATGATACCCGTCGAACGAAGATGATGAAGAGAAAGACGGCCTGCTGGAACTGAAGAGAGTCCTTGTCCCCATCTCCCCGACTCTCACAGTTCCAGGCCGACGAGACCAAGAAGCTGTGTGATCTGGAGAGGAGAAGGAGGAAGGAGAGAACAGACACGGGGGAGAAGCGAAATATTTATACCCCTGAGGACGACGCCAAGGCCACGAGGTGGAAGGCGGTGACATATGACGAACATGATCATGGCAGGGGGTGACAGATGACGACGACATGGTCATGTCAGGAGGTGACCGACGACGGCATGGTCATGACAGAGAGTGACCGGCACAGCCACCTGCAGGCACGGACGACCTTTGGCAACGGCCACGTGGGGAATCGGCAAGTATATGCTCGACCGTCACATCACTAGACACGGCCGGTACGCCCACGACGACAGGATCTTGGTGAAGGACCGCCGACAAGGTGCGGGGGCAATATGAGTCGCGTTGTCTTGCTGATGGCACAGATGGCTGGTCGGACCGCCCTCCCCGCTCCAGTCACCTAGTCTATGTCTCCATCTCTGTGGTGATGAAGGAGAGCACAAAAGCACGGGAGCACTATATAAAGAACAGGAGGGCATTGTTTGACAATGTGCGAGGCCAAGAGGACCCTCGGGAAGGACTGCGATTTAGCACAGGATTGTGGGAGCAAGCAACAAACGACCTGAATCAATCAGGCTGCAGTGGAGGTCCACTAGGGAGACTCTGCCAATGGAAGGAGCTATACTCTTTCAAGTCGGGACTACTGCGTGCGCAGCAAACGAACGAGTGGATTTGACCGCTTCATCATACTCGACCTACCGCCGAAGACATAACCCCGGGAGTCTTCTGTCTGAGGTTGAGCCCTACCCAGCAGCAAAGGACCGCATGAGGGATACCATTGGGCAATGGTGGCTAATGGTAGAAGAAGGAATGCCGGGAACCACAAGACGTTGATGTGGGAGTGTGACAAACGGCAGGATTTATCCCCAAGAGACCCATAGAGTTGGACGGCAAGGCACGAAAGGTGGGAATACGTGTTCATGACAATGGACTTCGGCCAGGACCTGGATTTCCAGCGGCGAAGGCCACCCCCTGAATTCTATGGTATACATGGCGTTTGCCCCATGCTGCCATCTCCTCATTTTTGAAGTCCGAGCCCGGTACCGATATCTACTGATGCATATAGCCAGGCGACTGTGCTGAGAGCTCATGTTGGTCAGTGTTGCAACTGACGAAAATGCACCTAAGTCTGCATGGCATCCATATTATCACGTTTGCAAACATGAGCATTGCTCGGTGAATTGCTGGATACCTCCCCCCGTGCCACAATCATTTCGGCCAGCACATGGCAGTCAATACTCGACAAGTCCGCAGCAGGAACAAGTGCATCCATGACTCCGTCCGGGTCGAAGGGCTCAACCTCCAGATGAGGCCCTAACTTCTCCTTCAAGCATCGAATCAGGCACGCCTCCGTTCGCGAAACCAGGGATGTCCGGTATCCTCTAAGTAACTCATGCGTGTCCGGCTCCAGTGGTACTGGCTCTTTTCGTTTCTAGCGATTTTCTGCCTGTGTATTGTTTCCAGCAGCGAGGCCAGGGTCGCCGCCCTCTTCGTCTTCCAGATCATTGAGGAATGCGTCGAACGCGGACCCTGCCAAAGAGTTTGAGAAATCGCCCTCGGACATGGTTTGTGGTGTTCTTCCGCTCCTGGACGTTTGATCTTCATAGGAGGCAGGTGCCGGCGTATTCCTGGCGTGCTTGACATAAGCTCCCAATGCTTCAATCATTCCGCCAAGGTTCCTCAAGCCGTCCTTGGTAGATTGGATCTGAGGAACCATCCGCTTGATTTCCGCCAGTGCCACCGGATCGGGTATGGGCGACAAGGAACGAGGATCAAGGCTCACCGATGAACCGAACGAATATGGTGGTTGTTCGTTGGCACTGCGAGATAATGGAGCTGATGTTCTGCCCAGGGGCGTCTGAGAGGATGCTCGTAGATTTTGTCCTACTAGTGGAGATTCACTTCTGAGAATACCGGCTGTTCGTGGGTGCAGGGGCATCGGCATCTTGAGCGGCGGACTGCCGTAGGATCGACAAGGAGACGACGTTGGTTCTGGGCTGCGACCGTCACTCGGATCAAGGGTGTCGGGTTGTGGTTGCTTCGTCCCTCCAGGCGAACCGTCCATTTTGAAGTCGTGAGATGGTCCAAGCGGATCACTTATTTGGAATTCAGCCTCCATGACATGCAAGGGTCAATCCGAGGTCTGGGTTTGCCGGCTTTGGCTGGGTGAGGGCATGGTCAATGCAAGGGGTGGAAATGAGTCCGAGACACCAAGTTTCAGGTATCAACACAACATAGGGCGAGATTCAGGGCAAGATCGCAAACCGCTAAGTGATAAGGACAGCTACCATACCAACACCAACGGTCAATGTTGTGTCGATGTAAATGACTTGTAAATAATAGTGGCCATCCGTGTTGTGGTGCCATGACTGAGGCAGGAGCAACCAAATCTGAAAATGATGAAGAAGCCAGTTTGATGAACTGCTCTGACAACAAACAGTTCTGAATGAAAGGCAGCGTTGGCACCACAATGGAACAGTGGAGTCGAAAGGGTAAGCTGGAGAGTTCTATATGTATCAGATGAAGTTGGCAGCTTTGGAGGCTATTCAAAGCTCTGTTTCTCTGCAAAAGGGCATCACATCACTTTCACTTAACTTTGACCGGACCTGCATCGACAATTAATAGACCATATCTTCCCGTCGACACGGGACCTTCACTCTTTCTGCTGTCTTTCAGCAGCCACGGCTACTGGCTCGGAGATGCTGTCCTTCATGTACAAGCCTGTCGCCGGTTTCATACCTTGCCACGCGGCCGTGGACGGTTGTGACGTGAGGACAGCCGCGTCGTTTGCAGGCCGCCCAGTTCGCAATGTCACCAATATGTTTGATTCACCATCGTCACCGACATTGCTTAGTTCCTTGCTTGAATACAAACAGGGTAGCTGGTCGTGCTCTAGCTCCCTACCGGCTAACGACGCCCACTAACAATCAATTCACCCGCGGCAAACGCCATTGGGATCTCGCGACTGGGTGCTGCGCTAGGCACCATGAGGGTAAATTTGACTTGATTTCAGTAGCCTGGGTTGTTCCTCTAGATGCTGACCCTCCTACAGATCAAATATCTGCTGTTCGATTGCGACAATACTCTTGTGCAATCGGAGGATGTCGCCTCCGAGATCTGCTGCGAGTTGATCAACGAGGTGTTAGAAAAGAGGGACGTCGCCGTTCGGTTTTCGCCTGAGGATCTTATCACAGAGTTTGTTGGTCTCAACTTTCGCCGAATCCTGGTAACCCTGCAACGGCAACTAGGTTTTGAGTTGAGCGAAGACGAGTTGAAAGCCTGCAACCGTACTCAAGAAGATCGAGTGGTCGCCAACATCGAAGCAAAGACCCAGCCGTGCCCTGGTGTGACCGAAACACTTGCCAGACTCCACAAATCCAAGGATTTCGTCTTGGCTGTTGCTTCCTCGTCATCCCTGCGCCGCATTCGTACCTGCCTGCGGGTGACGGGGCTGATCAAGTACTTTGACGACGATAAGATTTTTTCCGCGGCTGATTCCCTTTCTGGTCCGTCCAGCAAGCCCGATCCCGCTGTCTACCTCCATGCGTTAGAGAAGCTCGGAGCTCTTGCAGGACAATGTTTGACTGTCGAGGACAGTATGTCAGGAGTCGGGGCCGCCGTGGGTGCCAACTTGAAGTGCTTGGGATATGTTGGGTCGACTCATACACTGGGGCAAAGAACCGAAATGGCCCGACAATTGCTTGATGCAGGATGCGTTGATATCATGTGGCATTGGGGCAGTTACGGCAAACACCTATCCACTGTCGAAAGTCAAGAGAGCGATAAATCGGATAGAGTGACACCGTCGCAGGGTACAAACTGAGCTTCTGATCTCGGGGGAATCTACTGCATCTGATTTTCTCACAAAATCAACCGACCTCGAAAGACTATGAAGCATTGGATGGCACAAACAGAAGCTTAGACGGTGACTCGAGTCTCGGAACTATACATGAGGATCGGACATCGCTGGTGTATGCCGGCACAGGAGAATTGATACCCACAAAGTTTTTGTCTTGCTTCGTCCACCGTTTCCTGTTGGATCACCCTCAACTTCTTGGACTCCCTCATAGTCCTAGGAAACATCTTCGGGTTTTCCAACCTCTTGCGGGATGGGAATCACCTCGGTGAATGACTGCTCCGTATCGACCAATTCCGCCATTGAATCAAGCACGAGACTGTCAGGTTGCGTCTTCTCGCGGTCGGCTCGCCACCGACGGTAAATATTCCACCACCACTCATGAGTTGCCCCGTCTCTCCCGAGATGGCCTGCCACACCATCCGGGCTGACCTGTCGCTCCCACGGCTTGTCGACGATGTAGTGGAGGACCACAACCTTATCGTCAGACCACATTCGAGGATGCCAATACCGCATGGTCTTGAGCGCGTTGTACTTCCATGACAGCGGATACCACTTGTCACGGTAGAAATCTGCCAGAAAGTCTTGGTCGGGGAATTGATATGTCTTGAGGCGGTCGGTGGTGTTGAAGAACTGCAGCATTTCGTTCCACAGTTCTTCGGACGGATAGAACAGCAACATGCCGCCATTTAAAAGTCGATATGTCGGGCGTGACTCGGGCGTAATCTCTGCAGCCACCTCGTCCGGGTGGTTCAATGTCGTGAAGGCACAGTTTCCCTTGTTCCACTCGGCTGGGGCCCACGAGTCGTAGTCAAGGTTGCACACGCAGGCGTGAGTGGCACCTAGCCAGTCTCGACCTGGAAGCTTGCATTCGAAGATCTCGTCCGGATTGCGGAAGATGGCCATATCGGCGTCCAGGAACACGGCTCTACTGTACCCTAACTTGTAGACCTCGAAAGCCCGGAGTTTGGTGAATGTGTCTTTGAATCGCTCGGCGACGCTGCCGGTGTTCTCCTGTTCTTTCCTGGGCAAGAGCAGAGATACTCTCTCCGGTTGCAGTCGTCGGTAGGTCTGCGCCTCCTCCTGGAGAGCGGATACGGCCTTCTCACCCAGCGAATCGGTGTACTGCACGACGAGAGGGTATTTGGACTTGTGTTGATCGAGTGTATGTGCGAGGATGATGACGCCTGGTAGATATGACGGCTTGGTGACAAGAGTGACCCAGCACCACCTCTCTGCGCAGTCTGCTACCGATCCCATCTTGCTACGCGCTACCACGGTATGCTGCAAGCAGAGATGAATCCGATGTCGAGTAAAGCAAAGGGAGAATCTACTGGACGACGACAAGCTTTACGAACTCCAGCTCACCGGCGGACACATCCCACAGGGAACTGAAGTCATGGCGTCATTGCTGGAAAGTCCCGCCATGAGTGTCTTACAGGAGTCAACAGCCTTCTTAACGTGCACTTTGCTCTGCTGGGGTTCGAAACTCAGTGAGCGCATATCGAGAACGATGGAATCAATCCCATACTCATGGAAGTCAAATACAGTACTACCAGGACCATGTCGCCGATGACGAGGAAGCGACATAGCAGGAGCCGACGCCATCTGATTGGTGGATTCCCTTCTTGGTCTGGTTGCCCCGCTAGCGGCTTGTTTACTTTTCGGAACAAGACAAGGCCGAAAAACTGACCCCCTCACGCTCGCTTCAGCTGGCATTCAGCTGGGAATCACAGGATTAGTTACCGACTGTACCTAGTCTAGATCATTCTCTCAATGACTGCATATTAGTCTGACACTTGGACGTCCGTGTGCCTGCGCTGAAACCTGCGTTTGTCAATCCCATACCCTGGAGTTTTGAATACTGCACCACCGTATCATCGACACCGACTTGTTCTTTAACAGACTTGCGCACGTAGACCTCCGAGTATCCATCATCGAGGGACCCCGGCCTACTTGTCGTCTGACATGCAGCCATGGTATTATTGGAAAAGCAATGGGTGAATGTCCAAGAGAAGACCTTTACAAAATGGTACATGCCACCATTGACGCCGACGCCTTCGGCCTAGATAGACTGACGCTTCCAGGCTCAATAACAAGATCAAACCCCGTGAAGTCGCCGTCAGAAGCCTCGTCACAGACCTTTCCGACGGCATCATCCTCATCCACCTTCTCGAGATCCTCAGCAATGAATCCCTCGGGCGATATGCGGCGAACCCTCGCCTCCGGGTGCAGAAATTCGAGAACGTCAATAAGTCACTCGAGTTTATCAAGAGCCGCGGAATTCAGATGACAAACATTGGTGCAGAGGACGTGGTTGATGGGAACCGCAAGATCATTTTGGGGCTGATATGGACGCTCATTCTGCGGTTCACCATCTCCGACATCAACGAGGAAGGCTTGACGGCCAAGGAAGGTCTGCTGCTGTGGTGCCAACGGAAAACGGCATGCTATGAAGGAGTCGAAGTGCGGGACTTTTCATCCTCGTGGAATAATGGGCTCGCCTTTTGTGCGCTTCTGGATATCCACCGGCCCGATCTGATCGACTTTGACATGTTGGATAAGTCGGACCACAAAGGGAACATGAAGTTGGCGTTCGAGATTGCGAGCAGAGAGATCGGCATCCCGGACCTGCTCGACGTCGAAGACGTGGCAGATGTCCCCAAACCCGATGAAAGATCACTGATGACCTACATCGCCTACTGGTTTCACGCATTCAGTGCCATGGAGAGGGTGGAAAATGCAGGCAGACGAGTCGAGAAGTTCGTGAGCAATATGCAAGGCGCGTGGGAAATGGAGTCAGCATACGAGAAGAGAATGCGTGCCCTCCTGCAACAGATCCGACAACAGCGCCAGTCCTGGCGCGACTCGCAATTCCAGGGGACGTATGCAGACGCGAAGGCTCAAGCCAATGCGTTGGCCAGCTACAAGCGGAGCCAGAAACGCAAGTGGGTGGCCGAGAAGTCCGACTTAGCCGCGCTGCTAGGCAACATCAAGACCAAACTCTCCACGTACAGACTGCGTCCGTACCAGCCACCGCCAGAACTGAGACTAGAAGTGCTCGACCACGAATGGGCGGCATTGGGGACCGACGAGCACGCTCGAAGCAAGCTGATCAATGAGACCATCCGAGACATCAAAAACGCGTTGAGGAAGACCTTTGCCGATAAGGCCAATGATTTCGCATTGACCCTGAACACGCTCTCCCTCGCCGTCTCCGGACTGGAAGGTGATGTCGAGGATCAACTGAATCATGCCCAACGTCTGGCCGACAATCTTGGTCCGCTCGAGCAATACCTCGAGGGTATAGCGATCCTCGATGAGAAGTGCCAGGAGGCCAACATTGACGAAAACGATTACACAACATACACGTACGACGAGCTATTATACGAGCTCAGCCTTGTCAAGGCAAGCGTGCAGAAGAAATTGACATTCCTCGAGAATCAAATGGTTGCTCGTAACATGACCAACCTGACACCAATTCAGCTCGAGGAATTCGAATCTGTGTTTCGCCACTTTGACCGTGACGGCACCAACGCACTCACGGAGCTCGAATTCAGCGCCGCGCTGGCCAGTCTGGGACTGGTGTACGACGAGCACGAAATGCACGACAAGTTCGTGGAAGTCTGCCACAGCGGCATCGATCCCACCATGTCACCCGTCTCGCGTCGGCAACGAGAGTCCCGTGGCGTGGGCTTCGAGCAGTTCATCCGGTTTATGGTGTCCGTGACGGAAGATCAGAACAGCTCAGAACAAGTCTTCCAGTCGTTCCGCGAGGTGGCGGATGGGAAGCCCTACGTCACGGAGATGGATCTGCGGCATTCACTCATTCCCGACGATTTGATTGAAGATCTATTGAGCAGTATGCCCGAGCATACCGGGCCGGATCTGGAGGCCGACAGGAACGTGCCCAAGTATGATTATATTACCTTCATGCAGGGCATGATGGGGGATGGGCAGCACAGAGACCAGCCGGATCGAGGTCGCGCGAATGGCGTCGCAACGCCCACAACGCCCAGGAGGTGAATGTTTGTCGCTCCTTTGATCGGCGGGGATTGGGTTTTGTAGGTACTCCTTTCGGGCCTGGGCCGGTCTGATTCTCTCTTTGGCGCCGGGCGTGTTGGATAGATGCAAGCCCGAGCGATCCTCCTGGGTCAGAATCAGAGTCAGAGTCAGGGAGTTTGGACATTCTGAGCGGGAACGGGAGGGCGCTGAGAATGAAGATAGCACAGCCTACCTCTCTTCTTGTGACGACCACACACGCAGAGACTCATACGTACGTACATTAATCGACCATATCATCAGCTCCTCCTCGAGACCATGGCCCTCATTAGGTTACCGAGATATCGCGGGTCCCGCAAAAGCCAGTAACAACAGCAATGTTGCATATGCGTGTCTATACCGTCCCGAGGGGCGTGCCCCGCAACGAAGCCGTTAATTATTGTTTATTTACTTCGTACTCCGTATGGAGCAAAATACTGGGTACAGACACGTGCATTGAGTTTGGGGACGCTGTACCACGCGCTCCGCTGCCCGTGGCTTCTTACTGTAGGTTCAGAAATTGCCCGATCCAATCGGAACCTCGCTCCTCTGTAGGTACGGAACATGGCAGTCATTCAATTGTTTTGCCCGTTAACTGTCATCCACCCATCAGCCGACTAAGCATAGCTTCCCTAATTACCTAGCTACGCCATTTACGAAGTGCTACAGTACGATGTATGGTCAGACGGATTGGATGGTCTTCTCGCGCCCAAGTACAGTAGGGATTTGCCCATGCTTCCAAGTCTGGTGAGACGCATACCCGGGAGAGATATCGCGTCTCGCTTTCCTCGATGCGATCATATATCGAATATTTTCTCACCGCGGCATTATACCCTTAGAGGCACGTGGAGTGCCCTAGGTAAAGAAGGGATATGTGCATGCATGAGTGGATGAATGGATGAATAAAGAAATAAATATATAGCCTGCCTGCCTGCCAGCCTGCCTCCCACGAAAGTGTATTAATGTCCGCTCCGCCTGGACTACTATGCCCTACTGTATTCTACGGCGCCCGTGTATGTCTTTGGTTTCCCTCTCCTCACTTCACTTCCCTCCCTGCCTCGCTCAAGCATAGATAGACACGTGCTCCGTTGACCTGGAACCAGTCTACCAGTCATGTCTTTGCTTTTCGCCAAACATCTCGGCCAATCTACCTAATAAGATCTTTGCTTGCCGCCACATCTAGATCCGATTTACCTACCAACCTAGCTACCTACCTACCTAGCTACCTAGATCTTCGATTGTCCCGCCACGCGCTCCCGCTTGGCCAGTTCCCTCAACTCGCGTCGGAGAATCTTCCCGCTTGGGCTTTTGGGAATAGCGTCCAGATAAATCACCCCACCTCGCAGCTGTTTGTGCTGGGCCAGGTTCTGACTGACAAAGGCTTTGATCTCCTGTTCCGACATCTTGGACTTGTCCGCCACGACGTACGCGCGGGGTAATTCGTTGCCGCTGCCCGACGGGTCGGGGACGCCAATGACCGCCGCGTCAAGGATGAGCTTGTGCGAGAGGAGAAGGGCTTCCAGCTCTGCAGGCGCGACTTGGAGACCCTTGTACTTGATCAATTCCTGTGGCGTGTCAGTTAAAGGTGAGAGTCCCGCGCGTGCGAGCTGAAATACCTTCTTGCGGTCCACCACGTAGAATTTACCATGTTTGCAGAGACCCACGTCGCCCGTCTTGAACCATGCTCCGTCCTTGGTAAACGCTTCTTTGGTCGCGGCTTCGTTGTCCCAGTAGCCTGTCGTGACCATGGGTCCTTGGACGATGAATTCTCCTTCCTGACCTTCTTCGACGTCGTTTTCCTCGTCGTCCACGATTCGCATCCGCACGTTGGGCAGTAGAGGCGATACACTACCCGTTTCATCCTTCTGGTCCCACGGCATGGCTGTCACGCTGCCCGTCGTCTCTGAAAGACCCCACGTTTGCGAGATCTGACATCCCAACTTCTTCTCCGCCATGGCCTGTAATTCCGCGCCCATGGGCGCCGCGCCGGTGATGGCGTGCACAAGACTTGCAAATTGGTCGGTGACGAGCGGACTTTTCGCAATGAGCAGATATATCGGTGGCACCGTGAAGAAGGTAGTGATCTTATAGCGTCTGTTGTATTCGAGGAAGAGCGGGAAGTCGAATTTCGGCATCCAATATACGGGGCCGCCAGCGATGGACGGGTTGACAAAGTAGCCCTGACACCCGGCAATGTGGGCTGCGGGGAGGTGTGCCAATGTGCGGTACTCGAAACTATAGGCTGGATCGAGACGACGCTGGTGCGCGAAGTATTGACGTATCTGGTATTGCGGAATCAAGCCTTCCGAGACGAGATTTGCGTGCGTGATGTTGACTCCTGGATATTGCTGTCAGCTCGGCTCATGCAACAGATAAGGTTGGGGAAATCACCTTTTGGAACGCCCGTCGTTCCGCTGCTATACAGTAAGCAAATAACTCGTTCCTTCAACGTCTGCTTGTGCGTGATCCTTTCCCAGTCCAACAAGTCACCTTTCCTGACCCATTCCTCTTCTCCACCGTCCAGCCAGTTCCGGCCCTTGTTTTCTACATCCCCGAGTGCCCTCTTCCCACCCATACTCTCTAACACCAAAACTCTGCTCAACGGCACGCCACAATCCTTCGCAGCCTTGACTGCTACATCCCTGCAGTCCTCACTGCACACTATACAGGAACTTCGTCCCTGCTTGATCTGGCGGGCCAACTCTCCTGCTGTGAAAGATGAACTCGCAGCGGAGTATACTCCTCCGGCGGCGATCACCCCGTAGAAGACGTTACTCAGCAGTACCTGCCCGGAAGAGATGCAGACAACGACGTCTTTGCCCGGCCCATTGGCGCCGATGGAGAAGACGTGCCTGAATACCCATGCTAGTCGTCTCGTATAGATACGAGCTTGGGCCTTCGTGACGGCATTGGAAGGGAGCGCGGCTTCAGCATGAAGAACAGTGCTTTCCTGGGTCCAGGATTCAGGCGACTCGTATATCAAGGTCAAGATGTCGATGTCTGGGAGCTCATAGTCCTTTGTAGGGAGGTAGATTGTCTTGCGTGGAGGCATCCCGGCAGTTTGCGGCAGTTTGGGTGGATGAAATCGCGAGAATAGCGGCTTCTCGGCGGCGCGACAAAGCAAAGAAACTCTTTTCGCGGCAGAAGGGGTATTTGAATCCCGGGTCTGCCATGGCTTGTGTATCCTGAAGAGGAGGCGGATCGCCTCAATCTCTGCCGTATCAACAGAAGCCGAGGCGGAATTCGGTTAAATTCGTTGACTTCTGATTGGTGGCTGGGAGACCGACTGTCCACGGAGACGCGTGATTGGAGAAGCGTGGATGTTGTACCTGACTTGCTGCTGTATATGATCAACGTTAAGGCACCAGCTATTCGTCGAAAGGTCTACTGGTTGTAATGAGACGAAGCCAGTAGCATGTCATGTCGGCAATTGACGCCTATGCACCCATCCCTCATGCTGTGGAGCCAAGCACTTCCTGGTATTCCCACAACACAGTATAGGGGATGAGCTGGATCTGCAACAGGGCTCCAGAAGGATACATTCTCGTCAGTCGTGTTGCGGCATGGGCGACATTGATTGTTCCGCCAGCATCCCAGTCCTCTGTGCTAAGTGCCGTCCCAAAGATGGACTGCCTTTTCGCTGCTACAAGTGAAGACAACGCTTGAGTCGTCAACGTTATCTTTTTCACCTGCTCTTGTGTCTCTTGGATCGTTGGGTTTCGTGAGGTAATGCCAATACTACCAGGGCCTGGAGCAGTATTTATCCTTGAGGATGCTGGATCCAGAGTGTTGAAAGACGTGAATGTCAAAAATGACGTCTCTAGAGTGTCAGTGTGTACAGTTTCCTCGGTGTGACTCGCACTCCAGAAGAGGACTTTGACAGTAATGGTGAAGCGCGTAATTTCCGTCTCCTCTCGGTCAGAGTGAGCATAAGACATGAGAAGACCAGACTCTGCGCCTGTCACAAATCCACCTAGGAAGTAGTCACCGAATCTCGCCTGGAACGCGGCTTCTCCTTGCTCACGGAGAACTCGTTTGGCCACTTCTGACAGTAGCGGTGCGTTCAAGTACCGTATAGCTGAGTCGTAGCATACGGCATGCTGGCTATGCTTCAAGCCCTGATCCAGTAGGTCAGATTAGTGCAAAGAAGGTCCCTCCGAGCAGTGAACGTACGTCTGTGTTCGTAGTGACATACTTGTCATACGAGACGGATACAGATCCTCCAAAGACCACGCAGTCAACTCCTACCCCGACTGACGCAGAAAGGTGCTCGTAAGAGGACGAAGAGGAGGTGCTGGTCACGTCTGAGAAGCTGTTCCGCCCTAAAGGTGTGACCACAAGTTCGTAGCTATTCTCAAGCTGGAAGGGCGACTCCGCCTGGAATGGCCCGAGATCTGGTGCAGTCGCTAGTTTCGAGTCGAAGCCAGAGAAGAGTCCAATCTCAAGCACCCTCGTCTCGAAGGCTTTGGGTCCGAATGGTTTACTCGGAAGTTGCAAGGCTCTTAGATCAGGTGCCGGGACATTGAAAGGAGCTTTTGCTGCGGCGTGTTTGCGAATCGAAAGGAGTCGAATATCCGAGTCGTCGTCGCTGTCCATTGACGCTTCCGGTTCGTTAGAGTTGGCCTGGTGAGAAACTGTATGTCCAGAGCAATATCCTCGGCGGAGTCACAGATCTCTCAGTCAGTCGTACGCAATCGCTGCAAGGCCGCAACTGCTGCTATTAGAACCTGCAGTACATATAGGACACCAGATGTTCACAGATTGGCTTGGATCTCGGAGCTGTGTTTCTGGTATCAAGTCATCGCACAGGATCAATCGAAGGGATGGACTGCTCAGAGTCGGGAACAACATGGCTTTGGGAGGAGTTGAAAATGGAAACTCCTGCAGCTTTCCGTTCACACCACCATGTTTGAAGTGGAGAGGCTTTGACAACCGAGTTGGACGGCGCCTTCAGCTCTGCCAGCCACCCAGCGTACTGACACGCCGCCAACACGAGAGAGCATTTCCGGCGATGACGCAGGAGATGGCTAGACTTGCCTGGGCTTCAGCACATGCACATCTCAGGCCGAAAGGGGCAACCGTTCCTCCATTGTTCACTATGAAGCGATAGGTGCGCGTGAGGGAGGAAATGAAACTGTTCAGCTCAGCAGCTGCGCAGCCAGCCACAAATCGACTCGGCTCGCTTAACCTTCCCATTTACCCGTCTCCTCACTTTTCACTCACCCTTCCTCCCTCCCACTGCATCTGGCAACCGCTGGGTTCGATCCGAAAGTTGCATTGTCCGTGAGATGGAGAGAAATACAGTGCGTGTCGCCAGCCCCGACCCTCTGGCGGCTGGCTGAGGTGACCAACGTGCGACAGCCATGCGCAGGTGGACTCCTATTATCAATGTAGGCTGAGAGCTGAAGGTCGAGCTGTCCACAGGAGGCTGCCTTGCTCCTCCTTCGACCAGGTAAGGGTCAAGGACGGTGAGTCGAAATGGGACTGGAACTATAAGGTCTGCTGCGTCCGCCTCCTCTATACAAGTGTCTGGAACCGTTTTCTCCACAGTTCGTTGTTTTGACTCACTACGCTGAACCACCCCCAGCATGCCTTTGATACTCGTGCCTTTCGACCAGTCAATGCGACTTGGCCAGGTGAGATTGCTCTCGGAATACCTCTCCTACGGTCTGGCAGCTCACATGTCCAGGGCTATAATACCTACCTCCAACAAGTGTGCATGGAGAATGTCGTATCATTCAAGGATTCCACCGAGCTCAAACTCACTGCTCCTCAGCCCTTGGTCGGGACTCGATTGCTACGTGATACCTCTACTGGCGGTTCAGCAACACCACCACCTACTGGTCCCGACAACGTTGCCAAACCAGATGGCCAAGTCCTCAAAGCGGCAGACCCCTCCACAGATGCTGCAGTATCTGAGGACATTCCGGACATCAAGAATATCAAAGAGCACGTCAAGCTCCATCCAATCACACCCGACGACACCATCCCACAGGTCGTAGATTACAAGACGACCGTGACCAACAAAGTCTCCGATGCACTGGAGAACCTCAACATCTCGGCCGCGGCCTCGGTGAAGTTGGGAACAGTGACGGCAAGTGGGAGTGGCGCCTTTGTGCAAGAGGACAAGGTCAAGCAAAGCGATTTAACCTATATCTTGACCGTCAAAGTCATGAACGACCTCGTGCAGCCTGATACCTCTGCCATGACGTTCAACAAGGTCGAGTCTGTCTATAGCAGCAAAGAGCAGTTCATCAATGCCTATGGAGACGGGTTCATCTCCGGCTGGGTCAAGGGAGGAGAGTTCAATGCCATCGTAAGCATGGTCACCAAAGATACGGACAGCGCCCAGCACATCAAAGCCCAACTCAGCATTTCGATGAGCGCATTCCAGGGTGAAGGGAATGGCGGCTTCGACAAGACAAGCAGTGAATCGCTCAGCGAGGTCAACTATGCCGTCAATTGGAGAGGAGGTGGCCAGGTCAAAGATCCTCAGCAACCGTGGAACATGGCCAGCCTGTTCCAGGCAGCCACGGAATTTCCGGCGCGGGTTTCAGTGCATCCAGAATATTGCTACGCCATCATCACAAAGTGGGACCATCTGAAGGACTTCCACAAGTCTGCCCCGGCCTGGTGGTCCTCGAGTCTGCTCGATTACGACATGGCCTCGACCTACACGAATGACCTGCTCGATCAATTCCTGGAGTACAAAACTCTGCTCAAGCAGCTCAACGACATTGCCCGTGGCATGCCGGACTACCAGGTGGCTGCCTCGCCGAAGGCTATTCCCGTGGAGATCGAAGCCCTCCTCCAGACAAAGAAGCAGATCAAGAAACAAATGGCGCTCATCACCCAGGAGGTCGATTATGTGACCTTTGATCCACACCGCGCGATTGATGCCTCGCTGGGCCTTGCCGAGGAGGACCGAAATCCCCAAGCCGCTTCAGGTCCCCCGTCTTCGAAGTCTTCGGACTCAGCGGTCGTCGTCGTCAAGTCTGGAACAGACGAAGTGTCGTCTAGAACCGCAGCGCCTCCCACTGAAAAGCCGCCTCCGCCACTTCCGAACATCATCGATCCTCAGTTGTTTGCATTTCGGCTGCCGGTTCGCAAGACCGATCCCAATGCCGGTGTAAACCAAGGCACAAAGCCGATGATCATGGCCGGAAATCCAAAGGCCTATCGCACAGCCGCGGGGCTGGCTGAAATATTCGCCGTGGCAGGGGATGGTCACCTCTACCGCAAGTGGATCAACGAGCCACAGCAGGGTCCAGCAAGCAGGTCGGCGCCCGGAAGTTGGGAGCTCTTCACGCCCAACGATAGCATTGTGCTTGCCACCGACCGCGAGATCGCCGCCATCTACAGAGGCAACGGGACGGTAGACATCCGCGACATCTTTGCACTGGGCGCGGATCGCAAGCTCTGGCGGAAAACCTACACCAACGGAGCGTGGCAATCTTGGAAAACGGTCAACGACACCATCTATGATTCCGGTCCTTCCGTCGTCAGCACGGGCCTCGGCCGAGTCGACGTCGCAATCCGTACCTCCGAGGCCCACATCAACTGGCTCAAATGGGATGGAGACGCGTCGACACCCACAGTCGTGAGCTTCGGCTCGTATTGCCTTGGCCAGCCGTGTCTGATCAACCTGGTGCAGAACGGCGGGCCCAGTCGGCTGTTCTGCCTGACCGACGGCGCCGACCTGGGGACCTTGTACAGGTTCACCCTCCAGGACGGGCAGGACCCGGGGGCAGGGGAAAGGATGGAGGAGTCCGCTCGCCCCGATATGCCAATGACAGCAGCGAGTCTGCCTTGGGCCAACGACACGGCAGTCCACCTCTGGACCGGTAACGGCGAGTCAGGGACCTGGATTGCCCAACACGTCTGGGACCAGCCATATTCCAAGTCTCGGTCGACTCGTATCCAACTCGAGAGCAGGTGGATGTTTTCGGCGCCTGCCGTGACGGTCACGGACGACAGGTGCTTCGTTTTCGCCGTCAGAGGCCCCGACGTGCCGAGCGGGACGGACGGCGACTTGAAGGGCAGAGTTGTCTGCCACACGGCCGACAAGCGCTTGGCCGCCGAACAGTTCGGAGCCAACAACGCGAATGCCACCAAAGTCATCTCGCAGCAGGTTTTCAATACTCCGTGCGCTATTGCGTATGGAGCCCAGGCCGATGTCTTTGCTTGTGGTCCAAATGGGAATCTGTGGAGAAGCCACTTTGACGGCGCCAGTTGGACCAGTCTGGACGAGGTTGTCTAGGGTCTTCCAAACCGCTTTGTTGCGGCAGTCTCATTACGCGTGGTGTGTCACATCTGGCGGAACTCTATCAGAGATCGTTGCTTGTGTCCCATATCGAACTTTTCCGAATCTGTTTCGTCTGCCACTGTGTTGTTTGCTTCCCCAGATTGTCGCGCAGTGGTTGACACTTTGAAGAACGGGATTGCATTCATCGAAATTGGTACATTAATTTACAATATATTAATAATGTGTCCAGGCCTCGCTGCCCAGAACACGATATAGCTCTTCCACGCGCAGGGTATGCCCGCGACAGATGCTCACGGCTGGCAAGACCCGTGGCGAGTGTAGTCCCGTTACCTTTGGTCACAGTAGGGCGAAGCGTGTTTACGCGAGACGTTGGTGCTGCTGGCCAAGAGCAGTACGCACTCACGTATGGCTTCACTGCCTGTAGCTGTTCGTATTCTCTCGCAGCCGCTCGTACGGCTGTTTAGATCTTCCAAACCTTGACGTGATGCGGGTTCTTTGCCAGCGCGTGCGCCACGATCCTGCTGACAGCGCCTTGCTCTTCCCGCCCGTTCCTCCACTCCTTTGGACCTGCTAGGTGTGCAATAAACCCCGGAGGTCCCGAGATCAAGATTTGACGCTGTTCATCAGACGTCGGCGTGCCTGCGGAGAAGTCCTTGTCATCGAACCGGGACAGTGCGCGAAAGACGGCGTCTTCGTCTATCCACGTGTCCTCCGCGTTGACAAAGTATTCCACGGTCACCTGACCGGGATATCTCTGCTTGAGGACTTCAAGTTCCCGCACAATTGGACCCTTTTCTGCCGATTGCGGAGGTGTTGGTTTCGGCTTTGGCGTCGAGAAGAAGCCCGACCAGGTCGATTTGGGAGGCAAAGACTCCGCTGGCGGGTCGTCGCTGACACCGCCCAGACAGTCCTGCCGCATTCTATTCGCCCAGAGGATATGCAGCTTGCGGTCCTTGCGTGCCGCATCCTCCTGTCCTACCGCCTTGTTTCCTTCGAACAGAGCATGCGCGACCTGTAAAGCTGGGGCGATCCCCGTCCCTCCCGCGAAGAAGACAACTTGTCGGACATCCTTGGTAATCTCATACTCGAGGTACGGGCCCCTCATCTCGATCTCCGCGGTGAACGGCAGTCTGTGCAGCCAAGAGGAGACCTCGCCGTGCGGGTCGTGTCGGATGAGGAACCGTAAATCTCCCGTCTCTTGTCCGGTCTTCTCATCCACAGGCGGCAACGGCGTGTATGCCCTCACGATCTGCAGCTGTGGCTGTTTGAACTGGACGTTCCAGATGCCCCTCCTCCATGCTTCCTTGTAAAGCTCGTGGTTCTCTGATTGGTGCTTCGGTTGGAGGTGGAAGATGCTTGCGGTCGAGGAGACGGGCTCCTTGCCGGTTAAGGTATATGTGACGAAGGAGTCATCCCCGCGGCGCTTGAAATACTCGTTCAAGGTGACGCCAGAGACAATGCCGAGGAGGAACCAGCGATTGAGCAGCCAGTCGGTGAGCAGCTTCGAACTGGAGCGTCGTGCATTGGGCAGTTTTCGGGTACGCTCAGGGAGAGATGATGAGTTGAAGCGTGGACAAGGGAGCGACGGCTGCGGCGGGCACGTTGCGTTAGGCAAACACTTTGACGTCCCTCGCGAACATCGCGCAAACATTGAAGAGCGTGTCAATAGCCAATCCTGCGTAAGATGGTGAAGGGGCTGACAGTGAGGTCAGTCCGTGCGGCGACTGCAAGAATGTTGCCGCTTCGGAGGATGGGGCTCGAACTAGCACTAATTAGGCAGAACATTCATGCCGCCTTGAAGCAGAATGTACGGGTCCTGCGTTCTCACTGCAATGAGCTTTCAGGCTTTTGAACTCTTCCTATCGGGATATATCTGCCTACGATGCTAGACTTGGATTCAGCGCGTAGAAGCGCGGTGTCCAGTCCTTTGAATTACCGCCCAGAGCAGTCAAGTCTGCAAGCATCGAGACCTCCTACTTGCGAGATGCAAGAATCCATTCATCCCACACCCGGACTCATTGCGTCTTACAATGCCAGCATTGGTAATCGATCCCGGTATGTTTGAGATACGTGAGCTCTTCTGCCACGAGGCGAAAAGAACATCTCGCAATATCCGTGACTTGTTTCGGTGGAGAAATCGAGCCGGACATGGTGGCATGAAAAGAGAACAACCCCGAGATTTGCACACATTTCGCCAGTCATGACCATAACCACCGCAACCTTGCGAACGACTCAGAGTAACTAGAAACCAAACGACCAAGGATGCGGATCGACAACTGTGGTAAGGAATGAGCTTCAATACAGTAAATCCTATTTTGTAATGGCAAGGCTTGATTTGTCCGTCGAAGCACACAACAGCGAAGTGAGAAACACAATCCGAAAAAAAGACTTTTGAAATCACGATCCAAGCTGAATCGACCGCTGTCTCATCCACTCCCCTGCTGTGAGCGTCTTGCCGCCCTCGGGTTCAAACTTCCCCGCGACTTTCAAATGGGCTGCCAAGTTGGTAAACTCCGGAAGCGGTTCCATCATGACTGAATCGTGCGGCCTCACAAAGTACACGACGCTGTACCGATCCACGCTGGCCTGCTCACCCGGCGCTGGAATGACGCGGTGTTTGCCTGATTTGAGCAGCCCGTTCGTGAAGGTGACCATGGCGTCTCCGAGGTTGATAATGGCGTGTCCGGGCATGGGCTTGACGTACTCCCACTCGCGGTTCTTGGCTGGATCATGAGACTGGATCTGAAGCCCGCCCAGCCAATTGAACAGCATCGTTATGGACCCAAAGTCGGTGTGCGAGGGTAAACCGATGGCAGACTTGTCGGAGTAATGGGCAAATTTGTGCGTTAGGCGGCAGTGATCGCCCGAGGGCTCACTGAAGAGATTTTTGTTCGCAAAGGCGTCGGGCGCAAGGTTAAGCTGCTTCGCCAGTGTGGTCAGGACAAGCATGCAGGTTTCGTGCGCGTTGCGGGTGAACTGTTTGAAGAGATCTCTGTTGTCTGTGATCGTCGAGGGATAGGTCCGGCTTTCAGTGATGCCATGCATGTGGTCTTTGGACACGTTGAAGAACTCGGTCGTGTCGGGGCGCTTTTCTGGGTCGGTCAATTTGACGGTGCCATTTTCCTTGTATCCGAAGAGGCTGACGCCTTTGACGAGGGCGAACTTGCGCTTTTCTTCGACGGGACAGTCAAAGGCGCGATAGGCGAGCTCTAGGAGGTCTTCGCTCTCTCCCAACAGGGTCTGGCCGTCGTCGGTGTCGGTGAGGTCGAGGTAAAAGAAGCCATGAGTTCTGCAAGCCTCTAAGACCTTCTCCGCCTCCGCTGGATCGTTCTGGAGGAGTTTATTGTGCGAGATGCGGGCGATGGGAGCCAACGGCAATCCTTCTGGGAAGGCCGGCAGGTCATCATGGGACATGGGCGCGATCATCTTGGCGAGATGATTGATGAAAACAAACAAATTGGGATGAGGACCATGACGACGGTCGGTAGGTATGGAAGGTATTTAAGATGGGGTAATGCGGGGTCGGTCGGTTGGTGACTAGACGTCTTATTCTGTGGGCCAAGCTTACCTAAGAGCGCCCTGTCGTAGCGCCCACCCAACATGTAAGCAGGTGATGCTCTTCCCACATCAGGGTAAGCGGAAGGGACTATTCTGTAGTTGAGCTAAGGTGACAAGACTTCCTGTAAATTGCGGAAATGCCGGCAAGTCTGCCTCTAACTCCTCTACCTCTTGTCGACGACGCGCTAGCAAAGTACCTCTGCACAGAGCACGGTGGCTGGGGGACCGTGATATTGTCGCAGTCCACTCTCCAAACTCGGTCTGCCAAAATCACTACGCCATGCTGCTCATGTTGGCCGTTGTGATTCGGTACCTTGATGTGTGATTCTTGCTGAATGGGACTTTAGCTATTCTGCGTTGACACTGATGCATTGCTTGGATATTGTAGAGCTGCCTGCATCGCTGTCCATTGTGCGGGATATTAATCATTCAATCCAGCCACTGTGAATCACGGCGCAAGTGACAGTCCGGACAGCCACAGTTGTGACAGCAACCTAAATGAATCCGTCATACACTCATGTGTATCGAGAGAACACAATCAGAAAAGGCGGTACTCCGTACCATCGGTGGGGAATAATGGAGTGGAGCATGTACTCCGTACTGTCCACAACTTAAGAAGGTGTGCCGAGGGGACCCCACATTCACGCTTGGCACAAATAAGCTTCGCTAAGGCCCGAGTCGGCTCTTTAGTTTACTGGTCTCAAGCCCCCCAACGTCGCTATTTACTGGGCACGTCGCGTGGGTGGTCGTGGCACCGAACCCAGGTAGCTTTGTTGAGAAAGCTCTAGCCTCGGACGCATGAGAATTTTTCGTTCTCAGCCGCGGCGAACGGTCGCGTTATGGGGATGAAGAGCGTCTATCAGAGGCAGCTGCCTCCGCCAGTGGCTGGCTGGAGATGACCAGATCGAGCTCGTGGTCTCCAATCGCTCAACCCACAGCGATCTGCGTGGAGGGGGGACAAAGTCGAGCTGGGGTGCGTGCAGCTACGTAATGTCCTACGCAGGCGGCTGAAAGCTCAATCGATAAAAGCTGTTTCGGGCATCCTTCTCTGCTTCACCTGCCAATGTGACCCACGACTGTCTTTGCGGCTCAAGCAGCTTTTGCGAAGCAAGTACTGTGATTCAGCCTTCACGCACAACAACACCAAGCACGATGACTATTCTACTTCGACAGATACTCGCACTCGCATTATACATAGTCCTGTTGATCAATGTCAGCGGCGCACAGCAACCCAGCTCTCCGCCATGGTCGACGCTTTCGTTCAAGTCAGCCCCAACCATCTCGCCCTTATCCCTTGAGATCAACAAAACCGGGCAGACAGCTCCCGGCTACCTGTTTTTGAATCCGACGGGCTTCGCACATATCAATTCCACTGCACCCGTCGTTTTCACCGATGACAACGAGCTTGTGTGGTTCGGACCCCGTGGCCAGGCGTTCAACTTCGGCCCATACGAATATCAAGGCAAGACTGTCCTAGCTTATTGGAATGGCTCGGTGTTTCCTGAGCCAGTTGGTCGCGGCTATGGTTCGATCGTTCTTCTCGATTCCTCTTACGAGACTCTTGCTACAGTCAGTCTTCCGGGACGCTTCTTGACACTCAACGCCTCTCAGACCTTCCCCGGTAATATCGACCTTCACGAAATCAACATCACGCCGCAAGATACCATCCTCGTCACGGCAAACAATGTCACTCAGCATGACTTGTCTTCTGTTGGCGGGCCCAATCCCGGCTGGACAGTCGATTCCATCATCTATGAAATCGACATTGCCAGCAACGAGATCATCTTCGAATGGCATGCGCTCGATCATCTGGACAGGCTTCCATTTTCTACATCCCAGCTGCCACGGGGAAGTGAGGGATACAACGGTACAACTCAAGCGACCGCCTGGAACTATTTCCACATCAATGCCGTCAGCCAACTGAACGGCGAGGAAGGGTACATCATCAGCTCGCGCTACCTCTGCTCCGAGATTGCGGTCGAGAAGAGGTCCGGCAACGTCCTCTGGGTCCTCTCGGGCATTGATGGCGGCGACTTCCAACTAGCCGCGAATGCGACGTTCTGCTACCAACATGACGTCCGACAAAGACAGAGTCACCGCCACGGACGCAACCGCGAGATCGTCATCATCTCGCTCTTCGACAATGCAAACTCTCCGTTGACGCTGCCCAATCCGACCGCCCCCAGCTCGGGCCTCATCCTCAGCCTGGATGTCGAAGCAAAGACCGCCATTGCTGTGGCTCGATACGAGAACCCCAACCTGCCAATCTACGCAACTGCGCAAGGCAACCTGCAGTTCCTACCCGGTGGCCACAAAATGGTCGGCTACGGTTTCGCGCCGTTAATGCAGGAATTCAACCAGCAGGGCGAATCCGTCATGACCGCGCAATTTGGTCCCATGGCCAACGGCATGCCCACCCCAACGGGCGGCGTCCTCGGGTACCGCGACTTCCGCGGCCACTGGACCGGCTGTCCCCAAACACCCCCAGACGTCTACGCGGAGCGAGAAGGAAATAGTGGCGTCAGAGCGTACATGTCATGGAACGGCAACACGGAGTACAAGTCGTGGACCGTCTTCGCGGGCAGTCCGCCCTCGGGCCTCCGAGCCATGAGCACAGTCGAGAGGAGCGGCTTCGAGACGAGCTTCCTCATCCCTCAGAACGTGTCGTACGTTCAAGTGCAGGCCCAGGCCCAGGCCCAGGGAACGGCTGCATGCAAGTATACGAGGGCGCAGACTCTATCCAGAGTCGTCACTGTGTCGTAGACATCTAATAGTCTACGAGAAGAAGAAGAGGGAGTAAATGTCTCATACAATCATACGATAGCTTACAGGCATAATTCTCTCTCCGACCCTACCTATGTAGGGAATTCGTTACAGTAACAGCTCAGCAGGGCACCGTCTGCTTCAAACAACGTGATAATGCCAAAGGTGATGCATACACTTCTACGGCTCAATGACGTTCCACGCCTGCGCGATTGAGCGGCCGGCTGGTGGAGAGACTCAGGGCAGAGTAGGAAATGTGCGGCGATGCGCCGACCGGGAAGTTGGTTTCGAGTCGCTGGGAGGCGGTCCGTAGCCGTCTATATAAGCCACCACATTGCGTTCTCAGGATAGGAAATGCATTGACTGGTTGGCATGACTAGCTAGCTGGCAAGAACATGCTCGATTTCGCACTGAATCACTCAACTTCACGAGGTACATGAGATTTCCACCTGAAGATCATTTTGGCCAACGTGCACCGGCAGTGGACAAGCGGACTCCCCCATTCACCCGGGTGCCATTTCACCCTGCCTAGAGTACAATCCCGCTGACCACCTTTTTCGGAGGCTCATTTTCGCCAAGTATTCTCCTCGAAAAGGATCGAAACAGGACTGGGAGAAGGCAGAGAATGACCGGTCTGGCGCGTTTGTTCCCTTCGCTATCTTCCTCTTCCACCATCTGACTTGCAACGTATTCATCCCCGAGGCTAGGAAAGCTGATATCATATCTCTCAAACATCGTCTGATCTCTCTCGGCGCGCCACTGGAGAGCCGTCTCAAAAACATTGCGTAGATCTTCCCTGAAATTGATGCGATCCACTGATTCTTCAAGAAGCGTGAACCCACGGACGGGGGTGTCGGGATGGATCGGGTCAGTCCTCGGGCAAGACTTGACGTCGCAAACAGCGTGCAAGGGATATGGAGTATTCTGACGAGGCATTATTAGGTCAATAAATCCTTGGAATGTGGTCGCCATGTCTTTTGCCTTTGATGGTATATGTGGTTTGATCTCTCTCTCGATGTAGGTCTCCAGAAACTGTTGTCGAAGTCTTGCTTCCACCACGGGCTCGACGCCTAGAAAGGTTAACCCATTTACGATATGACCCGAGGGTACTGATGAACTCACAACTCGCAAGCACCTGCTGGATCACTCCTCCGCCGTAGCTCTTGTAGATTCTGGCCTCTTCCACGTGAGGACGAAGACACCATTCTGTTGTTGCAGCAATGAGCAGTGGCCAGATGAAGAAGGAATAGGTGATGGCTCTGTTGTCTCTGAGGGACTGAAATGTTTCGCGCCGGAATTCAACCCGTACCATACCGCCGCTGAGCATCAGGCTCACCAGATGATTCAGCTTTCGCGGATAGGCAGATTCTGGTGCCAGTACGATTGGGTGGAGACTGTCGAGGCCCCAGCTTCGAACATAAGCTTCGACTGTTTGCTCAACTTGCTTGTACATTTTCATCCATTGGGTTTCGAGCTTCATCACCTCCTTCCGTCTGTTTATCTGGTCTGAAATGCCGTTCCCTACCAAGCGTTTGAATTTCGGAAGCTTGGCAAGCTCAAGATCAGACAGCATGGCATCTTGCCGAGTCCTACGCTCAAGTCCGCTCAAAGGAGGCGGAATGCTGGCTGAAAGGTGAGGGGGCTGATTGCTTTGAATGTATTCTGCGCCATTGTTGCTTTCAACGGGGCTCGTGGATGGAGGGATCGTTTGACCTGACTGCTGGCCACCTTCTGGACGCAGACGTTTCGGTGTTGAGTCCTCGGCTGAGCTTTCGAAGGTGGCATTTTCGGGATCCTGCCCGTCGCGACGTTTGAGTTTGTTGCTGGTCCGGCCAACGCTCGTTGCGGCTAATCCTGCGGAGGCTTTTCGAGCTTGATACTCTTCGGTTGTGTAGAAGTCACGATATCTAGTTTCCAAGCGATTCCAGTCCAGTGCCGCGCTACCCTTGGTGTAGATGATGGTCTTGGCGAAAGGTGTCTCTGCATAGAGTGGCGACCGCAAGTTGTTCCACAAGTATCTGAGTCTGAGTTGGACGTGCTGTCTCTTCTCTTCCTCTGTCGGGTAGTCTTGGATACCCGCATGTTCACACCTTCAGAGACGAGCCTGATGGAAATGAGGGTCGAATGGCACAACCACGAATGCTGGATGAATGCTAAGCCGATGATTGGAAATGAAGGCAATTACGGAGCAGTGTGGTCAGTTCGCAGAAGAGCTGAGTACTTGACGCCGATGTTTTGGCTTGGTCCTTCAGCTGATGTACCCGGTACTAATTACGGTGGATTGCCGATACGCATGCCGTGCTTCGTCAGCGCATTCGTCCCATAGTGCAGTGGCTGAGCCACAGTGGAGAAGCCGTCACCTTCCGCATGCAGAAGGATCGCACTTCCTCTTCCAGAAAAGCGGTCTCCTTGCAATGAGGCGGCGGTTTTTTTTTTTCAGAGACAGAAACAATTGAAGAAGTGGAGTTCGGCACACTCTGGTGCCTATCCGAGCAATGGAACTCGGTCCTTGATGTAAATCAAATTGATGGCTATTAAGCAGCCAACCATGGTCCACGGGGCGTTCAGCTGCAGGTGATTCGCCTAGGTCTCCATATCTGCCATTCCCTTGGTCATGTCATAGACTCATAGCCCTAGCATTGTTTGCCCATATGGACCGGCAGACATCAGCTCTGCCTTCCCGTGTCTGTGATTCCGATCATGGATTAGACCTTTCGAACCCCCTGCGTCGACATGGCATACCCGTTCTTCCACCATACCTTCAGCTCGTATACTCACAGACGAAGTACCAGCAGAAGATACCCGTCTCTTGAGTCGCTTAACCGGTATTCGGCGAGTAATCGAGCCTTGCGACATATCACTCTTAGTCCGTCTTCCAGGTCAAAATGGGGAAATTGGATCTGCTGTTCTGTGCGGTGCAAATCGCATCTGTACTGGTGACGTTGAAATCATCGTGGAATCAGGTCCGTCCCCACTCAATTGTAGGGCATCCACTTGTCGGCAGCGATATAACGATCTTTCCAGAGCTCAGTCCACGTCTGCATCAATCCACCTTGGGGCAGGTCAGAAGCGCAGAGTCGGCTCGATCGACAGATACAAGACGGAATCGAGCTATTGTAGGACGCTCAAAACCTCTGGATGTGTTTCCTTCCAGGCCTGACTCAGTGAGACTGTATCGAGAAGAATCAACGAGCTCTTCGTCGTCTAGATCGACGGGTCTGCTGCGGACACGACGCAGTTGCGATAAAAGACTCCGCTTCAGTAGGAGTAGCTCGCGGTTAATAGTGGAAAGTCCCGGCGACTCGGCTTGAGACTGAGGATGAGATGCGTTCCTGGTCCCTGTTGCAGAGCCACCGAAGAGATGAGGTGCGTCTTGTTGCGAGCATCCACCAGACAACATGCATCGAGCTGCAGTCACTCTCGACAATCGTGTGCTCTATCGTTCTGGGAGAGATGAAGTCTATTGACGACCAACCCCGACGACAAGGCGGTTGACGGACAGCCAAGTAGGTGCCAAGTAGGGCTGAGTTTTGGCTATGCATCCTTTGTCATGGGATGCTCGGACTCACTCAAAGTGGTTAGTATTCTGCACCAGCTCTTGGAGTAAAGCTTCAGTGTCCATGTCGGTGTCACCTTCTTTCGACCCAGACGAAAAGACGGTCCGTTCGAGGTCACTCCAGCTTGGAAGCAGGTGTCTTTTCGCCACCCAGTCATCGGCGTAGATGAACGTCTCCATGACATTGTGTATGGCTCCTGGTCCGTTCTTTGAGTCGATCCAACTTCTGACATCTCTCTTGACGTTTTGAATGAATTGCTGGTAGCGGGTGGCAAGCTCGGCAGCAAAACAGTTCTGCCCTCTACCTACCGAGGATCCCACAAGTAGCAGCCACAAGAACAAGTCGCGTCGATAGCGCCAAAGATCCTGTTCGTTCGTCTTTTCAAGGAAGGTAAGGAGCTTCTCCGCCAGGCGTAGAGGCACAAAAGCGCTTTTCCTCGTCGATGAGCTGCTGATGTAGCTGACAATGTAGACGGCAACGCGGCAACATTCTGCTATTGCACCAAACTCTTTGCTGGCTTTTTCGTCGAAGACTAGTCGCGCTTCGACACGGGCTTGTAGGTCTTCGATCATGACGGGGTCGGATGTGCTGGGTCTGGTATGGTCTTGAAGGTAAAGGATGATGCGGACGGACAACAGCACATCGGGGCTGATGACTTCTTCATGCAACTCGAATCCGGGAGGCACTGGCGGCAGTGCGTTGATGGTAGGAAAGTCTTGAGGGCGGTTGAGGAACACTTGGAAATCTGGCTGCAGGAATCTATGCTGGTCACAAACCAATGCAGTACCTAGAAGATGCTGCCTACATCAACGGTTAGTTTGACAAAGCTCGAACAGGTCATAAGATGTGTTACCAGAAGATTGCACGAAGTACCTCAGCTCGTAGGCGGATGCCATCCGTATGACAGTGCTCCAAGAGCTTATACAGGCCTTCGGAGTGTGCTGTTGATTCAGCAAGGTCTCCGCAATGATACTAGGTCCCTGTGAGTCTGTGATATTAAAACTGGCAGGGGGGTTGCATACTGCGACGCATGACAACAGTAGTATGGTACCAATGGTAAGGGCTCGAATGTTAGGATCATCCTTGCGGAGATCTCCTCGGAGGCACTCAATCGCTTTCGTCTTGAGGGCGAGAGACTCGTTCGTTGCAATGCACGAGTTGTGAATATGTAAGATCGAGTAAAGAAAGGCATACAGAAATGCTGAGTGGGACAAGCATTCCGCGGATAATGGGAGTGCCAGTAGGTCGCCATGGGTGACATCGGAAGAGAGCAGAGGTTCGGTTGCTATCCGGAAAGCGCCTAAGATAGTCAGCTGAATATCTCAGTTCTGTGGTCAAGACTTACAACTTCTGAGCAGCTGGTTGATCCGCGCTTCATCGACATCAGTAGCATTCGCTATCCGTGCTGCATGCGGATGGGTTTCGTCGCTCTGGGAAGAATCGACAGGGGACGAATGCTGGCTTGGGCTTTGTGATTGCGGACCTTGCGAGCTCGATCTGCTGCGACTGCACCATTTTGGCAGGAACAGGTTGCACGAAGTCGATAGGCACTGGAACGCTCTTGTAGGGATCTCAGGGCTGTCAGGGGCAAGAGGGCATTTCTGGAGCGGGTCTTCTCCCCATGGAAGGTCTTGAATTTCCGTTTCGAGATGTGTAACACTGAGTTGGATGGATTGTTTCTTCTTGGCACCTTTCGCCTTCCCACTCTCAGAGAAATCGGTGATGGTCAAGGAGCGAAAGTTCTCCAATCGTCGGGTGCTCTTCTGTGTCGATCTCTCCAGATTAACCTTCCGCACGTGTGATCGTAGCGCACGTACTTGGCTAGAGTCCAAAGCTGTTCCGGGTTTCGTCTCCACAAAATGGATTTGTTGAGACATGGCGAGAAGGAGATTGCTGCACGGTAACAAGGGAAGATTAGTTAATCCAAGGAGATAGATATATAAGAGTAGTTCTGGGCCGACTCGTACGGTTGATGATGACCAAAATGGGCAGCCGTCTCTCGAGGTTATCAGCAAGCGCCTTCAAGTATCAAGCAGCCTCACAACAACTGGCTAGGGCAATTTCCTCCAATCTCATAGTTGGAAAGGCATGTAAATACCCCCATAGACATGACTAATGAACCCTAGCGGAAAGGGTTCCAGATCCATAGCTTTGGTAATAATCGATCTTCCATAGTCGGTTATGGCACCTTGCCAATGAGCAGCTGCCCGTAATATGGCATTCGGCCTTCACAACGGGTCTTGTACGGCAGGCACCGTCAATGTGCTTCGTGTACTGAAAGAGACGTCAGGCTGCACGCGTGACAGACTGCATTAGTTCTTTTGCAGAGCCGTGCAGCCAAGCGGAGGGGATTAACACCCGGCCGGTGTATCCGATTGATGTCCCGGAGGCGCCATAAGAAGTTTCGAATCTCCACCTCCAAGTCTGCGCTCTCATCTCTCCTCTACCGTTTTTCAAGTCGTCCATGTGTTCTCCCAGTAGCATGTGCTGGTGGAATTGCCTCTTCGGATACCGACATTGGAAGCTTCTCGCGTATCCATACTCTCTACAGTCAAGCGAGCGCCAGAGAATTGAAAATACTTGACAACAGCCCACGATCTGTGGCTCAATCAGGTGGAGCCACCAGGTGAAGCGGAACGAGGGCCATACGGCGGCGTCGATACCTCACCAGGCCCCGTAAACCAGCAACAGGTGGTGGGAGACGGCCTCATCTCCACGGAGGGTGTACAACGCGAAGCATCGCGATGTCAAGAAGCTGCGAGAACCAACACGATGGCTGACCATACCCCGATACGGTCAGGGTCATCGGCACGAACTTTCCAGGAAGCACGCACCAGCTTAGCTGCATTAGACTGACTTGAGGTAGGGGGGTCGGCGATGATCGTTGCTGCTGAGATAATTCCAGCGTCAAACTGCGCGATTCAGATACGAGGGAATTAGTTAACGTTAAAGCAGCACGACTGCACTAACCAAATAACTGATTAGCGGCTTGGCACCCGTCGCGGTCCAGCCCGACGAGTCTGGCTTCTGCTCGCCGTGTCGCCTCGCTGCCGCTTTCCCTTTGGAGACAGTTCAAACACCCTTACCATCAGACGTCAGGTTCACACGTCGCGCTCGATTCGAATTGCAGAGGTCCCGCATGAGGATGTTGGCGATACGATGATGAATCCCGAGCACTAGCAACGCCGCTCAACTTCGCCGGGCTCGTCTCGAGTCTCGACGAACAACCATGCCTCCTCCCGCATCTGGCTTCGCCGAGATCCAAAGACCACAGCCGGGCAGAGATTCTCTCGAGCTTGCATCCCTCGCAGACTCTGAGCAGGACGATTTGCCTAGCCCCGGACCGTCCTCACCATCGGGCATCTCCTCCTCCCGACGCCTATCACTCGAGAACGAGGATCCCCTCGACAGTGCGAACCCAGCTTCTCAGCGAAGGGGGCTGCATGGACGATCCTACTCTGTCTCTTCTGCGTTCGACTTTACCCCTGCACTGTTTCCACTGTCGTCCACTGCAGGGGGAGGCTACACTGCGCTAGGCAATCCCTCGGCGGTGTCCCTTTCTCTCGAGCGACGGGGAAATTTACAGAATCTGGAAAAGAACAAAACCTTGACATACCTGAATGGTCTATCTTTGGTGGTTGGCTTGATAATCGGGTCCGGGATCTTTTCGTCGCCGGCGCAGGTCAATTCACATGTCGGGTCACCGGGTGCGGCCTTGGTGGTATGGGCGATTTCGGGCTTGCTTGCCTGGACTGGCGCAGCCTCATATGCGGAACTCGGCGGCGCCATACCACTGAACGGGGGTGCACAAATCTACCTTGCCAAGATCTTTGGCGAAGTGGTTGGGTTTCTCTTCACCTGGAGCGCCATTCTGGTATTGAAACCCGGTGGAGCAGCCATCATCGCGATCATTTTTGGCGAATACATTGTCCGGGCAGCAATCGGTGCCGAAGTCGAAGACGTCAACCCATGGATCAACAAGATCCCCGCGTTGGTTGCCCTCATGCTGGTCACGGTGTTTAATTGTGTGTCGACCCGGTTTGCTGCCCGCCTGGGCGATCTCTTCATGTTCTTCAAGTTCGTTGCGCTCATTGCGGTCACGGTCGTCGGCATTATCGTGGCCGCCACGGGGTTTTCCTTCAACGGTCCCGCGAACAAGGACTGGCGCAATCAGAACTGGTTCGCGAACACGTCGACCGACATATCCAGCTGGGCCGTCGCGCTGTACGCTGGTCTGTGGGCGTTCGACGGATGGGACAATACGAACTACGTGACGGGAGAATTCAAGAACCCCAGCCGGGATTTACCACGTGTGATCCACACCGCCATGCCTGCTGTGATCGTATGCTATATCCTTGCCAACGTGGCATACATTTTCGTTCTACCTTTGGAAACGATCAACAAGTCCAACACGGTCGCGGTGCAATTTGGTAGCAAGGTCTTCGGCCCCATCGGCGGACTCATTCTCGCCCTGATCGTCGGTGCCTCGTGCTTCGGCGCACTCAATGCCACGACATTCACCTCCGGCCGCTTAGTCTACGTTGCTGGCCGCGAAGGATACATCCCGGCCGTGTTTGGCAAGATTGGGTTTGGATATTCCTCTGGGCTAGAGCCACCCACGCCACTCAACAAGTCACGGAAACGGTCTTGGCTGTCGAAGTCCCTGGCGAGGGTATTCGGCGACGAGTCCATCGGGATGGGCTATACACCTGTCAACGCCATGTTATTGAACATGCTTCTCACCATGATCTACGTTGTGCTTGGCGAGTTCGGGACCCTGATCACATTCTATGGCGTGGCGGGGTATTCGTTCTACTTCTTGACCGTCCTTGGCCTGATTGTCCTTCGCATCCGCGAACCACACCTGGAGCGGCCGTACCGGACCTACATCACCACACCTATCATTTTCTGCTGCGTGTCATTATTTCTGGTCAGTCGAGCCGTGGTAAATCAGCCGGTGCAGACGGTTATTGTAATTGCATTTGTGGTGTCTGGGGTGCCAGTGTATTACTGGCGGGTCGCTAAGAAGGATGAGACCAGCATACCCAGAGGTCAGAGGGGAAGAGAAGGACGCTTCTGGAGGAGATGGGGTCGGTCATAAGGGTTGGTCCGACATGGCCGTACTGTTCATGTATGTGTTTGTGCATATGTTTTTGGGTATATCCAGGTGGTAGAGGTGCCACCAGTATCGCATACTGCTGGGGCCAGGACTATCGCCTCCCATGTTCGATTGGATAGCAAGAGCAGCGAGTTGAGAATGACGAAACCAGGCAACGGGCCTTGAAGCCATTCTGCGCTCTTAATCAGCACTTGAAGCGCCAGTCTCGTGTTCTGTACCGGTGCATTGATTTGCATTGATTTGCATTGCATGTGTTGTCGGATTGGGTATCCGTTCGCTCCGTCCCCTGCATTTCCACCCGCGAAGGAAAGAGGAGACGGTCAGGACGCCGCCATCTTGTCCGCCGGACTTGGTGGAGTGCCGTCGTTTTTGTCTTCGTCTTCGCCTTTTAACGCTTAATGCATCTACCATGACGGTAAATCGTTGATCCCGTTTGTGCCTGGCTTCTGTTGTCCTAGACATGCCTACGGGGTAGGATAGGGGTATCTAACTACCGGGTCGATGCATTGATAGCGACAGGAAGGGCAGGTACTGTACCATACTCCGTACTGTGTAGTCCACTGCACGCCAGCAGAGCCTGAGGAACGCCATTGATCGCGCTCGCATTGCCGATGTCCTTTCCGAGACTGTGGTTTCTGATGGCCCGTACGGAGGACGAGTTACTTGTAGAGGCATACGGGCTCGTTAATTAGGCTGTGCTGGGCTCGGCTGGGCTGAGATGAGAGGGCTCAGTGGGCTGGGCTAAACCCTTCCAGGGCATACGAACCCTTGTCCTGAGCAAGAAAAAGCTTGAATAGTCGGGTCTGCATCATGACCCACCCTTGTGCGTACAGTACGCACACGGCACTGCATACAGGTATGCGTGCATGTGCATGCGTGGGTGCGTGCAGGCAGACCTATGCGGTTGATTGGGGTTGAAACTTCATTTCATTTCATTTTACTTGATCTCAAACATCACCGGGATAATTGAGTATACAGCACAACTCATCTGACTTCACGTTCCTTCGTCGGAGCGAGTCCACGCCCTCGTCGCGTAGTTTTACTGGCCTGATTAAAAACCGATGCGACGTCCTGCTTGATGACTAATACTAATACCCATTCCAAGGCAGGTATTCGTACAAGTACTCCGTAGTGAGCCATCAGTACGAGCACTTGTGTAGGAAGCACTGTATCCCGATATAACTCGCTGCAGATGCAGACATAGACATTGTCAATCATGGGCAACAAGAGCGAACCTCTTTGTGTGTGAGGTCTGTGCGTGTGTATGTGTGGCGTGCACCCTAAGGCACAGCGTTTACGTACTTGTAGGCCATGTAGCCAGCGTAGCCAGCGTAGCCAGCGTAGCGTACCTAGGTAATCATCCCAGCCAGGTAACACATTATACAGGTGCAATGCGGTCCTGTGTTTGGTAATCTGATATGGTGATACTCTGATACTCTGATATTGCCCTCGTCCGGCGATTCCTCCGGTCACCGACCCGGCAGAACGTTTCCCGATATGGAGTGTGGTGCGTGCGCGTGCGCGCGCGTATACATAACTGTATATGGTTACATGGAGGAGGTAGCCAGGGGCACAGAGTCTCCTCATCCTGGAGACGTACGAATACTAACTCTCGGCCTGAGCGGGATAATCAAACGAGAGCCTTGTGCGACGCTCTAACTACGTAGGTACTCTTTTTCCCCGGCGGATGAGCGCGTCAGTTATGTTCTCGCAGTATTGCTACTGTACAGCATGTCCAGTGGACCATGATCCGTGGCAGTGGAGGATGAGGTCTCATCGTGTCTAACGTCTGCTTGACGTGCTCGTTTACCAGTCAAGTCTCCGTCTCTGGAATCAGAAGAGTTGGATGCAGGACATACACACACAGCGGGGACTTGCAGTCATACAGTACTGGCACAGCATAAGTGTATGTTCACACGCCATTCGTGTCCTCAATGTTAGAGATAGGCTCCAAAAACGGACGCAACAACGGCTGTCGGCCTCGTTGAGAGCAACCCATGACACGGTGCCCAAAAGGTCGCATAACGAGCGTCCCTTTTCTCCTCACTTATGCCACCAATATTCCCTCCGCCATCGTCTGCAGCCTACATAACTCTCAATTCAGACTCCGACTCCCTCCGTTGCATCCTGATCCTTGTTCTCGGCTCCATTTCTGGCGGTATCTTCTCGGTCCACATTGCAGTCTTCCATGTCTGGGATATCTTCGACGTCTATGCAACGTATCCATTCTCGCAGCTTTCGCCACACTCCCCTCATGGTCCAGCCGCTTTGGTGCCACCTAGGCTTGTCCGTTCGAGGATCTCTTTCTTTTCCTGCGCTGTGCCAGGGTCAATCCATCGATGGCTCGAACTGTTCCCTTATTTCGGAAACTCGACGTCCTGCCCTGCCCAGGGTCGTTGATGGAGCTGCGGATTGCGCAATCAGCGGGGTTCGAGTATTTCACTGTCTTCGGCATCCAAGATCCCCCAGCGTTGGTCATGGACCGCTTCTTCGATTTCTTTCGACCAAGCTGTTCTCCGAGAGGCTTTGTTTCGGCACGAGGAGAATCCGGTATTGGTGAGGCAAATACATCTTCGACTTCCAGTTCACCCACTTGCATTCGCGTCCGGCTGAGCTGTTGCCTTATCTTAGTTTGAAGCCTTCGGCGCTCTGCCCTGCTCAATCTATCAGTGGCAAGCCGTCTGATAGGTATACTATCAGAATCGAGCGACCATTCACCCGATGCCAGAATCTCCAAGGATGTCGAAGTAGACTGATTGGCAAAATGTGAGGTTGGCTTCTTCAGGACTGAGCTCGCAGTGGGCCTTCTTTTCCTCCTGGCAGGAGGATTCGTCGACTTCCACGCAACTTCTCCCATGGGGCCACTTGTGGGTTCCGCGTTTTGGCCTGCCATGGTGGGAGCCATATAAGATCTTGCTCTCAAAGGAATATTCAGATCAGACTGAATACCCAGGATCGACATATCCTCATGGTGAATTCTGCGATAACGTTCAAGTAAGCCGGCGTCCTGAGTTCGCAGTGGCAGCTGAGCGTCATTGACAATGGCAAGGATATTCGATGCGACCTGGGACATCCCCAAAATCTCCTCAATCGTCTCGAGGCGTTCGTTAAAGGTTGTGAAGAGAAAGTAAGCCGTCAGTCGCTTTTTCTGTTGACGTCGTGAGGATAGATCTGTTGCCTGAATATCCGACCGAGCCCAGAAGGTGGTTCTAGTAGCGAGAAATTGCGCCATGATTTTCAGGTACTTCATTCGCGAAATGCGAAACTCGGGATTATTCCCAGGGTGTCGTGCTTGGCCGTAGACCTCGACTGGCCCGAGGGACGGATGGGCCGTTGGCGTTGAACTCAGGGAGCCACTTGTCGTGGACGCTAGGTAGATTCGCAGGATGGCGTACGCTCGCGAGGCGAGGTCTGTTGTCAATATTAGCTAGGGACAAAGCAGAGAGAGGATAACCTACGGGTCAAGAACTGCAATGGATCGCCGGACTCAGTGGCCTGGATGCGACGAACGACTTTGAACTTGAACAAATCCTTGACCGCCTGGTCTAGATCCAAAGGCGGCAGAGGAAATCCGAGAGATCGAGCAGCAATTGACGAGATTCTCCGACTTCGACCGTTGTTGAAAGATATGTCATTCAGAGACTTATCATGGTCCTCCCAAGTATGGAGCTCGATTAGACCTTCCACCTCAATACCTGGACCAGCTGCCAAGAGTCGCCGTTGCGACTCGACGTCCACACCCACTTTGAGAATTGCGGGGTTTTTCATGACATCCCGAAATGGTTCATCCTGAAGAATCGAATAGTAATTGATTGACCCGAATTGTATAACTGCAACCTCGTGTTCGCTTGCGAGGGTCAAAAATTGGATCGAAGGGTGACACTCCGTGCCAGGGCTCTGAACAGTGTCGAAGGCCAAGTATTTACAGCGCTCAGGATCGCTGAATCGGGGTAAGACACTGGTGAGGCCAGAGAATGTCGTAACATAGAGGATGGGGACCGCCGGGCCGAGCGGATAAAGGGGCGTTGGAGTTGCCCATGGAGCAGTATGAGCAGCGCTGACTTGAGCAGATGGTACAATGGCGCGAATGATGGTGGAAGCCGGTGGACCTACGTGTGCTTGATCCATCGAGGCATGATAGTCATTCGAGCAGTAGCGATCGAGCAAAGAGACTTTAGAGATCCCTGTCCAAAGCCACGTGAAGTCGCCAAGCAGTCGGATATCTCTTTGGATTTCTGAAAGCCTGCTTGAAAGTCTCAGCAGTTTTTCGTTCGAACAGCCGTGAGCAAAGTGATCTATGTGGGTCTTCAACAGCGGAAAGTATGCGTTGTAAGTGCTAAGAGGCTGATACGTTGAAAACAGTTCCCTCTGCAGGACTGAGGAGGAGATTTGCGAAAGCTCGTCCCGAATGTCGCGCACAATGACCCTACTCAGCCACTGTACTTTCCCGATATGGTAGAGGACGGGATCATCATCGATAATCTTAGCCAGCCTAGGCGAGAATGGATGATAGAGCAGTTTGGCCCCCTTCCTGAACTGAAGGTAGTTGTTCCTGATTCGTGTGGCTGTCTGGCTGGCAGCCTCTGCGAGGTATTCTAGTGGAAGAGTGAATCTGTAGTAGCTGTAGAGTTCTGCCGCCCAAGCAAGTTGAAGCCGCTTTCTTCTCAGCTGGCGCAACTCATGCAGATGCACACATATCATCGCAGCGGTGTCAGCCATCTCATCTTGAAGAGTCATCAACTCAACCAATGAGAATTTGATACGAGAAGGCAGGGATGGACGAGTCTTTCCTTCTCTCGCGGGGAGGGACCGCCGTCTACCCAGTCGGCTCTCACCAAGGCAATGTTGGGTCCAGGCAAGATCCGGATGATCAAAGGCCTCCACTAGAGAGTGCAACGCCGAATTGGCAACCTGCCTGGTACGAGGATTTAGCCCGCTCTTCTGATAGGAATCTTGCAGGCCGTGCTCGAGTTCCTTTCCTCTTGCCACCAGTGAACGAAGCTGGAGGTAACGGTCCATGCTTGTCTTGTCGTCCCAGCCGAAGCTTTCAACGAGATTGGCTATTTGCTCGGCTTTACGCAGCTTCCGCGTCCAGGCTCGTCGTTTTGCGGCCTCTTCCTCTCGCCTTCGTCTGACCAATGCCTCTTCCTGTTGCCATGTTCTTAAGAAGGCTTCGACGAGGTCGGTGATCTTTTTAGCCTCATGCATTTTTTGCATCCAGGCTTGTCGCATTCGTTCGATTTCTTCCTTCTCTTGTCTCGCTGCCTCTTTTTCGGCATTTCGACGTGCTTGAATCGGACTGTTTGGCAGTGACAGATCCGGGCTAACGACCTCGCCGACTCTGAAATTATTTGCAGCCGGAAGACCAGTCATAGCAACGGGGGTTCGTGGATATTTTGGTCGTTTTGAAAGACTGGACTCTGGAGGGAGAAGCGGATTCGGGCGCGAGGCAGATGCCGGCTTTCTAGGCATATTGTGAGCAGGTACAGACTTCATCTCAGCATTTCTCAGCATCGATGTCGAGGTGGTGTGAAAGGCTCGCCGCCTAATGTTCGGCTCGAGTTGTGCGCTCCTGGTGGCAGGCGCCATGCTCCCTGTAGAGTGGGCACGACGAGCATACTTGGAGGCATCATGCTGAATGGAGCGTGGCTGGGCTTGGGATTTGGAACAGCAAGCATATCCGGTGGCTCGATTTTGTTCCAGTCGCAGGCCATGACTGAGGGAAACAACGCGGTGACAACAAGTCGTGTGAAAGGTCAAGGTAGGTGAGAGCAAGCCGGACGCAACCGGACCATGGAAGAGCCGGTTGTAGCCATTGGACATGGAACTTGAACACCGTAATACAGTGCCCCGTGTGAGGGCTATCACTTTCTTCTGTTAAGTCCCAAATTGTGAGCGGTTGAAGGACCTCAAGAACTGAGTGCCGGCGCCCCACGCGTTGATATTTGCGTGGTACGTGCAAGTGCTTCGCCGTATGCAACTACTTGGAATTTCCAACTTTGTCTCACTTGGTTCTCACTTGGTTCTCTCTTGGCTCTCACTCGGGTTTGAAACATCTGAAATACCGTCTGCTTGCAATCAGCTACAGAAAATAGGACAGGCTTTGTATTGAAACTCTTTGCCATTGTTCAACCAAGACTCAACACGCAGGCTAACGAGGTTGAGTTGCATGTTGCTACATCGCTCTCCATGAGCCGAATCTGCCATGGCGAACCAGCAGAAATTCCATGACAATCAATCAAATCACGAAGACCACCACCCAGTACCGGCCAGTTTCCGGCAGACATGTGTTCCGACTGAACACGTTACAGGAATTGACAACCATCTCTAACAATTGCCGACGGCGATGACGGAACTCCATACCCTTCCTCGATCGTTGCGTACCGTCCCAAGCTCCGAGTGATGATGCATTCCAGCCTTTGATATACTCCGTCGACTCAAGTTGGACCTTTCCGTTGACCAAGCTCGATGTCGCCAGTCTTACAATTTCAGATTCACCAGCAACCGTCTCATTCCGTGCTGAATTGGCAGGCTCCGAGGGTTGCTGGCGTTTCCAAACGTCCTCCACAATCCTCAAACATGTACCTTGGACCATTTCATTCAAGTGATGAGATCCAACTCATCTTCGATCGTAAGCATGTTGATGAGGCGCACCAGGTCGAGGACACCACCATCAGTTGTCGTTTCTTCATCTTCATCTTCCTCGTTGACCTCGTCTTCTTCCACACTCCGATAAACAAGGAAACTTTCTGGAAGGGGAAAAGGTAGGGGTCCTAGACTGTGGTCGGGAAAACCACTCGGGATGTCGCAAGTCTTGTTTGCTGTTTGACAGTGTCGGAGCTCCGCCTGAGGCTCTTCGCCTAAATTGGTTGCCTCGCACTCGTCGTTCTTGTTCTGATCCAACGTCTTGTTGAAGCAGGTCTTTATGATATTCTTTCTCGTCCCATCAACCTTCTTCAGTTGAGCCTGGATTTCTGCCTTGAGCTTTCTGAACGTGGCAGTTCGCTTGACGTTTGCGACCTTCGCCTTATTCTTCTTGGCCTTCAGCTTGGTGTTGGCAGCTTTCAGCTCTCTCTTCTCCGCCTCGAGCTGAGCGTTGGCAATTTCCAGGTGGTGTCTGTGGACATCGAGCTGCCCGTATTCGTCGACGGCCTCACGGAGGTCGTTATCTCGGGCAACATACAGTGTGTAGAGATGGTCGCGGTCCATCAACAGAGCGTTGTTCTGGTTCTGGACGTCTTCCAAATGATGTTCCATGTTCTGCAGCTCATGTTGGAGCGACAGATTCTGGTTTGCGAGCTGTTCATGTGCGGCGACAGGATTTGTGCAATGCTGCTGGAGCCAGTTGAATCGATAGAGCAAGGTTTGGACATAGTAATATGCTTGTCGGGCCCCCGATCTGAACTGGTTGATCACATCGTTGAGCACTGTGATTTCTGTCTCCTTGTCAACGACGACTTCCTCGAGGCGATGGATCTCTCGGCGGGAGTGATGCAGTGCTCTGTCTTGTTGTTCTAGATGGGATTTCAGCCGCTCGATTTCCGCATGCGGATCATGTGCTGCAGGTTCTGGTTTCCATTGTGGTACGGCAATGGGAGATGACTGGTCAAGGTTGTAGCCAGCAAGGGATTTCCGCTTCTCGGCCTCGATTTCCGACTTTCTGAGGCGAGTGGCACCAGTCGCGATGAATCGCTGTTGTGTGTCGACCGTCTTCCTCAACGCATCATTTTCGGCCAACAACTCACGATTCCGATCCTCCAATTCCAGATTCTCCTCCAGAGATCGATGCTGATGGACGCCGTCTTGCTCATGTCGTTGGAACTGAAGGTCGCTGTACGAATGCGTGCTCGCTGGTGAGGAGACAGTCGTGGTTGTGTCCTGCTCTTGCGGATGAGGGGAGAACCGAAAGAGTGGCGACGAACTCCCGGAACTCGAACTTGCAAGAGACTCTTCTGCTGGCTCTGAAATGGAACTGGAGAAGTCGAAGTTGGCAGGCACGAGCCAGAGATTGCTCGGCACGTCGCTCTCAAATGTACTGTCTTCGACGAACCCCTGTTGGGTCTCTGGAGGAGAACTGCCACCGTTGGAATCGGAGTGGCTGTATGAGATGTAGGTGTTGTTGTGGGAGGTACGAGCGGCAAGCACCAATGCCCATGATGAGGCGTGGTGTTGGGGAGTGTTGTGCGGAAGATACTCTGTCAAAAACACACAAAGGAAGCCGAGTGATGTTGGCGTCATGATAGAAAGAGACGTCTTGATGGTGGTGGCAGCTGGAGACATAGGGCCCACAAAACGAGAGTTGAGGTGGTGAAACCTCAGAGAACGAGACACAAAGGAACGCGGTCGGCGAGCAACGCTATTGCAGTCGACGGACTGTAGCCACAACGAGTCAGTGATCGTCGCAGGCAGTACACGACTCAAGCATGAATGGAAGAAGAAGATCTCAGGTATGTTGGAGACAGCGGCTGCTCACCTTCCGTGCTCGCTTGGGAGGACGCCAGCTGTGGACCAGCAGCGTTGCGAAGACTGACCAGATGGGGATGGAGGTCATGATGACGAAGACGGTATTCATGTCGAAAGCCATGATGGATGAATTGTGCAGAGAAAGAGACATATGTGTGTGTGTGCGTGTGGTGAGGTTAGATATGAGAGAGAGAGAGGGAGGTAAAATAGACAGTCGTCGACCAGCAAAGAGGAATAAGTCCTCAAGCGCTGGCAGTTGCGCGCAGGCAGTTGCTCGCATACCACGCTTGGCGGAGTGAATATGCGGATTGGTGTTGATTGGGAGTATTGCAGGGCAGTTGGCAGTTTCGCGGTCGCAAGTGAATGTGATGATGGCGACGAGGATCAGACCATGGCATCCGCGAGATCAGAGGTGAGTAGACCGCCCTTGCCCACCAGCTCAGAAGGGAGTATATCACCCTGGACATACTGGACATACCCCTGTGCTCTCAATCATACCCATGGGTGAAGGGATTTTACAGCCCTTGGACCGACACGAGCACCAGAGCCCCGTCAGCCGCGCCTTCAGTTCGCGGCCCACGAACCGATATTTCTCAAGCACAGCACTATGTCAGGATGGACAGGGGCATGGATAGCCGGTACCATGTAAGACAGTACAAGCATCGCTCGAGCAAAAGTCATGTTATATATTCACCCTGTCAACAAGATCAGGTCTACATATGATGATCTTCACCTTCACCTTCAGGCTGATTTACCTCGACGGCTTCTCAAGCCTCGAGCAGCGGGCCGAAGACGATGTTCCATAGTCTGCCACACTCTAAGTCCCGTTCCGTGTCCTTACGACTATGGGCACTCACGACCAGTAAGAGCGGGATAGTATCAGTCACATCCCTGATCGCAGCGGAGGAACTAGACAACGCTGCACCTGCAGCCACATAAAGATGTCAACTCTGGCCGGTGCGGATGGTGTGAGCGGCTCTATACCCAGTCAACTCAGATCAGTCGGTCAAAGAATGCTTAAAAGACACAGATACGGCCTGCCCGACGTCCGCTTCTATCAGGCACCTTGTTGTGATTACTGCGCATTCTCATGCATCGAAGGTTCGGACCAGATTGGAGCATACGCTGGGGTGGAGACGATCCCACGTAGGAGCAGTCCACCGACCCGGTCGAGATACGGTATCAATAGTAATTGCGTGCTCATGGCTCAGGCCCCAATCACATCGGGTACATCCCTGTCATGCCTGGCTCAGAGTCTCCGAAGCCGGCCCAGAACAGTTCATTGAAGGGGTCCACATCAAAGGCGTTGTCCATGAACGACACGCCGGCGGTTTGTTGTTGCGTCTGCGCCGATAAGTGCGATTGCTGCTGTGCTGTGGTCGCCGACAGGGCTCTCTGAATAGTGTTCTGGTGATACATCTTGATGTTCGCCCACTCATGGGCCAGCTTGAGGAAATAACTGCATTTCTCTCCCTTCATACGATGCAGTTCTTGGGCTCGTAGACATAACGTGTCGAGGCACTTGCCCAGCCAAGCAGCACGCTGGGATGCTTCCATGCTGACGTACGCCGAGTCCAGAATAATAGACGACTTGGTCGACAGCATGATGCCGAAGTTGAGTGCCCGCCATTCCAGTGAGGTCCAGTCGACCATGTCGTCTAGGCCGTTCTCCAGCACGCAAGAGAGGTACTTCACGGTGGCGTTGAAACAGTCGTACAGGATCGACAGGCGGGTCACGGAGGGTGCTTGACCGTGGAGAAGGCCGTATAGGCCAACCTCGTGGATATAGCCTCTGCTGCTGTAGTAAGCGCGCTGGAGCCAACCTAAGTCCGGGTGGAAGGTAAGCTGGAGGCCTGCAAGGATTGGGATGTCTGGACTATGCCATGCGTACCATTTCTGAAAGCACCTGGGGGGAGAGATGTCCTCCACTCCTCCGTCTGCTTGGACAAGGCTCCAACCAATATCTGGATCTTATCGTCGCTCAGCTCGCCAATCTTCTCCTTCGAGCCGTGATCGAAAGTATGGGTAGTCTCCTCGGCGACGCGCATAGACCGGACCATGTGAATCAGAGTCGGGTCCGTGGAGTATTGTGGGTCTGTGACCAGGGAAGATGCGCAGTCTTCGAGATACTGACTGTACGGCAACATGGATGGTCTTCTAAACAATAACAGGCCACTGCGTAAAGTTAGTCGTCGTGGGTCGCTGACGGCGGCGTCGCCCATGAGAACTTCGTACTATGTGGAAACCGTAAACGCGCCCAGATACGCCCTTCGAGCCTCAAACCCCCAGAACTTCGATGACATGGCCTCACTGCCCTGCTCGAGCGCTGAACCGGGGCCAACGATGATCTCATGCTGGGTGACGCTCGTCGGCTTCTGGTTGATTCCGAGTTCCACGGCCAGTGAAACCACAAGGGAGCCTAGCCTGTAGACCTGAGTTGCGACGGGGACGGTATACCAATGGCACCTTCGATGATCAGTACTGTTCGTCCCTGCACTAGCTGCTGGGACTTACCAGGCGAAATATACAATTAGTGCCTGCAACAGATCCAACGATTTCTCCGACTTGACGAAGTACCTGTGGTTGAAGTGATGTAGGAATTTGTCCTGCAGTGCGCGCTGCCGCTCTGGGAAGCGCCATGTGGTCGCAACGAAGACTGCCTGTGCCAGCATGGGTCGCTCTTCGACCAAAGTAGCAACAGGACAGGCCTCGGGAATCATGACATAAGGAAAATGGTTGGCTGACATGCGCCGGTAGTCATTGAGCAGAACCTCACACTCCTCGAGAGGGATCTCGAGCAAATAGCTATTCGAAGCATCCGAGTGTGTCGATTCGAAGCGCAGCGGAGACGTCAAGCCCGTGGCCTGCGAGACCCGGGACGCATCGGTATGTGACGGCGTGGAGGTCGACACCGATGTCGCTACATTGGCTTCGGGCTGCGGCTTCTGTTTGAGCAGAGACAGTATCTCGGAGTAGCTGCTCTCCAGCTGTTCAACGCGGCCGCGTACTATCACAAGGTCAGTGGGTGGCGCCGGAGATATGGGGCGCAGACACCGTACGCCGCGCTTTTCGCTTTCTCTGCCTGACTTCGGGTATCTGACAGTCTTTGCCCAGCCTTGCACATCTGCTCGGGGCAGGGTGGCACGGTGATCAGCCAAAGCACATTTCGAAATATCGAGCCTGGTGCTCCCTTGCGTACCTATGGCAGGAATCGCCGCCTTCATCGCTCGGGACACATTTCAGCTTCTTCTCGCGGCATTCTGCGCAGGCTGCGTGTTTCCTCTCGGTGTCGGCCATGATTGCAGCCTGGGAACTGGATCACACACAAGGACCTGTTGGCCACTTTGTCGCCGTGGCCGGTGCAGCAGGAGGGCATATAAGCCTTGTGGGTCCTGTATTAATAACACGCGCTTGAGCTGACGCTCACATCACGGGAGGTGCTATAGAGAGGAGAGTCGGCGTCCGGGACCCAAATGACCCCCGAGCGAGCCGAACATCCGGAATCAAGACAGGGGGGCCACGCAGCAGGGCGGAGGATGGCGTGCCGGAACACCATGTGCTAGACCGTCAACGTGCAAACCTTCTCATCCCCGCATCTATGCACAGGGACTCGAGTCACAGCGCGCCATGGCACTCGGAGGGCGACCTCATTTTATCAGCTGTGAGGCCGAACAGGCAGATCATGCGTGGTTCGAAGCCACGCTACCGAGCACGGAGAACTGAGGCCTGCAAGATGGGGCGGGTTGGTGGAAGCGGTCAATCTGCCTCCTTGTTAAAGAATTGCCTGCTGTCCGTTGACATGTTGCAATTGTCGTCCTCGGGTTATGCTTTCCAACATGCAGTCTACCGTGCAGGGCTCGTCCCATTCTCTGGTGTTCCCCGGTTCTACCTCATCACAAGCCCAGTGGTCCGATCCAGACGAGAAACAGCTCGACCATCCTGCAGGTGCAGGCGGCGCATCCCGTTGGACTTCGCTTGACCCCGGCCTTCAGGACTGGACTAAGTACACTCTTCGAAAGAGGCCATGGCGACGAAGAGTGACCGACTTCAAACAGATTGTGGAAGCGAAATATCGAGGAAGCGGGACTCCTGGGGATCCGTTTGTCGTGCAATGGCTCGATCATGACCCGGAGAACCCAAAGAACTACAGCAGCTTGTTCAAGTGGCTGATGACGTTCCTCCTGGCCTTCATGACCCTGTGCGTGTCGTTGGCATCGTCGGCGTATACCGGCGCCGCAGGTCTGATCATTCCCGAGTTCCATTGCAGCCACGAGGTCTTCCTGCTGGGCTTGAGTCTCATGGTCGCTGGCTTCGCGCTGGGACCACTGATGTGGGCACCGCTTTCAGAGGCCGTATCTCGTCGAGACATCCTCTTGATTGCGTTGGGCCTCTATATCATCTTCACGGCAGTCTGCGCGGCGGCACAGAGCATTACGGCGCTCATCATTCTTCGTCTGCTGTGCGGCACCATGGGCTCCGCTGCCTTTGTTATCCCAGGCGGGCAGCTCTCCGACATGTTTGAAGCAGAGCAGTAGGTTCAAGTCTTGCCCTGGGCAGTCGTTGAGGGTGCTGACTTCTGGAAACCAGACGCGGTATGGCCCAAGCTGTCTACGCAGCGGCTCCCTTCTTAGGCCCGACTTTGGGACCGATGATCGGTGGGTTCTTGAGCCCGGCTGCAGGATGGCGATGGCTCTTTGGGTTTCTTGCCCTGTATGCTGCCGTGTTGACATTCTTTGGAATTATATTCGTCCCAGAGACATATGCACCAGTCCTGCTGCGGCGAAGGGCAAAGCTTCTCTCAAAAGCCACCGGGAAGGTGTATATGACCAGAATCGATATCGAGCAACCACTTGTGTTGAAAGAGGTGGTGAAGCGATCACTCGCTCGACCATGGGCTCTTCTCTTCCGCGAACCGATTGTGTTACTTCTCTCGGTAAGCCATTGCACCCACACAGGCCGTCTAAGCTGCTCACCATACAACTCCAGATCTACATGGCCGTCGTATACGGGACTCTTTACCTGTTCTTCGCGGCCTTCCCCATTGTCTTTCAGCAAGGCTACGGTTGGAATGCGGGAGAAGAGGGTCTCGCATTTCTCGGGATCATGGTAGGAAACCTCCTAGCCGTCGGCGTGATCATCATGGACAACAAGCGATACATCCGCATCTCCAAAGCCCATGGTGGCTTCGCACCGCCTGAATCCCGCCTCCCGCCCGTCATCTTCGGAGGTGTCATCGCCATCGTCGGCTTGGCTTGGTTTGCTGCCACCGCGGACCCAAGGATTCATTTCATCGTTCCCGTTCTTTCGGGATTACCGTTCGGAATCGGGTTTATCTTGGTCTTCATGTGCTGTTCCAACTACCTGTGAGCTTAGACGAGACTCCATTCCTATTCGCAGCTTTTCTCGACGAAAAGACCACGCTAACTGTATGTCAGTGTCGACTCTTATGTGATCTACTCTGCCTCCGTCCTCGCCGGCAACTCCATCCTCCGCTCGACATTCGGTGCTGTGTTCCCACTCTTTGCGACCTACATGTACGACAGTCTCGGCGTCCATTGGGCGTCCGCCGTCCCCGGCTTCATTGCTCTTGCCTGTTTCCCCTTCCCGATCTTTTTCTACAAGTATGGCGAGAGCATTCGACGGAGGTGCAAGTACTCAGCCGAGGCGGCAAGGTTCCTGGACAGTCTGAAGAGTGATCTTGAGCGTCAACAGAGCCGGGCAAGTAAGGCCGAGGAGGTAGGAGTTGGAGTGGCCGACGGGGAACGGAATGATGTGTCTTCCTGAAGCTCGATCGACTATAGAAGCAAATTGCAACACAACGGCCGGGCGTGGAACTGGTTTCGCCACGCTCACCGGTCAGCTTGGTGGCCGGTCATCACGTTCTATTCGTACAACAATTAACGCTGAAACAGTCCAAGGGTCACTCTACGAGCGATGCCGCCACCACCAACAAGACGGTGAGGACAAATAACGCCCTGCATTGGGCATACCTATTTGAATGCATGTACGCACATTCATCCTTCAACTCTACTCCTTCTACCATCCCCCAACCCGAATCATATATCTACGGTTGTACCCGTTCAACGAATAATACACCAAGTCGAAGACACCAGGACAATTGACGCCCAGTTCCGAACGCTGAATCCCCATCTTCTACTTCTAACCCATGTGTATCCGACTCTTTATCTACTACGCCTGCGGCCACGACGGCGAGCGGGACGAATACTGTGGCCGGAAAAAAATGTCGCGACTGGCGCGTCCGGGAGCAGATGTCCAGTGGTACCTGCAGCAGATGTCGTCCTGACCGTGGCTAGCCACAGTAGAGATGTGGAAGAGTATCCTACACTCACACTCACACTCACGGACAGTCAGTGAAGACTGAAAGTGAAGGGCACCGTCAATCGCGGCTATTTCAATAGACACACTTTCAACGAATCTACCACAATGTAATGGTGCATCATACCACGCCATCTTCGACGACTATCATCAGCATCGAACATCGAATATCCAAGACGCAATACGCAATACTCGATACGTGATATCGGTATCCCACAACATACATCAGACTCATACAAGTCACTGCACCCGGAATCCTCGCCTCCTCGACTAGGACTGACGGACACGGGGAACACCGAAACCGACACCAATATCGATAGCCATCTCGAATCACGGGTCCGTGAGCAATACCCACAGGACCATCTGACGCACTATATCCAGTGAGGGGTGCACGCCGATCACAATCACAGCTCCACGGCTCTGATGAATGGCCTATGTCGCGGATCAGGAACCAGAACGAACAGAGCTTGTCAAAGAGGGTGGCTATACATACATATGAGGGACGGGCGGCCGGCCTCTGCTTCGCCGTACAGCCGTCAATCATCTTCGTCACATACCGTGCACCCGACGCGAGAGACACTTTTGCTTAGGCTATCAATATCCAAGACCAAAAGCCGGGCAGACGCGACAGAACCAGGGTCCGCGAAGTGCAACATCCTCGAGAAGTGTGCGAGACGATGGGATTCTTGCCCTGCCAGAGCGTTTGCCCCGTCATGGGATACGTGGGTACATATTAGTATCGAAGCGATTGTTAAGTAGCAGGCGGAGTAACAGACCAGGCAGGCAGGCACGCTTCAAGCAGGATATCTGGTGGTCATAGGGCTGGTGCATAGCTGATAAGAAGGAAAAGGAAATCTCACAATGGCAGGCTTGGGCGAGACCATGTGCTGATATCGGAAGGTTACGCTTACTCGCACTGGAGTCATCGAATAGCTTGGTGGCTTCTGTAGCTGTGGTGTGGTGTGGTACGGTGTGGTGTCGTGATGACACATCAGAACATACCTTGACATAGATATATACATCGACCATACAATCTAGGACCTAGAACAAAAGCTTCGGGCTGAGAATGAGTCTTTCTTCATGGCCCTTCCTCTCCCCCTGAGACTTACAAGGCTACTCAAGGTGATAATTAATCCTTTTTGAACATCTCGCCCAGCCACTTCATGGCCGCTTCCTGCATGCCACCACCTGCGTCGACAGCCCAGGGAGACGGGTCGCACAGCTGAAGTTGGACCCTCTCTTCCGCGAAGCCCTTCTCCCGCCCAATGAAACAGGCTCGGCGCATCAATTCGGCCAGTTCGGTGCCTTGGGCACGCATCAGCGCTGCATGGCCCCTAGTTACGTCGATGGCATTGCTTTCACCGTCGGGCGCTTTCTGCTCCACGTGAGATTGCACGAAAATACGGACACGTGGCAATGTGACGGACTCGGGATTGCCAACAGCAGGCCAGCGGCGCAAGACTTTCCGCCGACGAGGAGGCACGGTAGGCGCATGAGAAGCAGAGACACCAACCTCACCGTGCGAGGTGATGCCGGAACTCGTCCCCATCGAAGAGGGACTCGATTGATGTGCATCGTGGTCATAGTCACTGTATTCACCTCCTCCCACATCCATGTCGACGTCGTCCTGATCTATCTCACTGAGCAGCTGATCTCCTGTGGTGGCGTTGGCGAGAGGCGTGTCCCGTCCCGGGGCGCGGAGAAATAAGAGCGGACTGGCGAATGGGTCGAAGTACGCCGACGGCGTGTTGAACAGTTTCGAGCGCAACTTGACCAGTTCCTCGGCCGCAGCCACGACGGATGGAGCATCGGTGTCGTGCAGGTTCCCACTTTTGGACGTGCGTGCCCGCTTCTGTGCGTGTTTCTGTGCCTGCGTGGTCGGAGAAGATAGAAGAGATTGGACCGCCGGTGGTCGCACTTTTTCGAGCACCTCGTATATTCCTACCCAATCAACCATGGGTTCTGCGACCGCGAGCGCGTGTATCGCATTCGGCTCAGTCAGGGCGAGCATGGTCGCTAGTGCGCCGCCGATATGTCTTCCCAGGAGGCATATCCTGGGGGCTTCGTCATGGCTGACATTGAAAGTGGAGGTGGAAGAAGTGAGGTAGTCGAATGCCGCCGCGACTTCGTGGATGGGGGTAGGGAAGACTTTTAACTCGTTTGAAGAAGCTAGAAAGTCCGCTGATTTTGCCAGGCTGTAATTGATCCTGACCAGCGAGGTGGACGGCGGAAGCACATCCTGAAGCCGCGCAAGCGTGCTCTGCAACAGACTTGATGTCGTCCCATTTGGACAGGCGGGCCCTGAAGGGATATGGACTAGCAGGTTGCGCGGCCCATTTGGACTCTGGCGCAGCTCACGAGGAGAGAATACACTGCATTTATGGTCAGCGGGGCTTCTCCTGCTAGGATGTATATGTCTGACGTGTCACCTACTCGAGCTTGACGCCGCCACCGACTCCAATGCGCAGCTCGACGGTCTCGTGTTTCCACGCGTTGTGTGTGGGAGCGGACGCGACAAACCTCCTTGGAGGAAGTCGAAAGCGGTATAGACGGGATGTAATGGTTCTACAGGACTCGAGAAGGCCATCACGGCCACAGCATGGGAGCATCACATGGTGAGTGCCTGCATTGGAAACGAGGAATGTGGTGAAGCGACACTGAAGTGTGTGAGAGGCGGGACAAATACTGCGGTTCCGGTGCAGTTGCGCCGCCGGTTGTTTATACGGTGGATGCTAATTTATCACAAGCGTAGTTTTATCGCGTTGACAATGTAGACAGTGTCACTAATTACGCCTCCACTGTCCCTAGGCTTCTCGGTTCTTAAATGACGCCGGAGCCATGCCGAAACCCTCGGCTCTCTGGCCCCAGCAATCAAGAGGTAGGACTTCCACATCCTCCTTGGCCGTGGTCGAGGCGGACTTCATTTCTTCTTGCGAAAGGGTGCGGTGTTCTTAACATCGCCACTTTGGCTTTGTTCATTTCCGTGCTTCCTTCGAGTCCGCGAAGCCCGCGAAACGCACGCGTTCTGACGCGTCCTACCGACTGAGTTCTCAAAATGAAGAAGCCGGAGAAGTTCTACCCAAAGGCCTATATGTCACGGCCTGGAATGTCCTTTGCCGTTGACATCGACGACCCAGTTGAGAGAATCCAGGAATTCATGAACGGGTACAAGAGAGAGCCCGTCGCAGAGGTAGGCTTACTCCACCCAGGCCAGTATCCTCCAGCATGAAAGCGAAGTAACCTTGTCTAGGGCTTTGAAGAGTCTCTCATGACCAAAGATCTCGCCATTGTCGGCGCCACGGGGCCACCACATGTCACAGCTGTCTTCGAGATGGAAATGACGCCCAAGTACGGAAGTCGAATGGGCAACGCTCAAGGAGCCGCCATTTCGCTGATCCACGACATGTGCACAACCATGGCCATGGCGCCGTTGGCGAGGGAGGACTTCTGGCACTTTGGCGGAGTGTCCAGGGTGCTGAGCGTCACATATTTGCGACCCACCAAGACCGGCACGCGTGTGGTTGTTGAATGCGAAGTTCTGCAGGTAGGCAAGAGATTCGGTGTGTGTCGCCATTTTTCCGCACGCGCGACCAGCAGGCACTTACTGGAGCAGCGACGATTCGAGGGACGATGAAAGACAAAGCAAGCGGCGACTTGCTCTCAGTCTGCGAGCACAACAAAGCCAGTATCATCTTTCGCGAGAAGTCCAAGCTTTGAGTACCGCTGTACTACCGATTCGACGTCAAACCACCATCTTCTGCGTACCGCTCGCGTGTAGTGATAACTGCGTCCCTGACATACGCTGGAAAAAATATTGTGCAGCCTGAGTTCGCTGACCGGCTAGTCCTATGCACCAGCAGAGCGCAACATGGCCTTCCAGTAACGGAGACCCGATGTCGCGTACTCGACACAGACGGTGCATTTTTGCCCCAGGAAATGACAAACAGACTGCAATGGCACAACCCAACATTTTCCTTCACGTGTCGGAATCGCCGCTTGAGTGCGCCTCATTGGCCAAAGCTCTCTGTCCCAGGTGCTATGATCTCATACATCCGCCCAGGCGTGCCAGGATGAGCGCCAGAATAAAGTTTCGATCACTTTCAAGGAAGCGGAAACGGAAAACTACGCCGGCGTCAATTTTCCCACATGCAAGAACCGGCGCTCCTTTGATGTCATGCCAGGTTGGAAGGCGGTTTTTCTTTATCAATCCTATCTATATATTGCGTCTTGCTGCCCGGTCTTTGACTCCCGCCATAGAGCATAGAGTATCTTTGACCATTTCCGAGTATTATAATATCTATTTCTGGCGATATGGGTGGCACTCCGGAGAATTATTGTATGTTGCAGGGTTTCGAGTGGAACGTCCCTGCCGATCAGAAACACTGGATCCGCCTAAAGAACGTGCTCCAAGACCTGAAGGACATCGGGGTGGACAATGTCTGGCTCCCACCTGCGTGCAAGGGCCAGGGAGGTAGCCAGGCAAACGGCTACGACATCTACGACCTGTACGACGTGGGAGAATTTGAGCAAAAAGGCTCCAAATCGACCAAATGGGGCCCGAGGGAAGATCTGGATCAGCTGTCCGACAAAGCGCAAGAACTCGGGATCGGGCTCTACTTCGATGCTGTTCTGAACCACAAGGCCGGTGCGGACAACAAAGAGAAGTGCAAGGTCGTCGAGGTAGACCAGAATGGTAGGTTGGCCATCAATGTATTCCGACTAGCAGCTAATTGTACCCTCACAGATCGCACCAAGGAAATTGGTGAACCCTTCGAGATCGAGGCTTGGCTGGGTTTCGACTTCCCTGGTCGCGGCGACAAATACTCGTCGCAGAAGTATCACTGGTACCACTTTTCAGGAACCGATTACGACGCGAGCACCGAACGCACCGGCATCTTCCGCATACTTGGCGACAACAAACACTGGTCTCGGTCGGTCGGCGAGGAAGGAGGCAATGCAGATTTCCTCATGTTCGCAGATTTAGACTACGCCCACGACGAGGTGGGACAGGACGTCATCCACTGGGGTGAGTGGGTAGTCAAGACACTCAAGCTGAGAGGGTTTCGTTTCGACGCGTGCCAGCATTTCTCCGAAACATTCACCAATGGCTTTGTGGACAATCTGGAGAAAAAGTTCGGCAAGGATGCTCTGTTCCTCGTCGGCGAGTTCTGGTCCGGTGACACCAAAGAGATGCTCGAATACCTGAAGAATATGCATCACCATTTCAGCTTGTACGATTCCCCCATGGTGTACAAGTTCTCGGAAATCTCCAAGTCGGAGAAGGGCGACCTGCGCAAGGTCTTTGACGGCACGTTGGTTCAGGCGAAACCCGATAGTGCTGTGACGGTAGTGATGAACCATGACACTCAGCCAGGACAGACGGTGGAGACACCCATCGAGGGCTTCTTCAAACCACTGGCCTACTCCTTGATCTTGCTGAGGCAAGAAGGGTATCCCTGTGTCTTCTACGGCGACTTATACGGCATGAAGGGGGAGCACCCGGAACCACCATCGTGTGGAGAAAAGCTACCTCATCTCGTCCTGGCAAGAAAGCTTTTCGCCTATGGAGACCAGGAAGACTATATCGACGACGACCCCAACTGTTACGCATTTGTGCGCAGAGGCACTGACGACCGAAAGTTCGGCCTAGCATGTATCATGTCCAACGCCGACCCCAAAACGAGGAGGATGGCGGTTGGCAAGGAACACTCTGGCGAAACGTGGACCGACATCCTGGGGTGGCAACCCGAAGAGGTCAAAATTGACAACGACGGGTTTGGGGAATTCATGTGCTCTGGAACAAGTGTCAGCGTGTGGGTGAACAGGGACGCAGAGGGCAGAGATAAAATCGACAATCTTCGCTTCGATACAGACATATACGCAAAGGCCTAGAGGTGATCGATATCACAGAACACGCTAATGATGGTTGGATAGGAAGACAGCACTCCAAGTTACATATCTAGACATATATTTAAAGCTACCATACTGGACTCTGGACTACGTTTCTCGGAGCAAGCGGCTGCGGTCAAGCCAGAGGAAAGGATGCAACACTGGACGGACGATGACTTCATGTCATTTATTTACCTAACTCCAAAGTTGCGGTTCGGATTTTGCCAGTCCCAGCTCACGGAGATAAGATCTCACTGCTGCTCCAAGTCGAACTTCAACCTTAAGTCTGAGAATACGCACATGCAGGTGGTAGCCTGTCAATCAACCGCACGGGGATGTCTACGCTGACGACAATCTTATCCTGGATCAGATTTAGAGCTTATGGAATTCCCATGCTCGAGCTCGGCCGCCACTGCTGTCGAATAGCGATGCCACTCATTCGCGGAGAGTGTCCTTCGGCCGCCTTACATCAGCCTTTCATGCACCACCCCTGGAGGCAATTCATCCACGGATACTACATGTAGACATTGTACCATGTCCGTGTTGGAGGCACTCGGTGGCGGTGTCGCCGTTTCAGAATTGTGCAATGCATCTACAGTACGTTATATTGAGAAGATGCGCCGTTCAATGCTCACATCCATTGTCAATCCCGTCCCACCAGAACTCGGGAAGTACACGCCTTGTTTGTCACCATGATGAATGCCGGCCTGCTCCTCGCAACAGCATTAGCATGCGTGCTCCTTGTGCGGCTCTTTTCGATCGGACGGCGAGGTCGAAACCTGCCACCAGGTCTGAACTCTTGTCTTGGCCTGCTCTTTCGAAACTCCAGACTAATAAACGTCCCCCAGGCCCGCCTACTCTGCCGCTGATCGGGAATCTACACCAACTGCCAAAGAAAGACATTCATGTACAGCATCTCAAATGGGCGCAAGAATGTGAGTCCAGGTTCTTAACTTCGAGGCCATGTCCCCGCGTTGACGTTGTGCGCCCGGTGAAGATGGCCCCATTTTCTCCCTCAAACTAGGCTCCCAGACGGTCATCGTCCTCGCGAGCGGTTCGATGATCAAACGGCTCGTGGACAAACGCAGCGCCAACTACGCCGACCGCCCGTCACTCTTCATGCAGGGCGTCTTTGAGCAATCCCGGATCATCCTCCGCGGCTACGACGACCTCTGGAAAGTGGAGCGCAAGTTGTACCATGGGTTCCTGAACAGCACCAAAGCGGTCCGGTATGCCCCTTACCAGGACCTGGAGACGAAACAGCTGTGCTTCGATCTCCTTAGTCGTCCCGAGGCCTTCGAGGCCCTGATCACCCGCATGACATTCAGCGCGGCCACCAGCATGACCTACGGGTTCCGCGTGACCGACCCGCAGAATCCCGTGATGCAGGAATTGCTCAAGAACGCGCACGGCTTCCTGTCCATGGTGCACAAGAGCCAGCTCTTCGATTGGTACCCGCAGTTGAGGCCGATCGTGAAGTGGTTGCCCTCGTTCATGTTCCCCATGTACCGCGACGCGAGGGAGGTGTTTCGGCGCGAGAAGATCCAATTCCACCAGCTCTTGGACGACGCGCGGAGGAACATGAACGACGAGAATGCCCTGCCATGTACGTTCTAACTCCTCGCTGTTTATCACACAAACCGCTCACCGTTCTGTCCAGGTTTCGCCGCCGATATAGCTCGTGCCCAAGAATCCTGGAAAGGAAAGCCAGACGGCGCCATCTTGACCGACCGTGCCGCCGCCTACATTGCTGGAATTGCCATGGAGGGGGCCACGGACACGCAGAGCAACCAGCTAGCATCTTTCATCAAGGTATCTTTACCCTCTCGGCAGCCACAGTCGATCCACTGGTCCGGCGAGCTGGCCAACCCTGACTGACCCCGTCCAGGCAATGACGCTCTACCCCGACTGTCAGACGAAAGCGCAGACCGAGCTCGAAGAAGTCGTCGGCCCGGATCGCATGCCCGACGCCAACGACGTGGACAAGCTGCGATATCTTCGCCAGATCATGAAAGAGACGTTGCGATGTAAGTAACAGGTGCACCGGTTGAAAAGAAAATCGTCCTTCCTGCCCTTCGTCGACATCCCCGGAAACTAGGCCTTTCTCGTTCCCTCATTGCCACGTCTTGCAAGTGATATACTTACTGTGCCGGAGTATCTGTACTAACTCTACCACTCCTAAGGGATGCCAACAGCCACGACGGGCGCCGTCCCGCACGCGGCCCGCGAAGGCGACGAGATCGACGGCTACGTGATCCCCCGAGGCGCGACCATCGTGCTCTCCATCTGGTCGGCCAACAACGACCCGAGTCTGTTCCCCAACCCGCGCGTCTTCGACCCGTCCCGCCACAACCCGGACGTGTCGATGAGCCAGGCCGCACAGGCCAGCGACATCCACGACCGCGACCACTGGTCCTTCGGCGCCGGGAGGCGCATCTGCCCGGGCATCCACGTCGCCGAGAGTACCCTGATGCTGTCGATGGCGCGCCTCCTGTGGGCCTTTCGCATCGCAAAGGCAAAGGACGACCAAGGCCGGGACATCCACGTCGAGCCCGACGCCATCACGCAGTCGATCGCTTCGCGGCCCTTGCCGTTCAGGTATGTTAAAGCATTCATTCACTTCCGCTCTGCACAGTACATCCACGTCACCATGCTAGAAACAGCCCCGTGCTGATCTATGTTCTCCCCCGCTACAGATGTGACATCAAAGTGCGCAGCGAGAAGCGCGCGGAAATCGTACGAAAGGCCTGGGAAGAGGCGCAACACGTGCTGGACGAGGCCGGGAACTATAAGGTGAATGTGCTGTGAACATGGTAGGAGAGGAGGGGTCGCAGGTGGTGCTCTCCCTCCCTGACGTATTGGGAGGTTGAGCACACTCAGAATCATGGACCTGCCGTTGAGGTCGTGCTACTGTTGCTGCGTCCCATGGCAGACGGGGGGAGGAGGGGCGACGAGGTCGTCTCCCGATCAATCAAGCCTAGTCATCTCAGCGACTGTTTACCGTGAGCAGCACCCATTTCCTGTTATCAGATCTGGATCCACATACCACACGGAGTAGAACAGAGACTTGGAGGAGCCATCTACCCGCGATCTGTTCGACTCATCGCGTGGTTGACAGTAAATTCTATCATCTGACCGTTTTCGGTCCACGTTTCCATCACCATCTCGTGTCTGGACGCCTGTCGCTGTGCTATGCTATGCTATGCTATGCTATGCTATGCTATGCTATGCCGTGCAATGCCACGCTCCCTTGACTCCGATCGCCACGCCGGCATCTCACCGATGTTCCGTGCACTGTCACATAAAGTCGACACGTAACCGGTCTGTAAAAGCGTGTTCTTTCCCTTTCATATCCAGCCGAAAGAGGAAACAAGAGACACATAAAATCTCGCAGCGCGTGCTGTGCTCAATGCTCATCATGGCTGGAGCTCTATTTTCGTTTCACAAACATATCCTCAGCGTTCACCTTCTTCTTTCTCACCATTGGCGCCCCGCCGTTTGGCATACCAGGGCGTCCTGGGTGTCGTGGCGGCAACCCAGATGATCCTGGAGGAGGTTGGCCCGGGCCAGGTCCGCCTCGAGGACCCGTCGGGGTGCTGACGGGTCGCCGATTCCCGCTGGTCAATTCAGATCCTGTAGACCTGCTTTCTTGGTTGGGTTTTGGTACCTTCGCTCTGTCGGATGAGCTACTTGACGTGTCTCGTTTGCGTTTATTTCCATCGGCTCGGTCGAGACTTGGGACGGTATTTTTGATGGTCGGGATAGTGTGGGCTTCATGCTCCTTGTCTGCTCGTCGCTGGCGCGCTTTATCCCGCATGCTTCCATACCGGACTTCCTCTTGTCGGACCTTTTCCTGCTGTGCCTTGCTCAGTCGTCGGCCAAGTGGAGCTGTGCACCGGTCCGTGGTGTGGCCGACCTCGCCGCAGGACAGGCAGCGAGGATCAATACAATTGGTCAGCGTGTGTCCGGTGCCATGACATCGACGGCACTTGCCGTACTGATCGGTCAAGGCTGCTTCGTTGTCACAAGCAGCACTGACATGCTTGTATGATCCACAGATCGCGCAATTGCGAAGATCATTGAGCCCGTTGGCACCACCGGAGGGACTGTAGTCACTCGTATCAGCCGCTGTAGAGGCAGATTGCGTCCGAGGTTCGAGTTGCGGTCTGCTTGGCGGGGGATGCTGCACACGGCTTGATTCCTCTCTCCCTGACTCTCGTCTGGTGGTCGACTGGGCCGAATCGCGTCGCCTGGCTTCAGAGCGTGCGATCGAAGCTGTCGAGGACTGCCGCGACAGAGCGCTGCCCGGTCTAGAAGGCAAAGGCGTGTCTTGATTCGGTGTACCAGCTGATCGAGCGGCGTCTCGGACGCCTTTCACAGACGTCGGAGAGGGATCCTTGGAAGCAGCAGTGGCGGTAAAAGACTCCTCCGAATGAGTTGAACCTTTGACGGTCTCAGGCATCGACTCACTGGGGTCCATCATCTCTATATCATCCTTCATCATGTCGTCGGTCAGCAATTGTCGATTGAACAGCTTAGCAATATCCCCATCTGTGTAGAGGTGCCTGTCTTTGGCATCAGTAACCAAGGCACGCCAGAACTCTCCCTGCATCAACGCCTGAGAATTGCCCAATACCCATAGCGAGCATTTCGCACGAGTCAGACCGACGTTCATACGCCGAATGTCGTTCAAGAAACCAATACCCTGGGTCGAAGCTCTGACGCACGAGAAGATGATAATTTCGCTTTCCCGACCCTGAAAGGCGTCGGTGGTGTTGAACTCAATCTTGGAAAAGATGCCCTCTCCATATTCGTTCTGGAAACGCCGCTTCAATTCTCTCAGCTGCCCTTTGTACGGGGTGATGATGCCGATCTTCCCAGCAAAGTCGTACTTGCGAACGTCCGTTGTCAACCTCTTATAGATCTGCATCGCCACCAGGATTTCGGCAGGGTTGACCAGCGAATGGCCCTTCGTTGCTGCTTGGCTCATGCCCTGGACGTCAAAGAATCGGTACGGCGCAAAAAGGTCGCTGTGATGCCACGGTCGTCTTCGGAGCTTCGCCATGCCTTCACCATCCTTCAACCGAGAGTCGTAGAAGGTCTTGCTCGGGAATAGGCTGATCTCGGGGTGCATACGATACTGCGTGTCCAAAAGATGCACGTCCTTCTTGTGATTGTTCTCCATGCGAGCGAATAGACTCTGCTCGTACTGGAATTTGGCAGCCTTGCGGGACAACACCGTCGGAGGCAATTGCTTCGGGTCACCGACAAGGATACATTTTGAACAGCCGTATTTAAGGGGGATCAAGGCCGACAGCTCAATAGATTGCGCAGCCTCGTCGATGATGACCGTTTCGAACTCGACGTTGAGACCCTGAAATAGCTCGTGACCGCTCCCGCTCAAGGTGGCGCAGAGAACATGGGCTCCGTCGAGGATCTCCTGTTGTACCCGTTTCCGTGTGAGATCCATGTCTCGCGATGCCGTGTTTTGCTTTTCTCTCATGTCATCAATCTTGCCGCCCAACCCTCTCTGCTTGCGTATGAGAGCGTCCATGAGCTGCTCCTCCTTCAACAACGACGTTTCACCTTTGCCTCGACGTTCACTGACGCTGTCGCGCAAGTTTCTCAGTTCTTCAGAGACCTGTTTATGCTCCATCATCAATGAATGGATGTCTTCGCCAGGGGCCTTGGGGCCCGCGGAAGCAAGTTTAGCATTGACGAGCTCCTCGAGGGTGACGTCTTTCACGTTGTTGTTAATGGCCTCACTACGACCCAAGCGGACAACGGACACCCTCTCGAACGAACCATCCAACATTGTGACACCGCCCTTGAACCGCATCACCAGTTCATCGACGGCCGCATTGCTGGGGGCGCAAACGAGCAATTTCTTGCTGGCTGGCGGCGGTCGTGGTGCACCTTGAGTGGTGTTCAGCTTAGGACCGGTACTCTGCTTCTTGACAAACCCTGTCAACATGGCGCCGACCAGCGCGCAAATAGTCTTGGTCTTGCCGGACCCAGGTGGACCCTGGATCAAGGTGAAGGCGTCATTGTCAAGAGCAGACTTCACGGCCTTAGCCTGAGCCAGGTTCACATTGTACGTCTTCTTGATCGGCCGCAGCACCTCGTCCGCATAGTCCAATATCGGCGAAGGTTTTGCCCGGATGATCTCGTCACAGAGGTCGTAGTATTGTAATGCCATCAAGGCGCCGTATTCCCTCTCCAAAGGTGTCAGAGACTGGATTTGTACGCCGTAGACGACGGCCTTGTCGTTTAGGTACGATCGAAGAGGATTATTGGCAGCATTGACGCGATAGACTACCTGGACTTCGCCCCGTTTCCGTGTAATCTCTTTCACCCGAGCCAGACAATGCGGCTCCCCAGGTTCCTGGATCGGTTTAGTTGACTTCGACAGCAGCACCACGTCGGAGACTCCGACGCCAAGGTCTTTCCCTTCCGCAAAGGACATTAGGGAGTTGATTTCGAAGAAGCTGTCGACGATTAAAGAATTCGCTACTTTGACTTCGAATGCCCTAGAATTTCCTTCTTCGCGTTCTTCACGTGCGGAACGGAAACTCTGCCAGGCTTCCAGTACTAGTAACGGCTCGAAGGTCTTTTGATAATCTTGCGGAGTCCGGAATGTATCCGTCACCAAAGTGTAATCGTCTGTCACCGAATTTGGTGGAGTGTCGGTGTCTGCAAAGAAGTCCCACCCGAGCATGGTTCGGTGTAACTCACTGAGATCTGGCATAAGTCGAGCACGGATGTCCTTGTGGGTTCGCTGTTGTTTGATTTTCCGTACAGGGCCGGCGGCGAGTGGTCTTCTTGGTACAGCCTGGCCAGGGATCGCAGGCCCCTTGCTCTTGATCCCAAACAGCTCGTCCTCTGAATCGGAATCGGCTTCAGATTCGCTGGAGACCATCAGACTGTTCGGGCCCGCCGAGTGGTCTTTGCCAACGACCCCGAGACCCGCCAGACCAGAACCTTGGCCAGCTGTCTGCGCACCAATTCCTGTTTTGCCTCTCAGTCTGGCGGCAGCTTCTTTGTCTCTTAGCTTCCGGGCAGCCTCTTCCCGCTTGCGATTCTCGATGAAAGACTTCGCTTCTTGTGCCTTCCTCGCCTGAATCTCAACCATGGACATTGGTGTAGGCTTCGGCTTCACGGGAGGTTTTTTCGATAGGAGAGACTTGATATTGTTCTTGTCGTGGGCCGTGATGGTTGTCTTTGAGGTGCCCAGGGCCTTATTGGTGATCTCAACCAAGTCATCGTCGTCTATGCCGTCGTCTCCGAAGTCCTCGACGCTACGTTCTCTTGATACCGGTGTTGTCGATCCTGAAGCGGCAGCTGAATCTGTCCATCTGTCCAGGTTCAACGTGGCCTGCTTCTTGACGGGTTTCTCGATCTGGCGGTCGAAGTAATTCTCCAATGCCCGCACCAACCTAGCCTTCTGAGAAGCCGAGAGCATGGTTCTGATAGAGGTTCCCGTGGCGACTTCCTCGACGTAAGTCAGTCCCTCGCTGTTGTTGTTGACCGCGCTATGCCGCTTGAGCTGACCGAGCATGTTGCATATCAGTGTCACGAGCGTATCAGCCAAGTAGTCGTCCCTGAGCCTGAGCCATTTGCACATTGTGTCGAGAGTACTCAAGGGTGAGCCCATGTTCTTCTCATTTGAGCAGCTCGAATCCAACAGTGTTTTCCGCACTTCATCGGCTTTCTCTGGTTTCGAATTCTCCACGATGCTGGCGAAGAGGTCGTATTGATTGAAGAGTTCTTCGGCGTATTGCATGGCGTCTCGGCAGACCTCTTTCATG